ACACACGCTACTAATGACTTGTTACTGAACGTGAGCGATTGTTTATGTACTATTATGTGCCTATTGTCCATGATTCTGAAAGCTCGAATTTTGTACCACACCCAACTTTTCGGGGTTCTGACGTCATTCTCGGTCGCGGTATGATTGTCATTTTCAGTGTTGATTATGTTGATATATTGATCTTCTCAATACACTTTACTTCATGCATGTATGTTTTGTTGTTTTTGAGCAAGAGTGATTTAAAACTCTGGTAAAGTTTCTTTTGGACGTCAGTTTATGTAACACTCGCTGACTCACACCACACTTACTCACTCACCTCACCAAACACACAACAACGTACAGTAGTATATAATTAGAAAAAAACCCTATTTGAGCTAATGAGCATAAAGAAACAAATGCTGATCTCATACCAAAATACCGCCCCTAACACGCAAACACGTTCAAGTCCGCTCACACACGCGCGCGCGCGCACGCATGTTATATCATTTAATATTATGGTATTGTCGTTAGACATCAGTAGTACAAAGTTTCAATTGTTGGGTGTTTGATCAGATGATTGGCGAGACATTCTTCTCGTTTAAGGAGGTAGCAGGTTAAATACCTTTCCACCCATGATTTAAACTGAGAATACTTATTGCATTTAGATGAAGCATCGAAGGAGTTATGCCATTTCGAAAGACGCAGTCGCATAGCTCCTAAACTACATTTAAGTAAACTATTTCTTATATGAGTAGACCTTCCCGAAAAAAATCCGGGATTGGGTGGTCAGGCTCGCTGACTTGGTTGGTGCATGTCATCGTATCCCAATTGCGAAGATCGATGCTCATGATGTTAATCACTGGATTTTCTGGTCCAGGCTCGATTATTTCCAGAAAGCCGTCATATAGATAGCTGGAATATTGCTGCGTGCGACGTTAAACAACAAACAAACACAACAACTAGTTGCCCACTGTCATGGCGCGGAATTGTTGGTAAACTTGTGAACTCTCAGAAAGGATTGGCGGAATCCGGTGTGCACACTCTCCATGACATATGGTTATCCCACATCCCTCCACTGTAAAACTAAAGATGAAAAGATAATATGTTCTCAGGTCAAGAAAATCTATCTAAAAGCGAGTGTGTCCTTTTGTTACATTTTGGTCGTGGCCATGGACAAAGTGATCGTGTGGATGAACGGTCACACCGTCGCAAATTTCCCAGCTGATGAACGTAATTATTATCCAAACCAACCCCATTTTATGAAATATATCATTCGGAGCTGGGACATTACCGAAAAGTCTATTCACCCAATATATCCGCCAGTTTGGAAGTAATGCACACGACCCGTGCAGATCTGGGTTAGAATTAATCTTCAGCAACCCATGCTCGTCGTAGGAGGCGACTAACGGGATCGGGTGGTCAGACTCGCTGACTTGGTTGATGCATGGCATCATATTCCTGCATTGCGAAGATCGATGCTCATGATGTCAATCACTGGAATTCTGGTCCAGACCGCCGTCATATAACTCTGACATTGCTGATTGCCGCGTTAAAACAATACACTAACTGACAAAGTAATACACACTCTGCTAGTGTTTAAAGTGTCATTTGGATAATTCGTGCAATCGTATGGTGACTGTAAAACATTAATATCAAAGGATAAACCTGAGCCCAGATCAGCTCATTTTCTTCCGTCGTGAACATGTTTGCATTTGCTCGCAATGCTGACAACGCATTACAATATCTTGTTTTAAATATGTAGGATTAGCAAAGTGAAAAAATCGTCAAGTATGGTATCAACAAGATCCGGTGTTGCCAGCAAACACGACTATCAAAGGTTAGACAGAAACCGTGAATACTTGTTCCCTTCAACGACGAATGTTGTACTGTTAAATTCTCAAACAGCTGACGGCGTCACCGTATTGATACGATTCCTCACATGGAGGGAACGTATGTAGCGTTTTCCTGGGTGGTGGTGACAGGAGGTCTGCCATTCCTAGGTCTATCTCTAGCCAGCGCAGTCTGTCTGTACAAGCCAAACTCCTTGCATGCGTTACTCCTTGATGTATAGTACCAACGGCTTGTTCTCTCTGGTTTATTGTTAATCTTAGCATGTTATTTGTCACTGCCCAACGGTTTGGGTGTGAATGAACAGTAGATCGTTATTTTATACCCATATCTTTGTAGGTTGGCTTGCTGCAAATGCAGCAAAAGTTTCACTTCACACTGATCTGGTTGCGTTTTGGTTGCGTTTTGGTTGCGTTTGGGCGATTGATTCTCAACCATTTTGTAAATCTTTTCGGTAACGTTTCTTTTCATTAGCTTACATCAAAAGCTATGCCCATCATCCAAAATCTTAAAAAATGAAACGTTACTTTCCCCTAGCAGTGATGAGTACAAACATGTCAAGTTGATCAGGTGTTTTTTTTGTTTTTTTTTGTCGTATTGAAGAAAATGCACACTGGGCATTTGCTGTACATGGTGTTTAAAAAAATTTTATTGTGTGAAAATGCTTGATCATACTGCTAGTTTTTAATGTTCTGTTTTAAAATCACCTACATTTGTACAGTTATTGTGTGTTGGTTAACAGTGAGAAAATGTTAACATTCTTTCAGTAGGTTGAATTTGCAGATGAAAAAAGGCTCTCCCCCTAACAGTGAAAGAAATAATAACGGGACTCTACCCACCCATCCCCGACACCCAAATATCAAATGGTCCGTCTCTAATAATAATAAATGAACTGACTTGCAGGAACAGCAATGGCTCAGATTTTAGATTGTTTGTATATGCTATTCTTGAAACTTGCAGAGTTGTCTTATGTGACGAATATATCGTTTACAAATATACTACATACTAAGATGTTGGAAAGTAAATACTAGAAACAAGTTTGTTTCCACAATGGGCGTCATGTTTGCAAACACAATAGCAAGAGCATGTTGGAAATGCGTATGCACAGAAATTCAACAATGCCCATATTTGGGCATATATCAATATTCATGCACAACCAGATTTTGCAACCAGTTTCAGTTTGGTCTGTCAACGAACGAAAGTTGTTATTTATTTACACTTTAATATAAATTTAACGTGGGTAATAAATAAAATACCACACTCATTATCGTTAGATATCATTTTTACGAAACTCGTGCACTTTCTATGGTATTTAACCTCGCTTTCGCTCGGTCATATAACGTAGAAAGTCCACTCGTTTCCTAAAAATGGTATCTAACGAGAATGAGTGTAGTTTTCTCTATATCCATGTACAATTAAATGGCTATGTAGCAGTCTCCTGTTTATTCACTTTATTCGTGGGTTAATAACACCATTCTCTATAGCGAGAGAACATTCAGAGCTACATCCTTGAAATGAGCGACTTTAACCCACACCGTACTGAGCGTCAATTGGGCCTATGTTATGACCTGCTTGCTCCAGATCGTCCATCTGCTCAACACACTGTACTGAACACTGTCCCTTTACTCCTTAACTTCTCAATGTGGAGCTATGGACTTCCCGAATTAAGATACTTATCCTTCCCGAACTAAGACATATGTCCGCTCCTATAACAATATAGTATATATGGACTGCAGTGAACATAACACTTTGACGGAGCAATTGTCACACAAGAGTTACCTCCCCTCATTTAACTCGTCATTTGAGACTGTTCGTTTCGCCAAGCGCCACTTTTGTTACTTGGACGGCGTGTATTTTGCGTGTATCTTTCAACAGTGGTCACCTAGTTTTCAAGGATATTTTTTGTTACTTTTTTGTGTGTATATTATCAAAATTAAATGTATGATAAAGAATTTTCGTGACCCTAAATATTTTTTGATACTTTTGTTTAATATTTTGCAAACACGAGACTACTCCTAAGTCGCAAATACAAGGGTTGGTGAATCGCCCATGTGTGTTAGGTAGGGAGAATTTACGTTGCAAGGTTTTACATTTATAATGAAATAATTAATTTTCCGGTTGACAATTACACAAAAAGTATATAATAAATAGGATATTCCATGTGGGAAATATCGTCTCTGTCATTAACTGATGAATAAATCGTTGTTTCAGTTTAATGCTACCTTGGAAACCCTTTCCATGAGCATTATATAAAACACCAACCCCGCAAATAATTACTCTCGAGCTTCTGCTAAAACAGATTCCTTTGTTAACAAGCAGCCCTCGAATGACAGTAATTCCTCAGGCTGTGATCCGCTCAAATCATTGCCTCCATTAATTTGCCCTCTACGCCCATACGCAGATAATTGAGACTGATAATTCCTTGGCGTTGACGTTTTTTCATTTACTGAATTACCATCAAAAAGTGCTAATACCAGGTGTTCGCCAAGGTGTGTGGATATCCTGCCTCACCGGCGGCACCCGCCATTAACACTTACAAAGGAAGCCATTTGTTCACCTGCACAAACACCGGAAGATATTGTACAAGGTCAAACTAGTCAACTGCATCGGACGTTATTTTGAGATTATGTTACCTCTACAGCGACGTGCAGGCAGTCCGCCCCTTCCTAAGATGCCACCATCGTCTAGTGGTAGAGCGGAAGGTTCGGGGTTCGGTTCCCGGCCGCGTCATATCAAAAGACGTTTAAAGATGGTACTTTGTGTTACCCTGCCTTGCGCTCGGCAATTTGGGGCTAAAACAAAGACGGTTCGGAGTCAATATACTGTGTCTGAGTGGGGTATTCATGTTAAACTGCGGCATGGTATTTCATTGGGCTAGCACTATAAATCGGCATTACACACACAGTACAAGCAGCCACACACACAAACGTACATGCACGTCGCTATATAAGTGCAACAATCTTCAACACAACGTTAAACCAGATTTCACCTCACCTCGCCTAAGATTCCAGCTATTGAGCGATCAACCACAGCAATACTTACTGGCTTGAAAATGTATTTTGAAATGATATGGCAAGGAAGAAAGTAACTACGTCACAATGTTAAGAAATACAGTCACGATTCGAACACATACACATCTGACCCATTGAAAGCAATACCCGTGTCAATGAACACAAATCTATCTGGCCTAGTCAAAGGCTATGCGTGATTCAATGAAGCAGGGACGTCCGCAGTTCGCACCTGAATGGCAGATTTCAGTAGGCTGCTATGGATCTTATCGAGCTTGTGTATTGTAAGTAGTATGACGTACATTACATAGCATAGCTTGTACTCGATTCTCATGTCCTATATCCTCAATGTTTCTATCGCACTGGACATAAGCCAACACCGTGTAGGAGATTGTCATGCAGGACCCGTGCAGATAGATCGATGTTCTGTGTTTCTATTTGAGGCCTTTGCTCGCATCTTTTTACCAGGTACAGTGACGTGACATCAACATCTCTCAAGACGCATGCAAGAGCTTAAAGGTCCGTAGTCACAGGACGGTTCCAACCACATACACAGTCTGTTATTCACCCTGTAATATAGAGTATATTATTTGTCATGGTCCTACGAGCAACGTTGTGTGTTCTTTCGTAGCTCTCATGTACCTGTTTCGAATGACTGAAATCTCGTGTGTGGTGTGGTGTGGTGTGGTGATGTGTGTGTGTGTGTGTGTGTGTGTGTGCGTGTGTGTGTGTGTGTGTGTGTGGTATGTGGCGTGTGTATGTGTGGTATGTGGTGTATGCGTGGAGTGTGCGTGTGGTGTGGTGTGGTGTGGTGTATGTGTGTGGTGTGTGTGTGTGTGTGGTGTATGTGTGTGGTGTGTGTGGTGTATGTGTGTCGTGTTTGTGGTGTGTGCGTGTGCGTGTTTGTGGTGTGTGTGAGTGTGGTGTATGTGTGTGGTGTATGTGTTGTATGTGGTGTTTGTGGTGTGTGTGAGTGTGGTGTATGTGTGATGTGTGGTGTGTATGTGGTGTGCGTGTGTATGTGTGGTATGTGGTGTATGTGTGTGTTGTGTGTGTTGTATGTGGTGTATGTGTGTGGTGTATGTGTGATGAATGGTGTGTATGTGGTGTGCGTGTGTATGTGTGGTATGTGGTGTATGTGTGTGGTGTGTGTGTGTGTGGTGTATGTGTGTGGTGTGTGTGGTGTGTGCGTGTGCGTGTTTGTGGTGTGTGTGAGTGTGGTGTATGTGTGTGGTGTATGTGTGGTATGTGGTGTATGTGTGTGGTGTGTTGTGTATATGTGTGTGTGGTGTATATGTGTTGTGTGCGGCGTGTTTGTTTGTGTGTTGTAAGTGTGTGATGTGCGTGGTGTATGTGTAGCATTGTGTATCAATACGTAAGTGTGTGTGTGTGTGTGTGTGTGTGTGTGTGTGTGTGTGTGTGTGTGTGGTGTGTGTGCGTGTGGTGTGTGTGTGGTGTGGTGTGTGTGGTGTATGTGTGTGGTGTGTTGTGTATATGTGTGTGTGGTGTATGTGTGTTGTGTGCGGCGTGTTTGTTTGTGTGTTGTAAGTGTGTGATGTGCGTGGTGTATGTGTAGCATTGTGTATCAATACGTAAGTGTGTGTGTGTGTGTGTGTGTGTGTGTGTGTGTGTGTGTGTGTGTGTGTGTGTGTGTGTGTGTGTGTGTGTGTGTGGTGTTTGTGTAGCATTGTGTGTCAATGAGTATGTGTGCCATTTCACAAAACCCCATTAATACTCTCACTGTCAATTAAATTGTTATTGCCTCGTATTATTATGATTATATTCATTTATTGAGACCATGAATGTCATCTCAGAATAAAATATCTTGGTCCCTCAACATTTCTCATAAGGTATGTATGATCTCTTGTATTATTTAACCCAACACAGTAACTCACTCACTGTCAAATCGGTCTCCTTTTGCAATGTGTACATACATCAGCATCTTTTCAGAGGAAGCGTGACCCCATCATGGTCATTAACATGGTCGATTTTACCAGAAGTTGTTGCCTATTGGTGTGCGCCATGTGTCTTACTGTTTTGAAGAAAGGTGAGTATAAACAGTTTTATAATATATATATGTATAAGGATCTGTGTCCTGTAACGGGGATAATAGACAATAATAAGAAAATTCATCTAACAAGAACACCAATCGTTTTTCAAATGACTGAAATCTCAGCACGTGTATACAGCGGACACCTGGTGGCATCCCTGATTGTCAGCGATCCATTTACAGTAAACTACGGTTATAACGAACACGCTTATAACGAACTGACGGATATAACGAACTTACTTTTTTGGTCCCGACTATTTGCTGTAGTTAATGGATGTATATATGCTTATAACGAACTACGGTTATAACGAACTAAAATTAGTAGTCCATTTGAGTTCGTTATAACCGTAGTTTACTGTACTAGTATATACCCTTTCCCGCAAATTTTGCTTTTGCGCCCAATGGAATATGTTGGGTCGGATAACCGAGATTGGTTATTCTGTTGACTTGACGAATTGTATTTACAACAAATTATGTCCTTTAAATTAAGTAGGGGCCAGACATGATCTCCTGGAGGCAAAGGCCGATCAGTTGCCGTTATATATCGAATGATTGAGAAATGATCGTCTGTCCTGCAGAAGTACGTCCAATATGATATAATTAGTAAGGTCCAAATCGCTGTATGATGACTTTTTCATAAACGACATTATGACAAGGTAAAACCTTCCCATATCGACGTATTTCAGGTTTCTAACTTATGAGAAAACGTTTTCCCTCAAAATCTCAATTAAATTGATATGTGTGAAAAGCGAGTGGATTCGTAAATGAAATGAATTATATAAATTAATCGTTTTACCAATATTGCAGGGCAAGCTGCATCGTTGACAGCATCACCGCAAGAGATTGTAATTGGAGGCAACAACCCTACGACCGAGTTGTTCATCGTGTGCACGGCGGACGCGCCTGGACTATCACGGGTGTTTGAAATGGAGATTGGAAGGAGGGACCATCGTGGCACAAACGTCCCTTTAGTGTCAATTATCTCCTCAGATACAACCGTACAAGTGCATCACCAACACGTAGACGACCTTCAAACTGAATCACGCCATGGCCGCTTAACACCGTTTGGCGCCGTCGGTGGAGCGTCAGGGAGCCTTCAGTTCTCGTTGACTCAACTGTATTGTTATGATGCTTCGGAATACTACTGCACAACGGCGTACATTGCGGGATCTCTCGGTAGCGACCGGGACACGCTCAACATCACCGTCAAAAGTAAGTACTGTTGGTGAAGGGAAATGGGGTTTAACGTCGTGTTGAAGATCGTTGAACTCATAGCGACGTGCAAGCTTAAGTGTCGCCGCTTGGGTTTTTCCGGTCTCATGTCGGGTTTATAATGCTGGAAAGAATTCTGTGGTTAAACATGGATACTCTACTCTGACACATTATGCGGCCTGTCTTCGAGTTATCCCCTAAATGCCGAGCGCCAGGCAGGGTAACAAGAAGTACAATCATTTAACGTATTTTGGTAAGACGCGGCCTGGGGTCAAACCCCGACCTTCCGTTCCCCGGGCAGGCGCTCTTTCCACTAGACCACGGAGGCGGTCTACATTTGGGTATATCGTCTTGGCCAGTATTATTATAATTGTTTTCCATGTAAACATAATGCAGTGGGCGTAGGGATAGCCTTGTGGTTAAAACGTTCGGTCGTAGCGCCAATGCCCGGGTTCGATGCCACCAATGGGTGCAGGGTGTGGAGCCCCCTGCCATTTTGTTTTTTTGTTTGCACTCCAGAATACTCCATCTGTATGACGGCGGTGCGCTCTAGTGTTCTATTTTGAAGGCAACATTCAATCTCAGTCACTCGTGACTTGGTGGGTTTAATGCCGGTTTGACCAGTTTTATTATGGCCATTTAAGTTGATTTGCGGAATGTTTGAAGTGATGCAGGTCTTAAACGTTTACTAACCCGACAGGCATGGGTATAATTGGCAAAACTGGAAACAGGTCTGATTCTAACTCGCGGTTTCTGGCTCGCCTAAAGGACGCAAGTCTACACAGCGCATTACTTTTCATATCCAGCCTTAAAACCAGCACCTCACTCACTTTGGTATTTCACCCTGATATCAAGCCAGTTTGTAAAGAAAAGCCCAGACCTATCCCCAATGTCCCTGCCATGTACACGTTATAACAACAAATATGTGTTCCTCAGCCTACCCAGAGCACATAGCAATGTCCATCACCGACAAGAAGTTGGACTATATTGAGGGCGACCAGATAAAGCTGACATGTTCAGGCAGTCTGGGCAATCAGATTAACGTCAGCAATCACCAGAACCCGTGGCTCTGGGACTGGCGATCTGGGGAGAGTGAGGACACCCCATGGACACAGTACCCTCACCCTAACAACGTCAACTACGACAGCCCCTCCTACGGGGACTGCACGTTCACAGCTGCCACAACACTGGTGCATACCGTCATTGATCGAGACAATGGAACGCAGTTCAGATGCTTCGTCTTCAGTGCCGAGTTCAGCGCAAACACGACGATTTATCTTAAACGTATGTCTAATCTGATCTGTAGGCCGTCGAAATTGGGGATTAGGCGCGGTGAATGGGCAGTCCAAACAAGTATGCTTCGTCCTTAATCATTCATCCTATTTTAAACTTAAATAAGCAAATATCAAAATTCATATATATGAATTGTTCAGTATGATTCTTAATAAATTCCATTAATTTTAACTGTCACAACCATTCACTCTGAAGCTCAAGTTCATGTTCGTAACGACAGACAACTAATGTTCTGATTGGTCCAAAATGGGAGTCAGGAATACTGAAAAGATTTCCAGAAACGATTTGAAGCAAGTTCCTATTCGAAAACACTTATTTATACATATGGTGAAAACAAAGAAGGCTAATTTGACATTAAAATTCATTTGGGGTTCACTCTGTGACAACAATGAAATGCCCAGCTATCTATGCTTATTCATGTAGATGATGATGATGATGATGATGATGAAGATGACGACGAATGAGTGAATTGGATTTAACGCCGTTTTGAAAAGTATTCCAGTTATATCACGGTGATGATGAAGGTCATGATGATGATGATGATGATGATGAGGAGGAGGAGGAGGAGGAGGAGGAGGAGGAGGTGGAAGTGGAGAACTGGGAGGAGGATGAGGAAAAGAATTGTAAATTGCGATGATGATATTTTCATTATTAGTTCCAGATTCAAGACCTTCCACGGCAGTAGGAGTGACGAAGAGCACACGTGTCTACGTGGGTCTCGTTTTATCACTGGTGTTCATCTGCACCTGATGTATCATAGCAGTAACGTAACAGCAAGACATTCATAGACATTGTAAAGTGTTCAGAGACCTGGCTGGCACCAAGGTTTTGTATCTCCCTTCGCAAGTTGCTCATTACAGTTGTATTCTACACCGTCGACGAATATCATATTTGTATCCAATTTGCTGGTATTATTGAGTGCACCTTGAGGTATCATGACGATGGAGGTTGGCATTAAACATGTATTATTCAATAAAGAAAAGTCTACCAATGTTTTGCTGCAGTGCTTTTGAACCGTTCGCCACATTTCTTCACTTCGTTACGTGTCATACCTCTCATTACTTAACAACTAAACTCTCTCGCGATGGGAGTATTTGATTCGTCGAACTCGGGCCAAGACGAGTGAGTGAGTGAGTGATACCGAGACACACTCACAAGCAGCAGAGGATGCGGACACGTACAGCACCAGGAACAGCGCAATAAGACACACGACTTTCGTCATCTGAGTGAGTGCGTGAGTTGGGTTTAACGCCGCTTTTAACAGTATTCCAGTTATATCGCGGCGTGTCAGCTTAATGTGGGAGGAAAGCCCCAAGTGATGCAGGTTTCAGACGTTTACCACTTCGGTGAAACCCACGAGCACGGGTATAGTGCTGACAAACCTAAAAACATAATCGGGGCGAACCGGGATTCGAACCCACAATCATAGGTTTCTGGCGTGCCGAAGGGACGCAACTCTGCACAGGGAATCTCGGCGCCTCAGACGACTGGGCCACCCGTGACCCCTGGGCTCAAAACGAAGCGACGACAGCATATGGGGAAGGCAAGGTAATGAATGTACTAGAATGCACAGGATAATAACGGACATAACTTCCTTGTTTGTGACACATCTATCAACTGGTGCGTTTCAGCTTCGTTAAAGCATAGCACCTACACCTAGGCACTGTGCAGTGCTCACTTGGGATACCATTTGTACACATGGTGAGTATATGTGATATTTACTCACTAGTCATCAGTCATATATGTAGAAGCACGGTGTAGAGTTGGTTCCCGATTCGCCCTGATTACGTTTCTCTGTTTGTCATATCGTCAGCATCCCCCATCCCCCGCACCACTCCAGGCCCATCCCCAGCACCACCCCAGGCCCATCCCCCGCACCACTCCAGGCCCATTCCCCGCACCAATCCAGGCCTAAGACCCGCACCACTCCAAGCCCATTCCCCGCACCACTCCAGGCCTAAGACCCGCACCACCCCAGGCCCATCCCCCGCACCACTCCAAGCCCATTCCCCGCACAACTCCAGGCCCAAGACCCGCACCACTCCAAGCCCATCCCCCGCACCACTCCAAGCCCATTCCCCGCACAACTCCAGGCCTAAGACCCGCACCACTCCAGGCCCATCCCCCGCACCACTCCAAGCCCAAGACCCGCACCACTCCAAGCCCAAGACCCCCACCACTCCAGGCCCAAGACCCGCACCACTCCAAGCCCAAGACCCGCACCTCTCCAGGCCCAAGACCCGCACCACTCCAGGCCCAAGACCCGCACCTCTCCAAGACCCGCACCACTCCAGGCCCAAGACCCGCAACGCTCCAAGCCCAAGACCCGCACCACTCAAGGCCCAAGACCCGCACCGCTCCAAGCCCAAGACCCGCACCACTCAAGGCCCAGGCCCCGCACCGCTCCAAGCCCAAGACCCGCACCACTCCAGGCCCAAGACCCGCACCGCTCCAAGCCCAAGACCCGCACCGCTCAAGGCCCAAGACCCGCACCGCTCCAAGCCCAAGACCCGCACCACTCAAGGCCCAGGCCCCGCACCACTCCAGGCTTACCTACCATATCAAGCGTCTCCAGATCCACCCTGAGTATGACTGACTTGCTCTCTCCCTCTCTCATTGCTAAAGGGGCGGTCGGGTAGCCTAGTGGTTAAAGCGTTAGCTCGTCACGCCGAAGACCCGGGTTCGATTCCCGACATGGGTAGAATGTGTGAAGCCCATTTCTGGTGTCCCCCGCCGTGATATTGCTGGAATATTGCTAAAAGCGGCGAAAAAAACCTCACTCACTCACTCACTCTCATTGCTAAAGGAGACCGATTTGACAGTGAGTGAGTTACTGTGTTGGGTTTTATAATACAAGAGATCATACATACCTTATGAAAAATGTTGAGGGACCAAGATATATTATACTGAGATAACATTCATGGTCTCAATAAATGAATACAATCATTATAATACGAGACAATAACAATTGAATTTCGATAAGGACAGTGAGAGTATTAATGGGGTTTTGTGAAATGGCATACATACTTACTGACACACAATGCTACACATACACACACACAACCACACACAACCACACACAACCACACACACACACACACACACACACACACCACACATACACACCACACACACACACCACACACACCACACCACACACAACCACACACACACACACACACACACACACACACACACACACACACACACACACACACACACACACACACACCACACATACACATACACACACACAACCACACACAACCACACACAACCACACACAACCACACACACACACACACACACACACACACACACACACACACACACACACACACACACACACACACACACACACACACACATTTCCCTTGTTGATACATCTGTTTTAAATTAATGAAATGTTTCATCCCACATGCTCCAGTTCACCTGCATTGACACTGACGTCTAACCAAGCTGTGACGTTATCTACGCCTGGCTGATCCCATACAATAACTTCATTGTGTGAGAGCAGCAATCATCTCTTGCCCTTCCTGGTCTTTTTCCAGACCTAAACAAATGTGTCTGGGCCTACACTGATGTGACTTTTTGTCACTTTTAGTGTTTCCTTATATGTTTTCCTTATATATATATATGACGTTAGTAGGTCATGGGATATTGTAATCCCCCCCCCCCCCCCCCCCCCCCCTTCTTCCTCTTCTTCTTCTGTGTCATCATACATGAATGTGCGTTCCCTGTTGAACGTCCCAGGAATAGAACATGTTGAAAGGGACACGCTCAATGTAAATAGTCCTTATGAAACACTTTTCATCACCTAGCTATGTAAACAGTAAGATATAACTTTCTAGCTTGTGACACGGCTGTCAACCGGTGTGTTCCACCTTCGTTAAAGCACAGCGTTGCTGTTTGTGGATAGTGATACAATTGTGCGCTGCTCTCTTGGGATCCTATCCGAAAACTTGGTTAGTATATGTGGTGATGTCTGTGAGACAATGCTTTTAATCTTTGGGTTTGAATACAGTAAAATTGTTCGGACTGACAAAACAGTGATACTCTTTGTATAGCAGACGTCCAATCAGTGGATTTAAACAGCCTGCTTAGAACTTTTAAACGTATAAGTAATATTATTCTATCGGAAAATGTACATTGTATTTTAGCACCTTTCCATATAACCAGGAAGTGCCGCCATGTTTTTGCTCATGTCATACGGCCGATAGAGTGAGGTAATCACACACACACACACACACACACACACACACACACACACACACACACACACACACACACACACACACACACACACACACACACACACACACACACACACACACACACACACACACACACACACACACACACACACACACACACACACACACACACACACACACACACACACACACACACACACACACACACACACACACACACACATCGTCAGTCCATGTACTTCACAGGTTTGCATAAACTACGTCCCCTCGTGTATACACCGCAGTATAATATAGTCATTATTTAACCAACAAATCAAACAACGGTATAGCTCATGTCAGAGGAGAAATAGCGAGTGCTCTGACGAATCAGCGCTCAGGTAACATCTGCTCAAGACATTGCTTCATTTTAAGACAGTGCTTAAGACATATGCACATGTGCTATAAACGGCACCATGTCATTAGTTAACTACAAATAGTCACACGTCTGTACACACACTTAAGGGCAAATGTATTCACGGGGGATGGAGCAAGCTGGTAAACACACCACATAAATCACCAGTATACCGAGGACGTGTTATCCTGTTATTGAATGGAATTCAATTTGTCTGCAGATTTCTCCCTGAGCGACGTGGCCATGGCTTCCAACTGCACCACGCCCTCTACAGGTACCTACCAGTATTGCCCTGTACCCTATATCCCCCGTGAACTTCCGGGTTAGAATTGGTCCTCAGCAGCCTCTTGTTGCACGAGGCGACTTACGGGATCGGGTGGTCAGGATCGCTGATTGGCTGATTCATGTCGTCGTATCCCAATTAATAGATTGATGCTCATGATGTCAATCACTAGATCCAGGCACGACTATTTACAGACCGTTGTCTTATAGCTTGAATATTACGGAGTGTGGCAAAAACAGCAGTCAAACAAACAATACCATATTGAGGCGGTGTTGTGTACAAAGCCACCATGTGAATTACATACCTTTAGTGTTTTGTCTTGTTTGTGGTTTAAAGCGGCAATCGGTAAAGTGTTATCTAAAGACGGCGGCCTGTAATAATCGAGTCTGGATCAGACATTTCGGTGATTGATAGTGTGAGCACCGATCAAGCCGTCGGGGTACGATGACACGCAACCAAGCAAGTCACAGAGCTTGACCACGTGATCCAATTGTTCGCATAGTGCCGGGGACCCACTCTAACCCGGAAGTCCCAGGGGTAAAAATGTATTAAAAGTCTTGATTACTTAATGTTAAGATAGGGAATTGTCCCGACTCAAAAATGAGTCGAAATGTAACCATGTTTTGGCATCCTTATTCAAAATGTATGCTATGAATTGTCGATGATTACCGTGTTTATAATTATAAGTCAACCACTCTGGGATTCCGGGTTAGAATAGGCCTTATTTTAGGCAATGAACTGGAGTGGAGCCGTGACATGGCTGATGGTGTGACATCCTATCCCGAAGACGTAGGTCGTTGCTCCTAACATCAGTCACTGGTTTGTCTGGTCCAGCCGAGCCGAGATTGGAAGATCGTTGGTTCGATCTCCTGCAGCATCATACTAAGAGACGTTGAACTTTGGTACGTGTTACCCTGCCCGGCATTAAGGGGCAAACACAAGGACTGATCGGCCCCGAGTCAGTGTACTGTGTCTTGGTGCGGTATCCATGTTAAACTGTGACGTGGTATCTCAGTGGGCTAGCCCTATTTTGGCATTTTGGCTATTAGAATAGCACAAGCAGCCACACACACACACAAACGTGCATGCACGTCGCTATATAAATGCAACAATGCTTGATGCGCCGTTAAACCCCACCTCACCTTTGCCCTTATATCATTTCAGGAGAACTCATTCTAAGGCGGCCATTTATCTACATCGTTGCTGGCTGTGGCGGCGTGGTTGTGGTCGTCATCCTCGTCTCCCTCATATGTTGTTGTGTCCTGTTAAGAAAGGGAAGACGTCGTGTTAATGGTTAGTTCACGATATTGTGTCCCATCAATATTCCCCACTTACGGGAGCAGGGGTTGCGTCCCTTCGGCACGCCAGAAACCTATGATTGTGGGTTCGAATCCCGGTTCGCCCCGATTATTTTACTAGGTTTGTCAGCACCATACCCGTGCTCGTGGGTTTCACCAAAGTGGTAAACGTTTGAGACCTGCATCACTTCGGACTTTCCTCCAACTTCAGGCAGACACGCCATGATATGACTTGAATACTGTTAAAAGCGGCATTAAACCCAACTCACTCACATATTTTTAGGCGATCCATTTTTAATTAGTTCACGTCTCCGTTGACCGACAATGTTGGGCTTTTGTCTTCCAAATGCTGATTTCTGTCGTGAGTGAGTGAGTGAGTATGGTTTTACACCGCTTTTAGCAATATTCCAGCAATATCACGGCGGGGGACACCAGAAACAGGCTTCACACATTGTACCCATGTCGGGAATCGAAACCGGGTCCATGGCGTAACGAGCGAACGCTTTAACCAGTAGGCTACCCGACCGCCCCTTTCTGTCGTGAAAATATTTCAAAGGTACCCGTAGGTAGGTTAGTATGTCAGTGAAAGTGACACTTTAATTTATTATATTTTTACTTTATTTCACCCAACCAATAATACTTTTTTATGATCTTATCTCATCCACCATACACCCATAGTGTTTGGGAGGAGCGTTTCCGTGAAATGATGTTGTAACCGTCCCGTCCCATAAAAAAGATAAAAAAACGTTCAATAAAATATAATATTACCTTCCACCCAACGCACTCAAGATGTATAATACTCAAAAATAAGTTAAAGAACACCCGATTCGTTCATATCACTGTAGTTAATCTGCTCTTTAACATGTTTTTAGCTGTATTGATGGCCCATATACCAGTAATCACAGTAAAGACATTACTATTTTCTTGCTTCTCGTCCCTCTTCAAAATTTTCTGTTTTTACAACCCATCCCTTGTAATGCCTTTACAGACTGCTTAACAGTTAACCTCTTTCATTACCAAGGTCCCCAGTTATCCATGTATATGCCGTCAGCCGATTCATGATGGTTACTACATATGATGTCAAATGTTATTTTTCAGGTAACCAGAATGAAGACGCGATAATGTAAGTCTATTTTTCGTATCGAATGGATGTGTATAGGAATTAGTTGTTCTATGTATCTGCATACAACTTTAAACGAATATATCGCGTGGCACTCTTGACAACGAAGGCCTAATGGTGCACCTTTGGTAGTGTCGTAACTGCTTTCGGGCGTCAAGTACGACCCTACTACAGTTACTAAAAGTATTGCCGTTACTGGTCATCATGGTCAATTACGCCATGACTTTGCAACTCGCCTTGTCCGCAGCGCTCCGTCAAGGGATGATTGGTCTAACAACACTTACTCCAAGTTGTCTCTGTCAGCATTCATACTCGTATAATAAAGAAACAAAACACCAGCTTTATACTCACATAGTTTTACTTACTCCCAGCCCATCTATCAATACAGGACAGGATCAGACCGACCAGACTCGTCACTAAATTCGGGAAAACTTAGAATGATCGGGATTCGACTCGATCGATTGCATGTTAAAGTATCATTTTATAGTGTTCGGGCCAGGCCTGTCTTTGTCACATGTCACAATACCTCATTTTGATTCGTTAAAAGTTAAATCTGACCATGAACTCATGTGTGTCGTAATCGGAAAAATACAGAAGCCTACGTGCCAGATTGCTCATCTCTCTATTGATTTTGTTACTCGCTCCGGATGCTCAAAATGAAATATACCTTGAATCTCTCTGCTTGTTTCATTAACTAATGGACGATAACCTGGAACCCTGTGATAAATTTGAAATGTCTTTTATCTATTGATTCCTTTCGAACTAAAAGTTCTCTGTCACAAACTATATCTAATGCAACTCCTCATTGCAGCTATAACGGTTTTATTTGTTACCATTTTTCTTATGTTTTTGGGATGCATTTTTAACCTTATAACAGTAGCATTAATGTTCCTTTTTAAAATCGAAATTTCTCGTTATTTCCATTATTTTCTCGAACGAGAAAATAATGGAAATTACGAGGAAATAATGAGAAGGAATGAGAAAATATATGATATATTTCATATATATATATAAACATTTCATGACCACAGCAAATTAAAGAGGTTACTTTTCCTTTCTTCTCGTCCCTGTTTTTACAACCCACCCCTTGTAATTCCTTTACAGACCGCTATACAGCTAACCTCGAGTGAACCAAAGCATTTTCATAGCAATTTCATTTCATTATATATATATATATATATATATATATATATATATATATATATATATATATATATATATATATCAAAGATATACATGTCAAAAGGATTCCAAAATGAAATGCTGACCTGCCCTGATTGTACTGATTGTTGTGCTGATTGTACTGATTGTTATGTCGATTGTGCTGATTGTACAAATTGTACAAATAGTACTGATTGCTGTGCTGATTGTACTGATTGTACAAATAGTACTGTTTGTTGTGCTGATTGTACTGATTGTACAAATTGTACAGACTACAAATGTACTGACGGTACTGATTGTATAAATTGTACTGATTCTTGTGCTGATTGTACAAATTGTACTGATTGTTGTGCTGATTGTACTGATTGTTGTGCCGATTGTACTGATTGTACAAATTATACAAATAGTACTGATTGTTGTGCTGATTGTACTTATTGTACAAATTGTACTGTTTGTTGCGCTGATTGTACAAATTGTACTGATTGTTAAGCTGATTGTATTGATTGTTGTGTTAATTGTACTGATTGTACAATTTGTACTGATTGATGTGCTTATTGTACTGATTGTACAATTTGTTCTGATTGTTGTGCTGATTGAACTGATTGTACAAATTGTACTGATTGCTGTGCTTATTGTACTGATTTACAATTTGTACTGATTGAAGTGCTTATTGTACTGATTGTTGTGCTTATTGTACTGATTGTACAATTTGTACTAATGCTGTGCTAATTGTACAAATTGTTGTGCTTATTGTACTGATTGTTGTGCTGATTGTACTAATTGAACAATGTGTACTGATTGTGTGCTGATTGTACTGATTGTGCTGATTGTTCTGAGTGTACTGATTGATGTGCTGATTGTACTGATTGTACAATATGTACTGATTGTTGTGCTGCTTGTACTGATTGATGTGCTGATTGTACTGATTGTACAATATATACTGATTGTTGTGCTGCTTGTACTGATTGATGTGCTGATTGCACTGATTGTACAATATGTACTGATTGTTGTGCTGATTGTACTGATTGATGTGCTGATTGTACTGATTGTTGTGCTGATTGTAATGAGTGTACACCTTGTACTGATTGTTGTGCTGATTGTACTGATTGATGTGCTGATTGTACTGATTGTTGCGCTGCTTGTACTGATTGATGTGCTGATTGTACTGAGTGTACACGTTGTACTGATTGTTGTGCTGATTGTACTGATTGTTGTGCTGATTGTACTGATTGTTGTGCTGATTGTACTGATTGTTGTGCTGATTGTACTGATTGTTGCGCTGCTTGTACTGATTGATGTGCTGATTGTACTGAGTGTACACATTGTACTGATTGTTGTGCTGATTGTACTGATTGATGTGCTGATTGTACTGATTGTTGCACTGCTTGTACTGATTGATGTGCTGATTGTACTGAGTGTACACATTGTACTGATTGTTGTGCTGATTGTACTGATTGTTGTGCTGATTGTACTGATTGTTGTGCTGATTGTACTGATTGTTGTGCTGATTGTACTGATTGTTGTGCTTATTGTACTGATTGTACTGGTTGTATCAGCGATGAATTCACTTGTTCGACTTTCTTCAATATGACTGTACACGGGCGTCGGGTAATACTAAACCCCTGATACTGTACCTCCATAGTTTACAATGAGCAAGTCGATCCTTGTAGGAAAGCTGTTGATCAATTTAGGTGTTCAATGTTCAACAAATTATGCGGAGATTTCATCCGTTTGTTCCAGTCTTTAAAAAAATCGTAATTAGGTTGGATGTAACAAGGTCGAAAATGGCATCTACTTATTCAGTATTGACATTTGTTTGGCATTGAGTGAGTGAGTTAAAGTTTAACCTCGTATCGGCTTTATATATTTCATATAGCGACCGTTCGGCTTTGAGAGAGTGAGTTAAAATTTACATCGCATTAGCAATTTATTAGTGACGACAACATTTGTCCTATTTACGAAAACAAAAAAGTTACTCTTTGTCTTTTTTATTCCGATGATGATTAATCACATATCATGATCTGTATGATCCATGTTATAAAAAAGATAATGTGTGTATGGTGTTTCAGGAAAGATGATGACGAAAAGGAAAACCCTAAAAGAGAAAGCGCTGGTGGGTTTTAATCACTGGTACGCCACGGTACAAGTAGGTTATGATTAATGGTGCTACACAGGAGGTCCGCCTACTGGCGCGTACCTTTGTGAAGAAAGGGGTAGCGGGTGGTCCGCGACAAGTAGTACGATTAGGTGCGTGTCCTGTCTCGACTAACAACGAGTTCTGGTGGCGATAGTACGTGCTGATGTGAGTGCGTACCCGATGACTGTGAAAACGGTGACAGTAATTGGCATAGATAACAACAATGAAGGAAGTCATTTGCTTTAAATACTGGATAGATGTCATGTCATTCATCAGATGATTGTGAAGGTTGAGACCTTAACGCAGTGATATCTGACTCAATGACATACCCCTTAATTAATTAAATTGGGGTTTCAGCATAATGTAAATGTAATATTGCTGGCTGCATTGATATTGAGATAACTGGATAATCATAGCTCTAGTCCTCACATTCTGATGCTGTTTAGCGTAGATTCAGACAGACCAGTGGCAAATCTAGGTTTTGACTATGCTTGAGATTTACTTTTAATTCTTTCTCCGTGTATTCCTTATAGGCCAATTTTCGAGCCTGAGGATGTATTATTTGGCCATGCTTACCTAGCTTTGGCATGTTTATGTGTTTGTTGGCATGTTTGTTGACCTCTGGTATTTGGTTGAATTCAGTTTGGTCTAAATCCACCTCTTGCTGTGAGCAGTATGCAATCTGATTAATTGACATGTACTGTACAAAGGCCTTTTTGAGCATGATTTTGAGGAAACTTCCATTGATTCGGAGTTTGCCGAGACATATACAAAAACGGTGTCCAAACTTCACAAAAGTAAGCACAGTGTTGATGGAATGACAATGCACTTGGGCCAGTCAAATATATTGTCATCTTTACATCTCTTTACCCGACTCCGTGGTCAAGTGGTAGAGCGTCTGCCCGGAGAACGGATGGTAGGGCGTTGGATCGAGGCTGCGTCAAACCAAAATATTATGAAATATCGTACTTGTTGTTACCCTGCCTGGCGCTCGGCATTAAGGGGCTAAAACAAGGACTGGTCGGCTCGGAGTCAGTATAATGTGTATGAGTGGGGTATTCATGTTAAACGTGCAATAATTTTGAACGCGACGTTAAATCCCATTACCTCACCTTTACCCGAGGTTGAATTTGAGCTCCATTGCACTATATCTCAGCTCTGTTGCTCTATATCTCGGCTCTGTTGCTCTATATCTCAGCTCTGTTGCTCTTTATCTCAGCCCTGTTGCTCTATATCTCAGCTCTGTTGCTCTATATCTCAGCTCTGTTGCTCTTTATCTCAGCTCTGTTGCTCTTTATCTCAGCTCTGTTGCTCTATATCTCAGCTCTGTTGCTCTTTATCTCAGCTCTGTTGCTCTATATCTCAGCTCTGTTACTCTTTATCTCAGCTCTGTTGCTCTTTATCTCAGCTCTGTTACTCTATATCTCAGCTCTGTTGCACTATATCTCAGCTCTGTTGTTCAATATCTCAGCTCTGCTGCTCTATATCTCAGCTCTGTTACTCTATATCTCAGCTCTGTTGTTCAATATCTCAGCTCTGTTGCTCTATATCACAGCTCTGTTGCACTATATCTCAGCTCTGTTGTTCAATATCTCAGCTCTGCTGCTCTATATCTCAGCTCTGTTACTCTATATCTCAGCTCTGTTGCACTATATCTCAGCTCTGTTGTTCAATATCTTAGCTCTGTTGCTCTATATCTCAGCTGTTACTCTATATCTCAGCTCTGTTGTTCAATATATCAGCTCTGTTACTCTATATCACAGCTCTCTTGTTCTATATCTCAGCTCTGTTGCTCTATATCTCAGCTCTGTTGCTCTATATCTCAGCTCTGTTGCTCTATATCTCAGCTCTGTTGCTCTATATTTCAGCTCTGTTGCTCTATATCTCAGCTCTGTTGCTCTATATCACAGCTCTGTTGCACTATATCTCAGCTCTGTTGTTCAATATCTCAGCTCTGCTGCTCTATATCTCAGCTCTGTTACTCTATATCTCAGCACTGTTGCACTATATCTCAGCTCTGTTGTTCAATATATCAGCTCTGTTACTCTATATCACAGCTCTCTTGTTCTATATCTCAGCTCTGTTGCTCTATATCTCAGCTCTGTTGCTCAATATCTCAGCTCTGCTGCTCTATATCTCAGCTCTGTTACTCTATATCTCAGCTCTGTTGTTCAATATCTCAGCTCTGTTGCTCTATATCACAGCTCTGTTGCACTATATCTCAGCTCTGTTGTTCAATATCTCAGCTCTGCTGCTCTATATCTCAGCTCTGTTACTCTATATCTCAGCTCTGTTGCACTATATCTCAGCTCTGTTGTTCAATATCTTAGCTCTGTTGCTCTATATCTCAGCTGTTACTCTATATCTCAGCTCTGTTGTTCAATATATCAGCTCTGTTACTCTATATCACAGCTCTCTTGTTCTACATCTCAGCTCTGTTGCTCTATATCTCAGCTCTGTTGCTCTATATCTCAGCTCTGTTGCTCTATATCTCAGCTCTGTTGTTCAATATATCAGCTCTGTTACTCTATATCACAGCTCTCTTGTTCTATATCTCAGCTCTGTTGCTCTATATCTCAGCTCTGTTGTTCAATATATCAGCTCTGTTACTCTATATCACAGCTCTGTTGTTCTATATCTCAGCTGTTACTCTATATCTCAGCTCTGTTGTTCAATATATCAGCTCTGTTACTCTATATCACAGCTCTGTTGTTCTATATCACAGCTCTGTTGCTCTATATCTCAGCTCTGTTACTCTATATCTCAGCTCTGTTGTTCAATATATCAGCTCTGTTACTCTATATCACAGCTCTCTTGTTCTATATCTCAGCTCTGTTGCTCTATATCTCAGCTCTGTTGTTCAATATCTTAGCTCTGTTGCTCTATATCTCAGCTGTTACTCTATATCTCAGCTCTGTTGTTCAATATATCAGCTCTGTTACTCTATATCACAGCTCTGTTGTTCTATATCTCAGCTCTGTTGCTCTATATCTCAGCTCTGTTGTTCTATATCTCAGCTCTGTTGCTCTATATCACAGCTCTGTTGCACTATATCTCAGCTCTGTTGTTCAATATCACAGCTCTGTTACTCTATATCACAGCTCTGTTGTTCTATATCTCAGCTGTTACTCTATATCTCAGCTCTGTTGTTCAATATATCAGCTCTGTTACTCTATATCACAGCTCTGTTGTTCTATATCACAGCTCTGTTGCTCTATATCACAGCTCTGTTGTTCTATATCACAGCTCTGTTGCTCTATATCTCAGCTCTGTTGCTCTATATCACAGCTCTGTTGCTCTATATCTCAGCCCTGTTGCTCTATATCTCAGCTCTGTTGCTCTATATCTCAGCTCTGTTGCTCTATATCTCAGCTGTTACTCTATATCTCAGCTATGTTACTCTATATCTCAGCTATGTTACTCTATATCTCAGCTCTGTTGTTCAATATATCAGCTCTGTTACTCTATATCACAGCTCTGTTGTTCTATATCACAGCTCTGTTGCTCTATATCACAGCTCTGTTGTTCTATATCACAGCTCTGTTGCTCTATATCTCAGCTCTGTTGCTCTATATCACAGCTCTGTTGCTCTATATCTCAGCCCTGTTGCTCTATATCTCAGCCCTGTTACTCTATATCACAGCTCTGTTACTCTATATCACAGCTCTGTTGCTCTATATCTCAGCCCTGTTACTCTATATCACAGCTCTGTTACTCTATATCTCAGCTCTGTTGCTCTATATCTCAGCTCTGTTACTCTATATCTCAGCTCTGTTACTCTATATCTCAGCTCTGTTACTCTATATCTCAGCTCTGTTACTCTATATCTCAGCTCTGTTACTCTATATCTCAGCTCTGTTACTCTATATCTCAGCTCTGTTACTCTATATCTCAGCTCTGTTACTCTATATCTCAGCTCTGTTGCTCTATATCACAGCTCTGTTGCTCTATATCTCAGCTCTGTTACTCTATATCTCAGCTCTGTTACTCTATATCTCAGCTCTGTTACTCTATATCTCAGCTCTGTTACTCTATATCTCAGCTCTGTTGCTTTTGGATAACAAAGTCGAGGATATTGAGTCAATGAGTGAGGAGAGATAGTAATCAATTGAAAGGACAATAGATCAGCCGTATAAGTCACTTGAAGTGTCCACATTTTAAGACATACGTATGGTTATGAGAAATTATATTTCTAAATACATTTCTCAATATAAGCGAGCTGTATACAATGACACTGATATTCGTCGAGGACGTTCTTATCGAATTGAAAGATGCTTCGTGGTGAAGAGAGGGATGTGACCAGTACTTATACTCCACGCCTGCTTGGCAGCGTTATGGTTTGTATCCAGTAATACCGTGTCAGATTATTTGTACCGCCAACAATCGGGTGCTTCAAACGTAACTCTTTGGCCATGTATCCGGGACTTGTAGAAGCAAAGTTCAAGTGTGTACGCGATGTAATGACAATCAATCTGTTGACAAATGTCCCTCAGATAACGCCACCAAATGCAGAACCTGTGGCGGTGATCATAGTGCTGCCTACAGAGGCTACCCAGCATTACTGGCTGTAAATGACCGCAGGGTTAGTGTGGAGAATGAACTATCATGTGCAGGAACGTCCCGCCTTGTTAAGGCAGACAATTGCAAATCCATCTCGTACGCCGCAGCTCTCAAGAATGCCAGTTCTAAATCTGTAGTGATTGCTGTTAAACTACCAGTTGAGATCAGATCAAATTCTACTTATTTGCCCCTCCCGTCCCCGACATGTACTTGTCACTGTCAAGTATGTAGGCATGGTTCGGATCTCGGACACTCTGAACCAAGCCCATCAAGGTGAGCTGATACATCCAACTCTACTGCCGCATCTATACACATCTCTGCCTTGGTGTATCTAAAGATATTTGGAGTGACTTCATACTAATCAAGATTAATAGAGAAGGTATTTTTATTATTTACCTTTTTATAATAGAACACGGAAAGTTTAGTGGCTCATGGTTGTAACCTTAAACAGGTTTCTAATGGGTACTTCCACTCATCCTGACGTTATTTGCATTCAAGGAATTCTCCTTTGGACAGAAAACAGTTTCAAAACTGATGGCTATGTTCTTTATCGGGGAGACAGGGTTACCTGTAATCCAAATGCTAAAAACTGTGGAAGTGGTGGTTGTGCAATATTGTGCAACCTGACCTTCCACGCAAGGAATATGAATTGCCAGATAATGCAGTAGTGGGATAGTGACCATACTGATTACAATGGCTATGATGTAGAGTTTGTTTCAGAAAAAAACAGACTTTGTTCTTCTAAATACAAGGAAAATGCACCAAGCTCATCTTGAAAGATGATTACCTCCTCTTGATTTTGTCATTTGCTTCATCACCCCTGTCGGCTAAATGCAAGTGGGATGTTTATCAAGAAGATCCGTTGGGTATTGATCACTTCCCAGTTTACCCCGATTTTCGACTAAGTCCTTTAAGAGCTGAAATCACGACTGCACCATGGTGAAACTGTCCTTTAAGAGCTGATATCACGACTGCACCATGGTGCAACTGTCCTTTAAGAGCTGAAATCACGACTGCACCATGGTGAAACTGTCCTTTAAGAGCTGAAATCACGACTGCGCCATAGTGAAACTGTCCTTTAAGAGCTGAAATCACGACTGCACCATGGTGAAACTGTCCTTTAAGAGCTGAAATCACGACTGCACCATGGTGAAATTGTCCTTTAAGAGCTGAAATCACGACTGCACCATGGTGAAAATGTCCTTTAAGAGCTGAAATCACGAGTGCACCATGGTGAAACTGTCCTTTAAGAACTGAAATCATGACTGCACCATGGTGAAACTGTCCTTTAAGAGCTGAAATCACGACTGCACATGGTGAAACTGTCCTTTAAGAGCTGAAATCACGACTGCACCATGGTGAAAATGTCCTTTAAGAGCTGAAATCACGAGTGCACCATGGTGAAACTGTCCTTTAAGAGCTGAAATCACGACTGCACCATGGTGAAACTGTCCTTTAAGAGCTGAAATCACGACTGCACCATGGTGAAACTGTCCAGGAAATTCAGGTGATCTCATTTCTCGCTAACTTCGTTGATGCATGTCATTGTATCCCAATCGCGTGGATGGATGCCAATCATATCAGTCACTTGATCGGCTTGTAAAGACGTGATCATTTAGACCGCCGTCAAGTTGCTAGAATGTTGCTGAATGCGGCGTAAAACAAACAAACAAACAGACAGATAAAACCTCAGATAGCCATGGAGTAGTGATATTGCATTATGTCAGTGTAATCATGTAAAGCCGCATATAGTTTGTATCAAATGACAGCGGTTTTTGAAGATGGTTTTCGTGTATTCAACAAAAGTTAGCGATATCATTTAATATGAAAACAAAAACAAACAGAAACAGTTTGAACAATTATATACGGAATTCGTCTGCCGCAGTTTGTGTTGTGTTATCATAGTCACCTGAACGAGGTGGTGAGGTGAGGTGAAATAGGGTTTAACGTCGCGTCCAAGATTATTGCACTTATATAGCGACGTGCATGCACGTGTATGTGTGTGTGTGGCTGCTTGTACTAGTCCGGAATGATGCCGATTTATAGTGCTAGCACACTGAGATACCATGCCGCAGTTTAACATGCATAACCTACTCAGACACAGTATACTGACTCCGAGCAGACCAGTCCTTGTTTGAGCCCCTTAATGCCGAGCGCCAGACAGGGTAGCAACAGGTACCATCTTTTAATGTCTTTTGGTATGACGCGACTGGGGATCGAACCCCGGACCTTCCGCTCTCCGGGCGGACGCTCTACCATTAGACCACGGAGGCGGTCCTTCACCTGAACGAAGCTAGTTCCAATAAGGATTCCGGCCAGTGCTACCCGAGGATCTTCCATATGTTACACGACTAGAGTGGTCGCTGTGTGTGTCTTATAGCCACGCCGAAGACCCACATACCTGTGATGTGTACAAAGCCCATTGCAGGTGTCCGACATTGTCGTGATGCGGGGAACAGTGCCAAAACTTCGCCAAATCCCTCACTCATTAAGATGATGATATTTACGCTAATCGCTTTTTTCATGTTCCTGTTTCTAGTCATGGTGGACAACGTACTGTATGGAGGGTACGCTGACACTGGACATGACGCAAGACCTGGCGACCAACCACCCAGGGGCGAGTCAGCGGGGAAGCGTCAGATCACAGGTGAGGAGTTTTCTCACTGGACAATCAATCATTGTCTGTTACCTGTACCCGCTTCTCTGATGAGACAATTCAAGTCCAGTTTGAAGGATGCCCTCTGGTCCTACACGGCGCAGTTACGTCTCTCTCCAGAGATCTTTGTTCAAGTCAGAATCACCATGGTTTGTCTGCATAATACCTACGATTATGAGTCACTGGTATTTCCTCCCAAATGAAGCTGGCACGCCGAAATATGACTGGCATAATTTTAAAAAGGTGTTCCAAGCACCATATTTGCTATACTAGTATGTTTTATTCTTCTGATTAATACACAAGTCAAAGTTAGATGTGATAAGTAATATCAGTGAACTGTGCCCTATAGTACCTGGCTGGTATTAGCCATATAAAACGGAAAATATAACAGATTTTGTTTTATTACTTGCTCGTGGAGAGATCACCCGTTTAATACACATACATATAGAATACTAAACGAGCTCTCGTGTAATACCAATTTTATGAAAATCGTGAATAGTTCTGGTATCTGACGAGCGAAAGCGAGTTTAGTATATTATTTATTACTTACCATTAATCACGTTTTTAGAATTATACTGTCGTGTGTGAATAGGCTGACACCTACACGATCCACGGCACAATCCAGTTGAGTTTAACAGAATAATATTTCAAACACGTCAAAAGTTAATTTAATACCATATAACGGTCCACCTTTAGAATTCAGGCGTCCGTTCCACAAAGTTATCGTAGCGCTAAGGTTATCGCAACTCGCATACTTAACTTAGACTTACGACTGTCGTTGCGATACAGTACGATCATCGTGTGGAACGGGGCCTTGCACCTCAAAGTTTACAATCACGTCAAAATATCCGTTGACGTAATTTATGGAATTTTGTTGCCAGATAAATCGGCGAAACAATGTCATGTGACGTCACCCTAGCAACGGGCCTGCTTTGGGTCACTGAGCGTGCATAAGCTCCTCTCAATGATCTATCAATTCACACGCAATGTCGTTTAATAAGCCAAGGGATGTTGAGAGCTTTCACTATTTGTTCAGGAAACATGTTCCGACATTAGCAAGCATTTCGGTATTGCACAATGTGTGATAAAGCTTTCAGTATACAGTGTAATTCTAAAAACGTTATTAATGGTAAGTAATTAATAAAATACTAAACTCGCTTTCGCTCGTCAGATACCAGAACTATTCACGAGTTTCATAAAATTGGTATTACACGAGAGCTCGTTTAGTATTCTATATTTATTTTAAAGGATAGTTAGTACTGTGGATGTTCCCAGTGAAATCGCCCTGTTTAACAAAAATAATATCCCTTTGTCTGCATGCATAGATGTTTCTAACATTTGCTGTTATGAAAGCGGTTGTGGTCCAGGTCTCAATGTATATTTTTCGCTATATGGTGTATTGTGTACGCGTAGTAAAACTACATTTGTTTCCCATGCAGATATGTATGCAAAGGTTATTAAGGTGGCTCCCTTGAATAGTGGAACTGAAGACAACGTCGCCTTCAGCATTGAAGACAAGGACACACATCCACCAGGGAAGCCGACAAAGGCTGAGGTTCGTAATGCTGATCTTATCTTTTACCTTTTCATTGGCTCTCTTCACACCTCCTTGTTCACTGGCACTTACTTTGTCATGCAAATTGTGCGAGAGGCGGGTTTTCATCCTTTTCGCGAACACCTGGTGTCATCACTGATTTTTCAATGACTCATTCACATAATGTCCACCACTATTTTGCCTTTATCGCCAAATGGAATCGGTTTCGGCAGATATTTCTACACTGATCATTCTCTGGCGTTGATGTTTTGAATTTGATTGTAAATAATCTCTCACGTATTTCATCATACATTACATTGAGACAAGTATTTTATTGGGACAAATCTGTCATTCAGGTAAATCTTTCATTCGGACAAATCTTTCAATCAGACAATACTGTCATTCAGACAAAACTGTCATTCAGACTAAACGTTCTTTCAAACATATTTTTCATTCAGCCAAATCATTCATTGAGACACAACTTTCATTGAGACATATTGTTTATTGAGACCAATCTGTCAAGATAAAACTTGTATTGAGGCAAATCTTTCACTAAGACAACACTTTCCTTGAGACAAATCTTTCCTTGAGACAAACCCTTCACTGAGACACAACTTTCATTGAGACATATCTTTCATCCAGATTAATCTGTCTCTAAGATAAAACTTATATTGAGGCAAATCTTTCACTAAGACAACACTTTCCTTAAAAAAAAATTTCATTGAGACAAGTATTTTATTGAAACTAATTTTTCATCACAGCCTGTGCCCATCTAGCAGATGATACTTCAAGCGGCCCCTGAATCACGTCTTGATCTGCCATGCAGCAACAACGTCCCTGACCACTGAGTTTTCAGGATGCCGCAAGTGTTGTCTTGGTTTCCTGGACGAGAGGCGGATGGAGGGAATGCTGTTTTTGACGACCAGGCCTCCTAGTTGCTATTTACACAAAGGCTTCCACTTCATCTGTTTTACACGAATACTATCTGATGTCTTTATTTGTCGTATTTGTTTCTGAATGAACGATGTATGGCTATGAAGTATCAATATTTGTCCCCGGTATATACGCCTCCGTCAGTAATCATACGCATCACCGTAAAATTGATGCGACAACTTTGAGCGAGTAAGTGCGTCAGTTTGATTTTAGGGGGCCTTTGCAATACAAGATTACAATCTATACTAGCGGAAAAAGTAACTACGCTTGATGTAGAGTTCCATAAATCTAAATTTATTCTGAAATTCAATAATGCATCTTTCAATGAGTATTCCTAGAGACATCTCGACTGTAAGTCGTGATTCACAATTTGCACGTGCACGTTAATGCATGATGCACAAGTTTCACACATGTGGTTTTTTAATGTGAACCAGCGCACAATGACTTTTAGCTACCAGGTGCTCATAAAAACACTTTTGTTTAACCGTAAATAACGCTTACGCAAAGCCACAGCTTGCAGAAAAATGGTCTACGCGGCATGGGTACGCTGCAAACAGGAAAGGGGCAAAACGAAGTTGCCAGAAATTCTAATGTTCGTCGAAACACAGTTTCATCTCTTTGGAGACGTGATCTACAAGAAACAACCGATGATGCCAGCTCCACAGCTATAGCTGACACTTGGAACAATTACCTTTGTTTCGCCATTCCCGCTGCGTGCGTGCATGTCGTATATGTCCATACCTGTCGTTGAATGATGTTGCACACTTTTAGAGATAAAAGCAGACGCACAAACGAGACTTCATTAAAGCTTCATTACAAATCTCAGTGTCTACATGGTATTCATTTTCGTAATGTTCGTCATAAGTTTGTTTGTAGTTGAAACAGCACTCAGCAATGTTCCAGCTATAGGAGTGAGTGAATAGTGTTTAATGCCTCTTTTAACAGTATTCCAGTTATATCACGGCGTGTCAGTTTAATGTGGGAGAAAAGCCCGAAGTGATGCAGGTCTCAGACGTTTACCACTTCGGTGAAAACCACGAGCACGAGTATGGTGCTGACAAACCTAGAAACCTAATCGGGACGAACCGGGATTCGAACCCACAATCATAGGTTTCTAGCCCAAGGGACGCAACTCTGCACAGCGAATTGTGACGCCTTAAACTTCTGGAGACCAATTTATTATTTTTTTCAGACAGGTGTTTGTATAATTTTGTTTTCATTTGCTTGATGTCCCTTGATTTTTTTGTAATGAGAACACCCCTGAACCACACCGTTCCATTCAATCACCACGTGAATTATCAAAACAAGCCTTTATCCCACACAGAAAGAAGATTTGGATCCTTGAAGATAATGGTTAGAAATGGTCTTTAGCAACCCATGCTTGTCGCAAGAGGCGACATCGTGGATGCATGTCATCGCATCCCAATTGTGTAGATCGATGCTCATGATATTAATCACTGGATTGTCTGGTCCGGATTTTTACAGACCGCCGTCATACAACTGGAATATTGCAGAATGTGCACAAGCGGCACACACGTGCATGCTCCTCGCTTTATAAGGGCAGTAATCTTGAACGAAACGTAAGCCCAATTTTACCTCACCTCATCAGAAGAACAACATATATACGGCTTCCTTGGATGAGCGCTTGGCTTAAATAACTCTTTCTGTTTTGTTTGTTTGTTGTTAAACGCAGCACTCAGCAATATTCCAGCTATAAGACGGCGGTCTGTAAATAATCGAGTCTGGACCAGACAATCCAGTGACTGACATCATGAGCATCAATCCACGTTATTGGGATCAATGACATCCATCAACCAAGTCAGGGAGCCAACAAGCATGGTCGCCTTTTACGGCAAGCATGGGTTGCTGAAGACCTATTCTACCCCGGATCTTCACAGGTCGTTGAACTGAAAGATGATGTCAGAAGGGTTCATAATGGAACCAAGGTGCGGCTGTAGGATTCATCATAATAGGCCGTTCACATGTTGCCTTTCACTTGCACCAGGCTTGTTCTATCAGTACCATGGTGTTGGTACCGTCACTCCAGGGATGTGCTTTCGGACGCATTGAATGCTCCCATTCTAGCTGATTATAAGCATATTATTCTGGTATTGATAGCATATGATGACAGTGTTACGTTCCGAAAGTGAAATATATTTTTCAATTTGCCGGAAGTTATAGCCTGGATCTGTAGCTAGTTGAAATCACTCAAATGTATCATGCTGTAAACCTGTGGCAGCTGATGGCGAGGGAGGGAGACTTGTGTCGGTGACCTGTGGCAGCAGATGGCGGGGGAGGGAGACATATGTCAGTGACCTGTGACAGCTGATGGCGAGGGAGGGAGACTTGTGTGGGTGACCTGTGATAGCTGATGGCGAGGGAGGGAGACTTGTGTGGATGACCTGTGATAGCTGATGGCGAGGGAGGGAGACTTGTGTCGGTGACCTGTGATAGCTGATGGCGAGGGAGGGAGACTTTTGTCAGTGACCTGTATAAAGGTGATGGCGGGGGAGGGAGACTTGTGTCGGTGACCTGTGATAGCTGATGGCGAGGGAGGGAGACTTGTTTCGGTGACCTGTGATAGCTGATGGCGAGGGAGGGAGACTTGTGTCGGTGACCTGTGATAGCTGATGGCGAGGGAGGGAGACTTGTTTCGGTGACCTGTGATAGCTGATGGCGAGGGAGGGAGACTTGTGTCGGTGACCTGTGATAGCTGATGGCGAGGGAGGGAGACTTGTTTCGGTGACCTGTGATAGCTGATGGCGAGGGAGGGAGACTTGTGTCGGTGACCTGTGATAGCTGATGGCGAGGGAGGGAGACTTGTTTCGGTGACCTGTGATAGCTGATGGCGAGGGAGGGAGACTTGTGTCGGTGACCTGTGATAGCTGATGGCGAGGGAGGGAGACTTTTGTCAGTGACCTGTATAAAGGTGATGGCGAGGGAGGGAGACTTGTGTCGGTGACCTGTGATAGCTGATGGCGGGGGAGGGAGACTTTTGTCAGTGACCTGTATAAAGGTGATGGCGAGGGAGGGAGACTTGTGTCGGTGACCTGTGATAGCTGATGGCGAGGGAGGGAGACTTGTTTCGGTGACCTGTGATAGCTGATGGCGAGGGAGGGAGACTTGTGTCGGTGACCTGTGGCAGCTGATGGCGGGGGAGGGAGACTTGTTTGGGTGACCTCAGTCAGTCTGCAATTGTTGGAGAAAAAAATGGAAACGTGAATTCGAACAAGTCGTTTATTAAAATGAGAAAATGAATTATAAGAAAGTGATTAAAGATTATCAACAATATATGTATTACATGTGTATAAAATTACAAGAAGTACTCATTCGAAACCCGATTAGCCTCTCGTCGTTGTATGGAAAATCTTGCACATGTGGTACTTTATAAAAAAACAGAGAGTTGTATGAACTCTATGAACAATCAATGAACTATTATGGTTCTGTTCGGATGAACGAAACCTTCCAAATGGCATGCTGGTTTTCTTGGGGGAATTAGTCAGCAAAGAGCCAGGGTCACAGGAGACTAATCACAATTTTATTTTCAAGAACAATTAACAATGACCAATTTACAATATCTTAGAATATAGTTGAGGGTGCCACAGAGAGTCGGTACAACCCTCTGGGCTGTGGGAGAGAGGTCTGCTTGGTATGAGAGTCAAACCCCTTCTGCTTAACATTTTGCTTCTGTATGTATTTAACAAAACTTAGAACAATAAAAAGGAATATGATTGTTTGATACACGATGGGGTGTGCCTTATGGTTAATGAATGGCTAGACAGAGGGGAATAATTAATTCTGTTAATCCTGTTGGACTGGCACTAATCTTGTTGACATATTTACTGGGTACTTTGAAAGAGATCATGGTGTCACTATAGACGAGCTTGTGTGGGGGCTAATCCATAATGAGTCTAAATTGAAGTAATTGCTGAATGTTATTCTAATATAGGTGATGACAGATTTACTTAAATAAAATAGTTCAAGGCAATCTATAAGACTATGTAGACATATCTTTTGTCTTATTGGATATTATGTCTGGGAGATGGGATCTTGATACCTTAGGCTTGTATTTATCTAAAAGCTTTAAATCATTTAAACTATGTAGACATAATTTTGTCTTATTGAATAGTATGTCTAGGAGATGTGTTCTCGTTACCTTAGGCTAGCATCTATCTAAAAAGCTATAACTTAAACTACTGATATTTTATATATGCATTTTACCTGATGAAGAGTATTACTTGCTAAACTATAATTATATGAAATGATGTATACATATTACACCATGATAAATCATAAAAGCACTTGATGTGGATCTAATTATTACAGGAAAACTTAGTATAAATGTTATATCATGATAGAACCTTCAGAAAAGAAATACGAATGCATATACATAAGTGCGGTAAAACATTAATCTGATCTGAGAAAACTACAGGAATGTCATAAGCGAGTATAAAGTATATTTGCTCAACCGGGCAAGAAGTGACATGGGGCCAAATGTTCACTAAAGTATATATCAAGCCCCACACTAAAATAAATAAATGTTAAAAAAAGCACACAGTAGTCTTGTGATCAATCATGTTTTACATAAAATTATGAGAGGTCGTAAATAAAGTTATTGGTAAAAAAACAAATATTTAATACGTGATGCAATTGCAATCATGTATTGAGTTGAGGTAAATTGTAAAACAAATGTAAAATAACAAATCTCTATGAGAGTAATGTTTATGGAAAATATAATTGTTCATAAATCTTTTTGTTGAAAAAATGTCTATTTGCACTCTATAAAGATATTATGCAGTAATAAGCATAACAAATATTTAAAAAACTGTTGTTTCAATTTTTTTATGGATCACCACATGACGTGTTTTCTGAAAAGTGTAAATGACATGTTTTTGTTGACAAAATGTCTATTTGCACACCTTTAATAAAATAAAAACATGAACTAGCAAGAAAAAACAACAATAAAAAATAGTGAATTTCATATGGATTTCCACGAGTCTTCTTACAAATTGACCTTAAATAAATCTGCACTAAGGGAACATCTTTTGCGTATATTTGCTCCTCTATTCCCAGATAAGATAATTCGAGCTAGCATTTGTATAAAGCGGGGAGGGAAGGTATATAATGTAGTTCCTTCATATTTGATAAAGCACAGTCGAACCCCGTTGTCTCGAACTTAGCGGGACCGTGTTGTAACTTCGAGATATTTGGACATTCGAGATCACGAGTCATGAACATGAATATAGTAAAGCGGTCGGCATCGGAGAACAGATTCGAAATATCGATACATTTGAGATAATGTTGGTCGAGAAAACGGGGTTCGACTGCATCTCTATACTTTCCAGTAATGAGTAGTAATTTTACTAGTCAGCTGAGTACCTAGTTATTCATTTATATTTCAATACCAATTTTTTACAATATTTCAGTTGCATTTTTCATAATTCGTAATATCACCATTACTCCGGGTACATATAATCATATGTAATTGTGGTCTGCCATTATATTTTAAAATTCGAATAGACAAATCACATGTCATTAACATCTTCTTTACACACAGCAAACCGTCTATTCCAGTTTACTGCGAATTTATATTGTTTATGTTATTAAAGTCGACACGTTTATAAAGCCAAACTTGAAATGTTTATGAATGTTTTGTATTATTTAAAATATACAACGTAGCGAACACTCCTTTGTGATCCAGACTGTTAGGTTTACAATTGATAAGACCTGTAAGGGAACAATTGAGTAAGCAAAATTAATAAACAATTAATTAATAAACAAACAGGTTAACGCCCAATTGAATCTGTTTCTTCGCATAACTGAGACTGGTAATTCCCTGACGTTGACGTTTTATAGTTACTTGAACGGAGTCGACGTTTCTGCTGGTGGACTGTCGCGTTTCATCATAAGCTCGGTAGCATATATCAGTTATGCTGAGTCAGCTACAATAGAAATGTTTGGGCCAAGGAGTGCAGATTGTGTGAGTAGCGGTGTTACCTGTAGGGAGAACATGCTTACTCTGTTCACGAACACCTGGTGTCATCACTGATTTGTAGACATCCATTCATATAATTGGGGCAGCTATTTTTATTTTTTTTACGAACAATGTCATCTGTTTCGTCGGATAATCTAGACTGGTTATTCTGTAGTTCTCTCAATGTAGATTTATTTATGGTCAATTTCTAAGACGCTCACCTCTGCAGGAACAACTGGTATCCTCACTATTTGATAGTGATTCATAAACACATGCTAATGGAAGTGTCGGAGTCGTGCAATCAACAATCGATCATTTAACGCGTGAAACACCACGCTGCACGTACGGTTCCATATTCAGTTTAGCACGGTTAAATCTACAGGTAATCTAGCTCTACATTGAAAACACACTTTGTTTATCTCCTAAATATATTCAGACTGAATAGAAACCTGTCGATTGACAGTACGTTATAGATTATCACATATTCGATTTAAAACAAGTTGAGAACATGAAAAGGAATATATTATCAGTCAACGACACAATATATGCCACCTGCGTGGACCCAGGATTTAAATCATCCCTTCGATTATTGACAAAATTAGTCGAGATAAAAACACACGCTTATTCTACGATTAAAAATGTGGCAGAAATACAACAAATTTGAATGACGTGGTCTTACATACACTCTCCGGTGGGCGGTCAGTTAACACCACTTCCAACCCCCTTCGAGGGAACAGGTACTAAGAATCTGTTTTCACATTTCTTACTAATAATCATAAAACCATCATGTATTAATTACACAACATATATTTAAAACTTTATGAAACAATTCTATATTTTTTTAAAAAGAAAGAATTAAATGAGAGCTGATATAGCTAAAAAGATCACTTATTGATGAATCTTTGAAGTATGTATCCCATGTGATGGAAAAATCAACACAGTCAAGCACGATTTGCTTGAGAAATGATTCTGTCATCACTTGGGACACGGAATGGAGGATCCTCACCTATCAATACATATTCAAGAGTATATCGTGAATCGTCTTTAAAAATAACCAATTCCACTTTCTGACATTTAAAACCTTCATCTGAAACGTTTGACTCAGTTGCAGAAAACAAGCAGCTTGCCTCCTGGTACCCGCGGTTCTACAGCCTTGTACTTCTTGAGATCCTTCTCTGGGACTTTCACTGCTATGATGTGTTTACATCCTGTCTGTGACAAGTCACCTGGGCATGTTCTGATATCCTTCAAACATGACATCCTCCTAGAAAGGCAAACATAACTGACATAAAAGTAACGCTCTCAATATATCCTATTTTTCCTCCTGTAGTCAGTTCTAGCTGATTACGCCGAAGACCCGGGTTCGATTCCCGACATGGGTACATTGTGTGAAGCCTATTTCTGGTGTCCCCCGCCGTGATATTGCTGGAATATTGCTAAAAGCGGCGTAAAACCATACTCACTCACTCTAGCTGATTATTCTGTGTATCAGCACTATACTGGTAATCGTACAGGGAGGCTTCACGAAAGTGGTAACTGTACAGCCTGTGTAAATATTGGAAAAAACCGTTTCTTTTAAAATTAACTTTAATGTATTCCTAACATGCATTTAAATCGTCTCTATAAGGCTTAAACCATGCAGATACGGAGTTAGATTAACTCACTCCCCTACTCACCCATAAACATCACACAGTCACCAGAAACACTTCCAGGTACACATACGTATCGTATATCCTAAACATGGGATTGGCTCATTTAACCAGAAAAGCATATTTTTGCAATGTTTAATTCCTTGTACTTGGTACACATTATTGTCGTTTGCGACAATATTAAAACAAAGATGATAGGGGTGTTAGCACCAGGTCATTCACTCCCGTTTTAATAAATACTTACGCAAGTTTGTCTTTGAGAGTGAGATCATGACAGATCAACAGGGCGCCGCCATCCTGGTTCAGACGTCTTGCAATTTCCACTGCCATGACTGTCTTCCCACTTCCTGGCTTGCCGGTTATGAAACAAGGCTTGTCTTTCTTCAGAAGGTCTCGCATGAACCCCAGCTGTTTCTGTGTCAGTTGATAGATTGGAACGTTGTCAGGATCGTCTTGCTTTGACCATGCTGGCATACCGTTCCGAGTGTAGAAGGGAACGCTTGTGGCCGACATCACAAAATGTAGGCTTTTCTTGAGGTTCTGGAACTTTCTTTGGTACATAGTCATTCTTTCATATGGGTAGAGGTGTCCATTCTCCTGAAGCAACGTGACAGACATCTGTGTCCAGTTGATTTTTGTTGACTCAGCCACGTCCACCACCGTGCAGAGAAAGTTGAAAGATTCGTCTGTAAAATCTCTCATTTTGTGTGTGAGTTCCCGGGCCAGCGACCTGGCATAGTCCTTGGCATCAGCCGCAGTACGATTCTTGTCAGCTTGTGATTTGTCAGTACAAAATACAACACACAGCAATGGAACTGTTTCTTCACTGAGGAAGATCTTTGTGTTCTGAACGCCAGGAGGCTGACGATCTGCTTCCGTGAGACCAAGTTCTGTAGCAAGATTCTGTGAAGTATGTTCCAACTTTTGGGCTTGAGCAGAATCTGTGCAAAATAAATCACATACACGTATATTACACCTGAAAGTCATAATTTGCCAAAAGAGTCGACTGTACGATTCCAACTTTATGTTCTCAATCACTATCAAATAGTGATGACACCAGGTGTTCGCGAAAAGGTGAGCGTATCCTGCCGACCAGTCCTTGTTTTGTTCCCTTAATGGTGATATTACATCACTGTTTCCTTCAACAAAAGTCATCCCCTCATCCTTCAACAAAATGGCTTACTGATGCCTGCAACCCTTGAAGATGCGGGTTGGAATTGGTAATCAGCACCCTATGCTCCTCGTAAAAGGCGACTGTCGGGATCCTGTCAGACTCGCAGACTTGGTATCCCAATTGCGTCGATCGATGCTCATGATGTCAATCACTGGATTGTCTGGCCCAGATTCGATTGTTTACTGACTGCCGTCACATAGCTGGAATATTGCTGAATGCGGTGTTAAACAACAAACACACAAATAACAATCACTATTCACAATAACAAAATGCATCCTACAAATGATATGCGAGTCTTTACCGGTCGTCCGTGTTGCCCGTGCAAAATAACCACGTGGATCACAAGCGCGGTGTCATCTTCTGTGGAGGAGATGTCACCTGACATTTGATTGACATGGCCCTGCTGCAATCTTGTAGTTGAATGGATTTCTCGTGTACACCCGATATTTTGTATGGTGTTACTCGTTCACCCCTTGAAATATCTCGTAATTCCATTCAGTAACTAAGACTTACATTGCAGATTCCCATGACGAAACAGTATACAAACCTTTAACCTTGGGAAAGTTAAACACAGCTGGCATGAATGGGTTGAGTGTCGCCACACGTTGTTCAACCAAGTCCAGAGGTTTTAGGGGAGGACCTGACAAAATGGAACACAACAAAAACTACATAATATAATCTCGGGTGGTCAGTTTCGCTTACATGTCAACGTTTCCCAATACGGCGTTTAAAAACAAATAAACAACATGTATATAACAAGTCGCGATTATGTCTCAGATTACATTGGGGGTAAAATGCAAAAAGAAACTTATGAACAGATCACTGAAAATCAAATCAAACACAAATTAATTACATACATGTATTACTAATGTCATGTATTTTATATATAGCAGTTGATCTGGAATTAAAAGTTTTGTGAATCGTTCTAAATATAAACTTTCACTAATCGATTGAGGGTCGCCTGTGCCGCAATATACACTGAAAGGCAAAAGAAACGTCACTTCTGAAAATACTTATAAAACTTAACAGACACTGGCAGTTACATGTTCTACTGCTTCTTTTTGTTGCCTTAAAGTCCATTTAACAATTGAGTTTAAAATGGAGTGCTTTGCCCAAACGCAGCCTACAAAAGTGCAACGGGACTCAGTTGCGGAAAAGTCTTGTCAAAAACATGATGCACGTGCATATCGTGGATGGTTTGAGTATAAAAGACACCCAAAACTGTTAAGCTGGCTTTTGTTATTTCGATTCATCAGCCATGCCAAGATTATCAGGATATAAGAGACAACAAGCGATCGGAAGACTGCAAGCAGGCCAGAGTGCACAGGTCGTTGCAAATGCATTCAATGTCAACGGCAGAACGATATATCGTTTGCAACATCGCCACAACACCACCAACACCACCGACGACCGACCGCGTAGTGGTCGTCCTAGAGTTACTACTCCACAACAAGATCGGTTCATGATACGCCAACATCTGCAGAACCGATTCCGAATGGCCACTGAAACAGCTCGGCAAACAATTGGCAACCACCAGCGTGCCATCAATTATCGTACAGTCCGACGTCGCCTAACTGCCAACAACATCTCGTGCCACCGTCCTGCTCGTGTACCCATCCTGAGAGATCGTCACCGACAGGCCCGACTGCAATTGGCCAGGCAGCATTAAAAGTTGGTGTCAACAGCAATGGAGAAGAATCATCTTCACTGATGAAAGTCGCTACTGTGTTTCAACGGTGGATGGCAGAGTCAGGGTCTGGCGAAGGAGGCCGAACGTTATGCTGATGCTTGTGTTTGGGGTGGAATCGGACTGAACCAGTGAGTGGGACCTGTGGACTGTCAGAATATTGGTCCAGGCAGGGGTAATGGCATCACAGCTCTCCGCTACATTGACCAAGTCCTCAGACCTCATATCGTGCCTTTTTTGCCCGTCATCAAAACCACACCTTTCAACGCCCGTCCCCTCACTGCCAGAGTCACCAGGGACTTCCTCCAGCAGCACAACATCCAAATCATGCCTTGGCCTGCCCTCAGTCCGGATTTGAATTCCATTGAGATCCAACGCCGACTCAAAGACGTACCCCAAGGCCGACAACTGCAGCAGAACTGCGTGTAGCGTTCCTGAGGATATGGGCCCATATCCCAATGGCCTTCATCAACAGGCTAGTCCACTCCATGTACAGGGGAAGTGTGGCTGTAGTCAACGCCCGTGGTGGCCACACCAGGTACTGATTTTGAACCCCCCAGCTGTGATGTCTTCTGGTGCCTCCCCCAATTCACAATTCGCAAAAACATTCCCCAGACTGTTAAGTTCATGTCAAACACTCCGATGTCTTTACTTACATATATAAGCACTTGAAAATAAAGATATTTATATGATACATCCACATGACGTTTCTTTTGCCTTTCAGTGTATTTCAAGACATGTATCAAGAGGCTCTCTCTGAAGGGATCGGGTAGTTACTGTAAGAAACAAATTGGTGACTGACTGTCCATAGCACCAACAAGAAGCTTTTCTTTTCAAGACTCGTACTTACAGATATATTTGCAACAATATTACAGCGTAAAAAAACATTCCCTTTCAGAATAAAAGTAATCTTACCCATGAATGTAAGGTGGCCATCGTCTGTCCTCTTTTCGGCAACTATAATAGATGTAGAGAGACTATCATTTAAAAGTGGTCGTACATGCGGCCACCGCCTTCAGGCCTTTATGAAAGGAACGTGTTCTGTGCGACTTTTGAAAAATCTGAGTGATTATGGTGAACAAACTGCTTTCTACAATGTTCTGAGGAATCAAACAGCGGTTCATTCAAACGTGCAAAATAGACTAGTTGTAGATCGAGTCCACAGCTTCAAGTGTTTTGCTGGAAAGACAATAAATGGTACAGCAGATAGCTGTAGTATTTATCTTCTGTACTCGTGAATATCCGGGTAGAGAATAGGTCTTCAAGCAACCCATGGCCCTGCTTGTTGAAATATGCGACTAACAGGATTGGGTGGTCAGCCTCACTGACTTGGTATGTCATCAGTAGTATAGGTAATGGTGATTCTGTCGCAACCCCACATGAGACTAAACTCAAGAGGGCGTCTTTTTCTTCTTTGGCACCCCCGATTTCGGCACCCCCCTACAATATTTTTTTCCACTAGAGCAATACGATGTGCACAAAGCATACAACTGTGCCCAACGAATTCCAAATTGAACATTTGTGCCCAACTATAGTATAGAACAAAAATGGAAGAAGCGAAATATACAACTATGGAGAGCATTGGAATACGAGCAGAAATGTCTGTGTTCCAACTAGTGGAGAATGCATACGAAGACAACTTGCTACCAGATATATCCAAGGTAGACTATTTGGAAGGAAATCTAGGCAGAACACATCTAGAACCTTTGGAGGGCCTACCAACATTTATAGACGATATGTATGTATTTGGCTATCTAGAAGAAAACGATATAGTATCTCTACGAGGATCTGTGTCTTGTACAACTGGAGAAAATGGATCTGCAAAATGTATACTACAAGAAATACAAATAGCAGCACAGAAAGTATACGGATGCCGCGTGCATGCTACTGTTGCAAATACAATACCCTATATAGAAGGCTCTGGAAGCAAAATACGAGACACAATTCAACAAATACAAAAACAAACTGAATACAAAGCGAAGAAAAAATGGATGGAAAGATTTTCCAACGAGAAGGAGTCTCGAGGAAACACAAAAGGGGTTTGATGCACTACACACGCAACTATATTGCTTTGGATATGAGATATATTCCACAGACTATACTAGAGACTTTTCTGGTACAAACATACAAACAAATCAATTCTCCTAAAATGTCGATGTACTTGGTTTGGTTTTCACTGATATATTCTGATGTCAGTTGAATGAATCTGAACCCTAGGGGTTATTAGATATGTAAGGGTGCCAGTGGTGACGTTACTGGAATGAATTCAAAACTGACAGATTATTTGTATACATTAACCACCATACCTGGTGAAAACCATTTTCAGGTACTTTTATTTCTTACTCACCAACTGAGAGCTTTCTGGATTTACTTTCTCTTCCTCTTTTTATATCATTGTCACTGTCATAGCTGCCATAACTGCCATCACTGGAACTTTTGTCACTGTAAGTTATCACGGGGTGGCATCTCATCCTTTTGTCACCTGCACTTCTCATCACTCTCTGATGATCTAATATATTTTCTGTCATCTGTCTTGAATAAGATATCTTTGACCGTGTTTTCAAAAAGTGTGATTCTGCCATTTTGCTCCTGCTTCTGCAAAATCATGAACAAAACCTTACAAACAGTCGAATATCGTCTTTATAATTCAGCAGTTCCAAGGATTAGATTGTTTGAGGGAAGCAATGAGATGTATCCGTATGAAATCATAATATTTGATGAATCACCATACATACACATGAACAGAATCAGCACGGACATGCTTGCTGTCGGATCAGTAAGTTTTGATACATAAGACATAGGTAATCGACGAGCAGAGATAACCAGACTGGCATTTCCACTCGTTAGGTAGAAAAATGTCTGACATCTTTTATTTGGCCATAATATCCTTACAGCATTGCTGTATATAACAGTCAAATCCAATGTTTTTCTCTGGACATCCTACAAGGGCGACTGCATTTAAGGCTATTACGTTGTGTTTAATTTGATTTGTGTCCCTCCAACATAAATCAATCTACAAAGTGTACACCACCTTAGATGATGTTTCCGCATTTCTAAGTGGTCAAGGGTATTGCTGTCATGGTGTAATGAAACCTAGTAATGTTTTACATCTTGACTTGAACGGGGATTTTGAAACATTTCTAAAGTAATTAGTAGTCATAACCATGTTTGACAAATATTTCCTGAAACAAATTGTCATGTTCGCTGCTGCATACAATAAAATATCAAGTCCATGTATTTGCCTCGGAAATGATTTAACAATAAAATTTAAAGTCAACGTGTCAGTTTTATTTGGTATATGTTTATTATCGATTATTAACAATCAGAGGCTGATCCAGTTTTTCTCGATCGAACTGGTTTTACCCTCGGTGGGAGGGAAGTTTTTAGTAGGTGTGGATTTCAAAAGGATGGGTGGGGGTGGGGGTAAAGGTTAATGAACCCCTTGAATCCCGCCTCTGGATCTACCACCGACGATTTTTCAGTCATTTTTTGTCTAAATCTAAGATAAGTTCTTGTTTGACAAAAACCTGTTTCAGGTTAGATAAGTGTTAATTTGGTGTTCAGAATGTGACGGGTATTTGTGGTGTGATATTGTCAGTTCATTTAGTAGTGATTAAATAAATTAATTTCATTCTTCGTCTCTCTCTCTCTCTCTCTCTCTCTCTCTCTCATGTTATAATGATGGATGTTCATTGACATGACGAGTAGAGTCAGTGTGCATGTAAGCTAAATGCCTGCCTGTAATGTCACTCTATTGATAAATGAAGTACATATTATAATAACTGTTTACACGGCAGTATTAACTGAACCAACCATCACTTAACAATATAAATTAATCTATAACATTCATTCGTATAGATAACAACTTTAGTTTTAATGGCCCTATGCTAATTGTTTTGACGACTAAGTGAACAAAGTTTTGACAATGCTAAGCCTCAATCTACGCCTGGCACATTTTACACAAGAATAACTGTCTCACGAATTATGTTTTATTGATAAACATCCATTTTATTTAGAAATATCAGGATACCGTTTTACACCAGATTGTGTTCCCTTGTCTTTCCGTGTTGACATCAGATTGATCGTCTTCAGTAGATCTTCCTCGCTTTCTTCGCTGCTGTTTTTGATTACCACTGGCTCATTTCGATATGTGTAAGGTCACTGCGCCACAATTCAACGTTTTCATCGATGACATTGTCAGGGGATGCCGTGACGAACGCTAGAATTCTATCAAACACTACACAGAAACAGTGATCGTCTGCAAGGCAACCCACCACTATGACGTCACGTCATTAACTCTCGGTAATTTCCGGAATACAAGTAGGCTTTCATGTGGGTTTTTTTGTCACAAATATTTCTTTTAGAAATATTTCCTTCAAGATACTTGTTCTAATATGCTATATAAATGATTTAATGTCATATTTATAGTCTACTGTAAATCTCAAGGTGACTGACTTTGTTTGGCCTACAGTAACGTGGCACCATTTTTATAATTCTATAAATATATCATCCACTACTAGTGTAATCACATCAGTGGCCAATTTATATCAATACTTTATCGAATTAAGTCCAGTTGCGTCCAGAGATGTGTAATCTTCCTCTTCTTCCTCTCCATAATACTTCCCAGTGGATGTTGTTGTTATGACCTCCCCTCGGCTGGCAGCAACGGCGTAGCAACTGTTTATCATGTGATATTCGAAGGCAATTAATTGGTTTTTATTAATACTCATAAAAATCAATTTCAAATTGATTTCTGAGATGGATCTTTTTTCTGTTTACTTCAGTTGTTTATGTTGGGAAAGTGGATCCGTCAAAGGAACAAGGACGTAACGGGGCGTAGTTTCTCGTAGTTTGGTTAGTATAATACCTATATACCTATAATGAAATACGATGGAGTACACTATGACTTTCGTAGTTCTAGAGTCAACTACAATCCAAGGACATATAATCAGCCCTTGCCATTGTCATATTTGATGTCATGCTATTGTTTTTATATTATTAAGACAACTCTGATCTAATTACTGTCAAGCATCGATATGGGGAATTAGCTAGTCTTGTCTTGAAACAAGAGAGGAGGTCCTTGGATTTATTTCGAGCGAGTGTGCAGGCATATAATTCATTTTACATGAATTCATATATAGTAATGACATACAATGACAATAATAATGATACTAATATCCTGATGCAGTTTCAATCTAAGTCTGGCAATAAATACAATATATTGGAGTGTGTACGGTAAATGCACATATAGTCATTAAACAAGGGAAATACAGATAAATTGAGTAATTATAACATTTTCATAGAGCATGAATGGTACAGCCAACATGACAATTCTGTGTCGCGCCTATTTGGGTAACTACGGTAAGAACTTATGACTATCGTTAACATTAATTCTATAGAATGAAAACTACGTACGTAGGGCATATACGGTAAGTTACTTTAGTAATAACTGTCATAACATAATAATGTCGGCAAAAGCGGTAAGTAAAATAGCCGGGTAATTGTTCAGAGTGAAGATATAAGTCAGGGCCTAGATTTTCGAAACGATCTTAGCTAAGATAAATCTTAACAACTTACGTTCAAAGATAAGATATCTTAAGGTTAAGATAAGATAGATTTTCGAAACTATCGTAAACCTGTCGCAGATCGTTCAGAGTTACGATACCTATCGTAACTCTGACAAGGAACTCATTTGTGTTAGAGATTGAAAAAGCGGGGTGTTTCCCAATGACGTCACGGGGATTTCCCAGCTGCTGACAATAACAACAACATAGATAAGTGACACGGAATTCATGATCACATTGTCAGGTCACATGGTTTAACATGCACATATTTGAGTGAAATTCTGTACAATCCTACATATGTCCTACATGTAGACGTTTTGTTCTCTCTGATAAAAGATGCCATGACTACCGGAACACAAATAACATTCGTGTGCCATGCAATAGCATTTTCCAAAACCAATAAATGTTGTAATCAATATGTGTAGTTACCGCACTTTAGCTACTAGAATTGAAATAACGTGCCAAAAGATACTTCACTATTTTCCCTTCAAATGGTCCTCTCGTGAGCGCGCAGAACTGTATGATATAAACACATCGCGTACAAAGTCAAGGACGAAAGTAATGGACATTATTCTAAATGACAATGACGAGACCTTTGACCGAACAGCATATGCGTTCAGCATTTAACATGCGTGTTCAAGTCTGATGTAAGGTGATGTATAAGGTATATTTTTGTGTTTATGTCAAAAGTCAAGTTTATTTGAGTGTGAACACCAACATTAAACGTGGAAACACTCAAAACAAAAATTGTTTAGGAAGCAGCGCACCCATAAGCAAGTTTTTACGACAATCTAAGCTTGTTAAGTTTGTTTTGTTATTTATGTATCCAATATATTTCACGAATTAACCAAGGACTTAAATACAATATCAAGCTATTAGTATTTAGATGATGAAATTATTTCTTTTATCTATCTAGATCAATAATTCTTTTCAAAATTTAACAGTGACGCTAATTTTCGTTCGCAAAGAGAGATAATTTAGGAATTGTCAAGTTATATTGTCTCATGGAACACGCCACAAGTTAACGTGAACACACATATAATGTCATTTCTATCCTTTTAAATTACGTAGAGCTAATAAACTGGTTTGTCTGATTTAAATCTGGCTGAGGAGCGAAATACTTTGTAATGTGTCAAATCTATTCCAGAACGTAGTTCAATGATGTTTGGCTTGTCTGACAGAATTGCTGAGAATAATTTACTAGTATTTGTCCGTTGACCCTATACCTTTACGATGGTATTGTCTGAATGGTCTCAAGTATATCTATATCTTATTTTGAACATAAAACGGGATGATGTAGACTTAAATATTAAAAAGACCAAACTATTTTAAAAGCGGTTTATTGAATGCAAAGATTATTGTGTTGAAAATGTGTAATTTATATTGATCAGTAAATTTCATTCAAAAAACATATTTTCTACGAACATATTTTGGAAAGTGAATTTTGGACAATGTGCAAACTATGCTACATTTTGACGAGAACCCGAACGAGCATGGGAACTCATTTTTATTTGATTTGTCGATACGAAAATCTGTGCTTAACTTTTGCTGTCATAATTTCAGTAAATTGTTATATTTAATGGAATACATCTATATGCCGTTAATCACCTGTTTTTAAAGAATGCAAATGTTCAACAGACAGTTTTTAATCACTTTTTATCAAATATTGTCTTTCAATAGGATATAGATAACATAGGTATTGAATTTAAAACGAAACAAATTACATATTTGATAAATATTTGATCACATGTATTTCCTTGTTAAGTTAATAAATACTACACTGTATAGTTAAAATTCAATTATTAAAATCATCCGTCCTACACGATTTTAGATGTAAAAACTTATGCGAAACCTGTATGTTTTTTTTTACATATGTTGATTGATATAATTTTATAAAATGCGAAAATAAAGACTAAAGCATTGACACAAATGCGATCCAGAAAATATAACAGCGAACTCTGCGCTTTATGAAAACTGTAACATTGAGCAAGGTGTCCCGGGGGGGGAATACAAAGGGAAACCACTCTCAACTAGAGTTTGAACTAAGATTAGCTCCCCCTGAGTTATCAATAAGGTCACGGTCATTACTGTAGCCTGCCGACACCTTCCGTTTTTATCCTTCCCAAATTATCGAAAAGGTATGTTGTTTCACACTCCTTCAGCATGGACTCAGATAGAAATATGTTGTAGGCTATCGACTCCACAGTCATGTGGATCGCTGTCGCGATTAAGAACATTTTTGACGTGATATACTTGATGCGTTCTTCGTGTTTTCGAAGTGTCAATTTGAATCACACAGTTTTACAAAATGAAATGTCAATGTTTGGACGTAAAGCAGACTAATTGTTTGTCAAAATATTTATGGCAAAGTATGCCGCCATCTTGGATGAAGATACAATATCTAATATTTTTCTTGCAAAAGTAATTGTAATTTGTTTCGTTTTAAATTCTACCTACGTTATCTATATCCTCTTGAAAGACAAATATTTCGCTCCTCAGCCAGATTTAAATGAAATCAGACAAATCAGTTGATTAGCTCTACTTAATTTAAAAGGATACAAAATGACTACATTATATGTGTGTTCACGTTAACTTGTGGCGTGTTCCATGAGACAATATAACTTGACAATTCCTAAATTATCTCTCTTTGCGAACGAAAATTAGTGTCACTTTTAGATTTTGAAAATAATTATGGATCTAATTTAGATAGATAAAAAAATAATTTCATCATCTAAATACTAATAGCTTGATATTGTATTTAAGTCCTTGGTTTATTCGTGAAATATATTGGATACATAAGTAACAAAACAAACTTAACAAGCTTAGATTGTCATATAAACTTGCTTGTGGGTGCGCTGCTTCCTGAACAATTTTTGTTTTGAGTGTTTCCACGTAAAATGTTGGTGTTTACACTAATATAAACTTGACTTTTGACATAAACATAAAAATAAACAGTATACATCACTTAACATCAGACTTGAACACGCATGTTAAATGCTGAACGCATATGCAGCTGGGAAATCCCCGTGACGTCATTGGGAAACACCCCGCTTTTTCAATCTCTAACACAAATGAGTTCTCTGTCAGAGTTACGACAGGTATCGTAACTCTGAACGATCTGCGACAGGTTTACGATAGTTTCGAAAATCTATCGTATCTTAACCTTAAGATATCTTATCTTTGAACGTAAGTTGTTAAGATTTATCTTAGCTAAGATCGTTTCGAAAATCTACGCCCAGACCTGTTCGTCACGGGTGGAACGAGCATTCATTGTAACATCCATCTGCATAATGCTACCCCTGCGTCACAGGGCCATATGACACAGTTGAACCAATCAACTCAACTGGAAACGAATACGGTGTTAGCGTCGGGCGTTATTTAATAATATTTATCCAAATATTTTTGCATTCTTTTTCAGGTCAGTGTTATTGACTTGAATGTATCATTCCTTGCCACATAATTATATTTCATGCATCATGTTATTAGGTGTAATATATCATACGCAATTATTCATTTAGACAAATCATTGCTTTATGGTTTCGAAGAAAATATTTTGATATTTTCGTAGATGATTCGAGGCTTTCGGGGCTGTTTCGGGTGAAAGAGAATCACATGAAAGTACATGAATTTCTATTTATGTAGGTAATGAGGAACAACAGTCTCAGAACCCATCGCTCCTGGACTTATAACCTCGTGAAATTAACCTCTCACGAGTTGAGATTAGTCTCTTCGACGTACCATTTCTACGCTGAAATGCCTTGTTGGCAGCGGTCGACAGGAACCCTAAAGACAGTTACACCATATATACAAGTACTTACTGAATAGAAGACTCGTATCCGTAGAAGTACACCTTCAAACAACTGGTTGTCCAGTATTTCCTCCGAGTAACGTCCTGAATCAAGGATATACACTTGTGCACAAGCTACCTTTGCCAACTGGGACCCGACAATTCGCATGCAATCTAAGAATCTATAAAACTACTTAAACTTACTTACTTACTTAGGAGATTTTATTGCCCTTTCCGACTGATGCGTATTTCGCACACGGGCCCGGCCAGGCCATTTAATGTGTTTCCGAAAGGGGCGAAAGTGGTCTGTGCAACCCAACCCTACTTTTAAAGCCCCACCCTGACTATAAATAGCCCGCAAAGTGGCGGTGGTTCAGTTTCGCAACGACTGACAATGTAAACACAACCGAGTGTCGGGACGTTTTTTGAAAACCATACGGGAACGAGATCAACATTTGACCGTCAAACTTCAAAGATGTACGCGTTTGTTGAAAAGTCTTGGAATCGTTTGGTAGATATTTATATTACCATTAAAACTTACGTCCTTGTTGTCAAACGGCCCACGTGGGTGGGTGTTTACATGACGTCTCCCTTTACGCATTAACCAATGAAATGTATGTGTTATCATGACGTCATATTGACCTGTCAAATCACTTGTATAAGCTCCGCCCACTAGAGTGCGGTAGTTACTACCGCAGATGGGGCTTTAAGGAAACTTATGGCATGTTACAGTGTTAAATAACCAATGCAACCGTGGAGATCCATTGATTGCCGTACAACCATGCAGCATAACATCACGCAAATCTTACAAAAGGAAATATTGATCTCCTGAATCAATGCACCCGTCTCGCTGACTTGGTGGATGCATGTCATGGTATCCCAATCGATGGATCGATGCTCAACAATTTATTCAAACGACTTCTTCTTCTGAACCACTAATTTGAAATTAACGAAATTTGACTGGAAACATCCCTGGGTGGTGGGGATTCAAAATTGTATTAATGCTGGGGCTGCTTTAAATGAATTCTTTTCTGGAACTGAGAGATGTATATCAACCATATTTGGTTGGAAGCATCCCTAGGTGGTGGGGATTCAAAATTGTATTAACGCTGGGGTTCTTTTCTGGAACTAAGAGATAGATATCAACCATATTTGGTTGGACGCATCCCTTGGTGGTGGGGATTCAAAATTGTACAAATGGTGGGGCGGAGAGGCGGGGCCAAATAGGGGTAATTTGGTTATATTGCTTTAAATGACTTCTTTTCTGGAACTAAGAGATAAATATCAACCATATTTGGTTGGAAATAATCCTGGGTATCTTTACCATACCATGACAACCGATATTATCCCCACCCTATAATACACAGATACATTGTATACATTTGTTTGTTATGAAGAGAATAATACCTTTAATATGATTTATCCTGGATCATAACATGGAAACGGTTCAGATCTTTATGCTACATTTGTATCTAAGAGACATACACATTCATGCTGTCAGATTGCCATCAGACAGTCAAAATTACGAAATATTTGCAGTATTATATACATGCACAATGCAAATGTATATTTGTCATGATTGCGTAAATATCCAGGTGACCGCCGTCATATAGCTGGGTGCAGTGTTAAACAATAAACAAACAAATAAGCAATGTTAATGATTCGGAACATACCAGGCAACAGGATGATTGTATCTCTTGCAGCATCTTACCGAGGCAGGTGAGTTAACGGACTGTGGAAACTGGACTTTTAAAGTCAGTTAACACTAGGGAAGATGCTCTTGCAAGAACACCGTCAAAGATGGGGAATGGGAATATATACACCAAAAAGCTAATATATATAGTCAGTTAACTCACTCGGAAAGATGTATACGATACCTGTGATAGGAAGTACTTTAATTTGGGCATTTCATGTTAAAAAAATGTGCGGTCTAGTTCGAAATCTCAGGGAGTTGGAAATGAAGCATTTATCTTTGTTCTGAAACATATCCTTGACCGTGCTGAAGAAAACTGGCATTCGCATGTCACAGACAAACGATCACTTATTTAACCATGAGATCACAACTTCAGTTTGAACCGTTCACTTATTTAACCATGAGATCACAACTTCAGTTTGAACCGTATGTCCAACATATTGATGTACTTAATTACAGAAAGGCCTGGTTAAACTTTAGAAGTGGATATAATACATTTGGTGTTCAAAACGTACGTAGAGAAAAATGCAATGTAGATGATGAAGACTCTCTGCAAATGTCTAGATGAAAAGCACTTGAGTTTTGTATGTCCTCTGTATACCGATGCACATGCTCATTGTAAAGTTTTAACAAACAACCATGTCTTATTTTTCGTAAAATACTTGAGAACGTGATTGAGTGAGTGAGTCCAGTTATATCATGGCGTGTCAGCTTAATGTGGGAGGAAAGCCCGAAGTGATGCAGGTCTCAGACGTTTACCACTTCGGTGAAACCCACGAACACGGGTATGGTGCTGCCAAACCTAGAAACATAATCAGGGCGAACCGGGATTCGAACCCACAAAAATAGGTTTCTGGCGTGCCCAAGGGACGCAACTCTGCACAGCGAATCGCGGCGCCTAAGACGACAGGACCACCCGTGCCCCCCCCCCCCTCCTAAACTAGAAAAGACGTAATGTTATCCAATACCATGACGCATGTGTAATGTAATACAGCTGTATGATATACATGCATGCAATATGTGTCATATGGCCTTGAAAAACAAACTGAAATAGGTCTTAAACCGTTCTTGAATGCTGTTTTGCCTCTTAGGCCAAATGTATATTTCTGCTGATAAGACTGATTGATATCTGGCAATAAGTAAACGTGTATGATTCATCAAATGTCAAAATATATAGTTGATGCTACGAGTTATATCAGAAAAATCTAACAGAATGAAAACAAGAATGAGTTGTGATTTTTTTTTTATTTACAGATCCAACATTTACTCATTGTCTCCACCTTTTGTTGCACGCGTGTAGATGAGCTGGGAACTGTGCTTCGACACCAAGCGAATCAGGCCTGAAAGGAAAAACACAGCTGTTTAGACGCTAGTACACAATAGTAAACAGATTTACAGTTTTGAACAATATTTCAGTTACCATGGTTGCATATGATTATGTCGGATTGAGGAGTATGTCACAAACAAAATTTAGTAATAACATTTGTGATCGAAAATCGGACAACTACACGATAGACAACGATAGAAAACAATACAAATACGTAGTACAAAAACTGAAATATTTAAACTGTTGTTACATTGTCAGCGGAATGTTTTCTAATCATGCAACCTATAAAGCTTAACACAATACTGTTATGGACTGTATGACCGATTAAAAATACTTTAAAAAGTAGTCTGGAATGGAAGTCACCAGTTTGAAACTGGTACAGCAAAGATCAAGAAAGCTGCTTTCTAAGTGGCTAATGTCGACTTCCTGTTAGCCATTTCATTGGGTGGTCATAGTTGTTCTGACGTGTCCTACATGTAATGGGGTGTCCTTGGCATAAGCGAGAAATTGTATCAGATTTTAATGAGATTGAGGTAATCAAAGAATGTGTTTAATCCTGTTTTGTTTATTTAAAGCATTAATTGTCAGTGAGCCTGCCCATCTGATCTTGATCGCCTATTACGGTAAGCATCGGTTGCTGAAGACCTATTCTAACCTGGCACTTCAGGGGTAGGAAAACCAAGACACATTCAGGGTGAACTGCGATTCAAACCCATGCTTATGCTTCTAGCATGTCCAAGTGACATCTCGGCAAACGAGTGGCATCTTAAAAACGACCGGGCCCTCTAGCATGTCCAAGTGACACATCTCGGCAAACGAGTGGCATCTGAAAAACGACCGGGCCCTCTAGCATGTCCAAGTGACACATCTCGGCAAACGAGTGGCATCTGAAAAACGACCGGGCCCTCTAGCATGTCCAAGTGACACATCTCGGCAAACGAGTGGCATCTGAAAAACGACCGGGCCCTCTAGCATGTCCAAGTGACACATCTCGGCAAACGAGTGGCATCTGAAAAACGACCGGGCCCTCTAGCATGTCCAAGTGACACATCTCGGCAAACGAGTGGCATCTGAAAAACGACCGGGCCCTCTAGCATGTCCAAGTGACACATCTCGGCAAACGAGTGGCATCTGAAAAACGACCGGGCCCTCTAGCATGTCCAAGTGACACATCTCGGCAAACGAGTGGCATCTGAAAAACGGCCGGGCCCTCTAGCATGTCCAAGTGACACATCTCGGCAAACGAGTGGCATCTTAAAAACGACCAGGCCCACAGTGGGGGAGTGAGATGTTTTTTCAGCGTTTGGGGCAGTATTTAACCAATACCACAGCATGACAGCCCAACATAGGAAAAAGATCGAAGTAATGCATGGGTTTCTTTGCTTGATGTTTAACTCTGCATTCAGCAATTATATTCCACCTAGATGACAGCGGCTTGTAAATAATCGAGTCACAATCCAGTGACTGACGTCATGGGCATCAGTCCATGCAATTGGGATACAATGTGATGCATCAAACAAGTCAGCGAGTCTTGACCACCCAATCTTGTTAGTCGCCTCTTACAGCAATCATGGGCATGGGGTGGACAATATAGAATCAATCAATATAGAGAATCTGGGACTAACAATGAGCATCATGACATGACTGATGTCTCAAAAAACTTGGAATACATTTGACTGAAATGTCACAGAAATATCTAGTAATATCTGAGTCTACAAGGGCAGCAATAGAAACCGAGATGGTCAAATTTAAAATCATTTGCTTTTAAGCTTTGCCGTTGAGCGACATTTCAATACGTCAGAAATTGAAGATTTTAAAACACTCAATACTCCAGCTATATCAAACGGCCTGTAAATAGTTGAGTCTGTATCAGACAAACCAGCGATTGATTATATGATAGCCATGGGCTTTAATGGGGTGTAAATTAACCAGGTCACAGACTGTCTATTTGATTGCCTCTTAAGACAGCAGTAGGTTCCAGTGTGCCAATTCTTGACCACAATCCTGTTCGGGATCAAATAATAGTGTGCCATACTGCTATCTACGTTTTAAGTTCTAGTTATGCAGAGTCAACTGAACACCGGATGAATGCAGATACAACTTAATGGTCAGCACACCTTTTCCATGGAGTTCCCTGAGTGCAGCCTTGGCTAGTGAGCCTCTGATCTTCAGCCTCTCAGAAACGACAGATGGGGTGATCAGCTTGTAACTGGGTACTTCTTTGTACAGTTTGTCATATGTGCCCTTGTCAAAAAGAATCAAGTTGTTCAACTTGTCCCTGACCTTTCCTTTCGACCACTTCTGCAAATGACAAAAGCAAAACAAAATTTAGTTATCTGCACTACTTACTTTCCTAATACTTGATCTCCACTTCCAATCCTTAATTTTGAGCAAAATGTCATAATGAAAAACATCTGGTAAGATAAAAAATTCCTGTGGTCCAAATTGTTTTCAGCTTGGCACATCACTTTCATTATTATAACCAAGCCGGTTGAGAGCAGATGTCCGTAATTTGTGTCAATATTTTTCGAATCTCTTGGTGACTTCAACAAACTTTAGTTTTTCTCTCCCCACCCACACCCACAAAACAGTAGACTGGTGAAATTTTAATTTCCAACCCTGATCTACTGTATCAATTAGCTGAAATAGTTTTACAACTTTGGAGCAACAATGCAGCGAATAATCAAGTGTTTTCCAAATAAACAAGAATACGGATTATGGATAATGTGCCACGCCAATCAATGTTCCAAGTTGTAGACCATCACCTTCTAAACCCCATTTAGTCGGTTCTATCATCAGACTGCTTGGGAGATATTTCACACACAGTCCCAATAGTTCACTGCTCTGCAAACAAGATCTATTCTGTGCAAACAAATATATCTGCGCTCATTACCTTCTTCTTAGCCTTGCCGCCTCCTCCACCTTCCTTCTTCTTGGCCGGTGCCTTCTTGGACGAGGCCTTGGGATCGGGTTTCTTTGCTCCCTGGGAACATACAAACATTTTTAAAATAGGATTCAAAAGCCTCATCGTGACAAATGGCATTAAGATATTTTTACGATTTTATCATGCTTTGAATCATGCTCTCGGAAGATATGCTTTACGGATGAGTCTGCATTTCAGGTTAAAATTATCTTAGCAATCTGCATGTACCATTTCATAAATATACAACTCAACGAACACATGTTCCTTTCATATCACTTGTTAATCTGTCGTGTGCGTGTGCTATGACAGGTATAGTTTATATGTTACATATTTCTTTATGAGAAACCACAAAATTCTACTCATATATACAACAGTTTCATGAGAAAACTATATGAACACAATTCTATTTTACATTACTAACAACAAATGTATCTAGAGTATATTTGTTTCTCATAATATAACATGTTGATCTCGTTCAGTGACCCGACAAAGTTGATCTTTTAATGACTTCCAGGATACAATGTTCTACATAAATATCAGTTCAACATTAAAATTAATTTGTAATGTAATTGGTCATTCTTTATAGTATCAGAAAATATATATATGTACTGACATACAAGAAGGTGAGTTGAATACCCTACATTGTCACCAACAGATGAGGGCAACAAATGGTATCAGTATCAATTGTTACTCTGAATTATGTGCACAGGCAATTTCTCATCTCCCCTCACACAAGCATTACTCCAGAAGCACATGTATTCACAAACTAGCCAATTAAGGACAGGTTTAATGTAAATGACTCTTGAGCGAAACCTTTGTGATGAAAGCACCCAATTGAAATGACACATCCCAGTGAGTGTGAACAGTGAATATTTTGAATGTGATCACAAACATTGTTTTGATGAAATCCATGAACTACTAAGGTAGATTAAACATGTGTGAATGTATTACTATTAACTAATTAGAATTAATAATTGAAGTTCAAAACAATGGTGTAAAGAAGTATCAAGGGAAAATTGGGTCAATGTTTGTAGTAAATTGAAAATGTACTTCTTAGTCAAGTTAGTGACGTTCAAACAATGCTACCTATGTTGGAGAATTATCACCCCAAAAGCAAGGAAAATCGACACTTGTTAAGAGATCTACGGTGATCATACAGATATACAGTTGAGGCATATTGTTTCCTTTTTGTCTTGATATTCTTTCTGTTATTGGATTCAGACAGCTGCATTCAAGAAATGGAATATATATCTTTCTGCAGAATAAAGTTTTCTAGTATAACTGTAATCAAGTGCTGATCACAAGCACTGTGATTGCACCTCTGGTCTCATGGTAAAGTGTTGGCTAACCAGATAAAAATATTTGTCCAACTTTGTTTCAAGCTGCTAAGAGAGTTTGATCCTGTGCATAGCACTAATTGAAATTCTAAAAAATGCAGCACTCTGTGTGTCTTTCTTTGTAGCTTTCCAACATAAGTCCTAATTGATAAATACTAAATTAATATTTCCAGTCAAGATAGCTATATACTATTTTCCACTCACCCAGGCACACAATTGGTACTTTCATCAGAATCAGAAATATTTCATTCAAATTAACAAGATTATAAGCTTAACAATAAGTGTTCATCTTAATAACTAGGGAGGTGACGGGCAGTTGCGTCCAGTAAACCTTATTCTTACCTAGGAAATAGTCAAGGCAAGTGATGGCTAAATCCATTTCGACTAAAAACATTATCGGATTGATTAAAGACCACTCTCCTCATACATTTACTCGATATCGCAATATAACTAGTCGTAACTAAATAATAATAATAAAGCAACGAAAAGAAATTGTATCAAATGGACAATATTAAAGTGATGTCTTTGGACTTTTACTCTTGAGCGAGACAAACTCTGGCGGCCATGTTGAACGGCATGGTCACCATGTGCTCAGCCCTAAATTTTCTAAGTCTCATCTGAATCAATTTGCATCGTTGAATATCACGCATTGTCATCTTTTGTTTAGAAAACCATGCATTATATATATGAGGAAAGTTAAAATGATGACACTACAGCATATTATGTAGAAAATGTGAATTTTATGCGGACTCTACAACACACACACCATTTCGTGGAGAGTTTACCCAGAAAGAGGCTGTGGTCACGTGACAAATCACGGAGATCGCATTATCAAGAAAAAAAAGAAATCATGCTTCTTAAATATGACCTTTGTCTTCATAACTATATACACAATTAAATATTTTCACCAATAATATATTTCATTAGCCTTGAATTTATCACATGAAATCTATGTTGACATATGTTTGAATATTTGTTGTTGTAAGCGATGCGCTGAACATGTGCGTGAGAGTATTCAACAACAACAATCAGCTGCTTGTACGGACCTCAGAAAAGAGAATGTCCTTTCCCGTACAGTTTGCTGATACAGCTGTCCTTGATTGGTACGTTTCATCGCAAATGACAATTGGGTCACATTGTTATAATGGTTTTATGTAAATCTTTGACGGGAGCTTCACAATTTGCAACTAAAACATCAGTTGTTCTAGCGTCGCGTTTGAAACAGTGTGATCATGATATGAGCTATGACGCATATTTCATATTTCCCTTGATCCTATTCTAGACAGATGATGTGAAATTGACAAGAGTGCAGTTGGACCGATGCAGTTTACCTAACTCCTTAATTGACGCACTTTTAACTGATATCTCGTGTTGACACTCACTATGTGTGTATTTTTATAGGTCCCTTAGATCATCTCAGCCAAGCGAGTTTTTGGTTTACGAATTTTCATTCATACTACAGATTCATGACGCGACTACTGACAAAATATACAAACCTCTCCAAAGTTGTTATGAAAGGGTTTGCGCTTGTTTATAACTTGAAACAATTAATGCTCAAGACATAATTGAAACAATACCATGTCCCAACTTCAATAATTCAGTGTCTACATAGGCGACAATGCAGTTTACCCGCTTCCAGCAGCTCTATTACTACACTATAGCTCTACCATGCTGTCTTGCTATACTGCTACTGTGGCTCACACTTAAATGCACTCGTACTCGTCTCAGGGATCTGTCATGCCTTGGTGATCCAACATCCCCTTTCAATCTTGGGAAGCTGACACACCTTTCCAATTCAAACACCCCTTTTCAATCTAAGGGAACAGACATGCAGTTCTGGTCCAACGCCCCTTTTCGATCCTTAGGGTTAGCCTGGTTAGAGCTAGGGTTAGCCATAAATGTTACCGTTTCACAGTGTTTCCAATAATCCAATGAGGGTAATCCTATTAGAGTAGTCCATTTTAACATTTTTTGTCATTCAATTCGTTACTCATTTTGATGGACAATGACAGGCATGGCTTTCTCAAAATGATAAATGGAGAGGATGTGACGTAGCACATACCTTTACCACAATAAAATATTAAAAGCAGCTGCCACGATAAAAAACCCAGAACCAAACGATGTACACAGGCCTACATTGCTTATACCCCAATTTAACCCTTAACAGAAACTTTGAAGGAATTTGTGGTTATCATTAATCCCAATATTCAACTGTTCAATGGGCATAAACACACATCATCAAAAGCCAATGTAAAAGGCGACAATGCTTGTCGTAAGAGGCAACTAACGAGATCGGATCATCAAGCTCACTGACTTGGTTGATGCAAGTCATCGATCCCAATTGGGTGGATCTATGCTCATGTTGTCAATCACTGGATTGTCTAGCCCAGACTCGATTACTTACAGACCGCCGTCATATAGCTGGAATATTGCTGAGTGCGGCATTAAACAACAAACAAACAATCAAGAGCCAATGATTGTCCGCTCTCCCACCTGTTAATAAGTGGCTGCTTTTACGAACAATTAATGTGAATTATACTTATTCATTTCAACCAGCTTAATGGTCCTTCTTCCAACAGTGAGAGATTGTTTGGTGTACATAAAATTGTTATACATGACATGTTTCCAGAGAAATGTAGTTATAGCTTTCAGACATTTTCAGCTGAGGTCAGGAGATAGAAACAGAAGTGATGTCAACAGTTGCTTTATGAAAACAAATGAAAGTGAATGTACGTTGTCGCAAATTCTAACCAAACAAGCACTAGTAATGTTAGTATTATGATATGACACCCATAAATATAGATGTCATTTGATGGTGGAAAAGGGTACACTTTATCCCTAGATTAACATGAGGGGTGAATATTGGGGCTATTTACACTATTGCAATAGTTTTGTGATAGTTGTCATCTATTGCAATAGTACTGAACTAACTTTAAGGCTTGATAATTATATTAATTAATGTAACAGGAGTGAATAAAGTATTGCCGACAATGTTAAAGTCTGACATATCCCTGCCTGTCTGTTGTAAGTGTGTCTATAATCACTGAAAATCATGCACGTATTAGCATGAAAACTCACAATTCACTCATGCACTGATGTATCGTTTCCCCTGAATATAATACCAGCATATATTGCTTTTTGAAGATCTTGCATATTTTCTTTTTGTGGCCAAAGTTAAAATTTAATGTCATAAATTAGCAACTGTTTCCTCTAATAGAAAAAGCGAAACATTTCCTGTAAAAAGTTGTCAAAAGTGTGCAGGGAGAGTCTGATGTGTTATGTGGGTTATTTATATTTAGGTTCATAACAAATTACAGATTCAAGAACACCTGCAATGTATTGTGATAAGTACCGCAATATGAATCATTATTGCAATACACAGCAATACGAAAGTCTGGGCAATACCCATCACTACTATTCACTATTGACAAGTTTTGATAATGACTGGTTTCACCAAGAACAAGCCTTGATCGAAAGTCAGGGACATCAGTTAACCATTTGACATTGTTATTTCTGCTCTATCATACCCACAGGGTTACAGAGACAGCATCATGCTGTCAACCACTGGTTTGTCTGCTCCAGAATTGATTACATACAAGTCGGTTGGATCCATGAAAAAACAAACAAAAATTTGTCAGACAATTAGAATTACATAATGATAAATTCCTAACTTAACCTTAAGGTCCCATTATTAAAGTTCTTTATGTCTAGTATTGATTTTATTTGTGTGACAGTTTTAGATTAACATAGCATAATCCTTAGTTTGTATGTGAACAATTTCAGTATAATATATATATGATCCTTTATATATGTTGATCCTTTAATCTTCTTTTATAAATTTCTGGGTGAAATCTTTTGATAATGAAACGCTAATGCAGGGAGTGGATTTGAAATGAACTGTGATCATCTTTCTAATTTCAGATCAATATTAACACGATGGCAAAACATCTGCATCTAGCTTTATCGACATCGACCAGCCACCCAAGCCAGTGATTGTCTAACACTGCTGCAATCATGACGGACACCATCAAGAGTGTGGCGGCCTCACTAGTCCTGGGGTTCCGTGATGCTGTTTTGGGAACAAGGAGAGTCTTGAATCTGGATGCTGACCTCCAGGAAGAAGAAGCGGAGAAGAAGTCTAATGAGCCTTTGACGACCCTCGCCCGCCGACGACTGGAGAAGAACAAACATAAAGATGTGGTGAAAGAACAGTGAGAATATTATCACTTATGTTACTGATCTTGAGATGTTTACAAGGGAAAATGTTTGCTTGGTCATCAAGATAGTTTAGATAATTGGAGGTTGCGTTCAAGAATATTGCACTTATTTAGCGATGTGTGCGTGTGTGTGTGCATGCATGTGCATGTGTAAAATGAATACCCCACTCAGACACGGTTTACTGACTCCTGAGCCGACCAATCCTTGTTATAGCCCCCAAATGCTGAGCGCCAGGCAGGGTAACAACAAGTACCATTGTTACGTCTTTTGATATGATGTGGCCAGGGGATTGAAACCCTGACCTTCCATTCTCTAGGTGGACGCTGTACCACTAGACTGCAGAGGCGGTCTAATTCATAGGAAACATGGGTACAGTGCAGTGATCCACTGAAGGCTCAGTGCTTGTGATGAGTGTCCTGAATTAATCACAAAAGCCAAGTGGTCCCTAATGTTAAAGTGGCTTCCACTGGAGATATCACTTGGGTGAGATTAAGCCATATCTCCTCAGAGATTTCGCTTCAGTGAAATTGCATCACAATGCTTTTCAAACCATTGTGATGTCATCGGTTACCATGATGTGACAATGAAATGTCATCTGTAATCTCTCTGCCACTGAAGCTGGTTAGCTGTTCAATTAAAACACTCAATACACTGGTTAGTATTGTTTACAAACTGAGAAAGAGATTCTCATCCTTGTGCCTTTCGATATCAAATATCAACGCTAGGAATTTTTAACTTTTCTTGACTTGTGTTGATTTACTTGATATAATATTTGCAGTAGAATATTCATCTCAGGCTTCATGTTTTATACGTCATATGGATTTAAAAAAAATATATCATTACTAAGCGTGATCTTCAGACACAAGGAACATATTTTAACTGTGCCTTACAATGTTATATATGCCATTGGCACCGCATTCAGGGTCATACTTCATGCACAATTTTGCATCCTACTCATAAAGATTGAGAATGGACAAAAGTAACGTCCATTCCATTTGGTGCATGAGAGTGTGAATGTTTGGTTAGATTGAAGCATGCATGTTTGATGTATCTTATGTTTCTTTTTTGATAAGAAAGACTATCACTGACAATGTTCAGACAGTCCATGAGGAATCACACATGCTTTTTTATCCCCCGCCCAACAAAGTTGGTGGGGGATATAGAAACGGGTTTCGTCCGTCCGTCACGTTTCGTTTCCGGAGCATAACTCAGAAACCGTTCAATATTTTTTCATGAAACTTTGCAGGTCTGTCTGGTACATGCTGAACTTGTGCCTTTTGCTATTTAGAAATTTTTGTTTTTTACGTTTCTATGGCAACAAGATGGACTTAGGTTCTGTGAGGGTAGGGTTCGTTTCCGGACCATAACTCATAATAAACCGTTCAATATTTTTTTTATGAAAATTTGCAGGTTTGTCAGGTACATGCTGAACTGGTGCCTTTTGCTTTTTTGAAATTTAGAAATTTTTATTTTTTCCACCTTGGTTAAAAAAGGTTAGGGTTTGTTTACCGGTAGATTTAATTATGTCATAAATTCTGCAACAGGGGCGGGGTATGTAGCCCCGTTAGTGGCAAACTCTTGTTGTTGTTGCCTTTGGCACAGTGGTCAGCCTTGGACCACCATTTCAATGCTTGTGGCCCCCCAAATGTATAACACACAGTTGAACTTGTAAAAGGTAAATCTCTGAACTCTAATACATGGATTGACGTAAAAGGCGACTATGCTTGGCGTAAAAGGCGACTATGCTTGTCGTAAGAGGTGACTAACGGGATTGGGTGGTCAGACTTGCTAACTTGGTTGAAGCATGTCATTGATCCCTATTGCATGGATCGATGCTCATGATATCAATCACTCGATTGTCTGGTCCAGAAATTCTGGGCAGCGCATGTCTTTGCATTGCACTTTCAGTATCATTGGGAAACGCTTTTGAGGAGCTACAGCGCTTTTCTAATTGCGATGTTTGTTTGATCAGGCTCGTGCAATCACGAATAGTATTGATTTGTTGTTATGGTTCATTTGCCATTTTGTTGATTTCACTCATTGACTTTTGCCATTGACTTATTACATTTCTTGGGTCCAGATCATTGATCTATATACAGCTTTTTGTGTCAGTATAACTGTTGTGTTGTCTTTCCTCGCCGATGAAGTTGTCAACCACTGGTTTGCCAGACGCACACACTGTTTTCATTGTGTGTGAGGGCGGTCAGGTAGCCTAGTGGTTAAAGCGTTCGCTCATCACACCTAATACCCAGGTTTGATTCCAGACATGGGTACAATGTGTGAAGCCCATTTCTGGTGTCCCCCCGCCGTGATATTGCTGGAATATTGCTAAAAGCGGCGTAAAACCATACTCACTCACTCACTGTTTTCATTGTGTAATGAAATGAACTTTTATCAAATACCCTGGTATGATACTGACATTATATAATTGTGTCAATGTCTTGAGATGATCTTCTTTCTTTTGCAGTGTTCCCAGAGTAACAAATCGAATTTTCATGTGTTGTGCATGGAATGGTGGCGTCTGCTGGGTAAGAATAATATTAACACAAGGGAGGTAACTCACATATTGTCATAATATTCTTGTATTGTGCCAGGCTGTGCACATCTTTCCGAGGCAAGGGAGTTAACTGACTTTAAAAGTCCAGTTTCCACTTGCCGAACTAGACTGGGATTGTGGAGTTGTATTTTGGCTAGACTAATGAGTCTGTGCATAGTCCAATTAAACTTGCTTAGCAAAATCGACATCCGGTTCGTAAACAACATGGATTTCAACGTGCAGATTTCAGTCGACCTTGCATTATCGGGTTGGGTGGGTCCGGATCGAGTAAGACCCAGGTACCCAGAGGACTACCCAGACCCATGGTTAGTCACGTGATCTATTGTTTAATGACAACAACAATAAAACCTCATCATTATATTACAAGTTGCTAATGTTCACATTTGTTTTGGGCTATTCATACCCTCTTTTATACGTTTGAGTGAAGATAAAGCTTTGGTGAACTTCAGTGTATCAATGATGAGATCGTTTATACATGTATCTAAACATTTTTTGCTGGGGCTCTGGTAAAACAATTCACAATCGGATATGTGGTATCCAACACTTGAGACCTTTTAGTGGGACCCAAGTCAGGTCGGGTACTAGGGGACCAGGTACAGGGGTAATTGTAAATAAACATGGAAACATGTCAATGCCACAGAATTTGTCATGGACGATATAGTTATAACCAACTCCTCCATTGATGTTAATTATGAAGAGAACAATTTGCATCAGGCACTAACTTCAAGTAGTCCATTATTTGTACATGTTTGTGAGGACAGGCATGTACATTGGCCATGCTCTCAAGGGGGATAACTCACTTGTTACACTAGTTTAGAAACCTAGGGCACTGACATCTATTGTTTTGTGTGTACATTGACATTACTGAAAGACCCCCAGTCTATGTTTTCACTCACAAAGGGTCTATCTCATGGGTAGCGAGAGATGGGTTCTAGTTTTCGTAGACTTATTAAGGGACTATCTGATGGGTAGAGAGAGGTACATACACACAATTAAATAACCTGTCCCTGTGTACTTGTTCTAGTAGGTTTATTAAAGGACTATCACAGGCCTCAAAGTTATGTGGTTGCCATGGAGATTGAAATTTTCGCTTGGCGACCAATATTATTAAGCAGTCACCACTTGGCTACTTAGAAAAAGAAACCGCATAGTGCAGAAATACTATACATTAACACATACTCCGATACAGAATAACTGAACTAAAGTTTCATTTAAAAATACTAAAAATCAACATGGAAATTGTAAGGTAAAAAATAATTAATGATCTTGTAATCTACTGACTACTGACTATAATCTTCAAGTTTGGCTCCCTAATTTTTTACCTGGCTTCTTATATTGGCCATGGTGACCAAACCAGTTGCAACTTTGAGACCTGTATATGTTTTTGCTCGATACTTAATGCATCTTCTATTATGACATATTTGTCCATTTCCCATGACGTCTATGCCAGGGAAGCACTCCTTCCTTGTTTGTGCTAGGGTGTAAACCTTCAGCGATTGTGGGTCAGAAATGTAAAACCTCAGCGTTCTGACTCATGCCCCATCACATCACATCACATCCTGTGCATCACCTCAGAGGCTTTGTTCTGCACATAATATTCATGTTCTGTATGTGGAGTGGTGGTATCTGCTCGGTAAGAATAACCCAACAGTGGTACAGGGGCCATTGTCACAGGGGAGATAACTTGTGCTGCTGGTCTTCAGTGTTTTTATTTCACTCCCATAGTGTGTGACTATTAAATATAGCATGATGTATCAGTATAATGTGGGAGAGAAATCAAGATTGATGCACTTGCTTGTGGTTACCATAGTTATGGTTCTGGTATATGAAATTTCGTATTTTGTAAAAATTTGGGATTACACCAACCAGGCCCCTTATGGGGATATTTACAGACTCGACTCAAGGTGGCTGTCAGATTGAACTGGCTTTGTTGGATCAGTGGGGAAATGTTGACTTGAAGGGGTATACCATATGGTGCTTATACATGTTTACGGGGAAATGGCCACTTTTTAGGGCATTGGACAAATGTCCCACTGGCAAATACTATATGCTCGTATATGCAAACAGCAAATCAACTGTAATAACTGGTTTTTTTGTCCATGGAATACTTAGTTGAGTCAACATTGATCTTAATAATTGTCTTACATTGAAGTTGTTTTTTTACAGAAAGGGTTAACACACTTGACAGGCAGAAAAACAGATATTTATTTCGCAGATTTGTTAAATGTTTGCTAGGCAGATCCATCAACCAACCAATTTATTTAACACCACCAAAGTGTTGTGAGGAGTTTATTGGAAGCTTTACTGTATTTCAGCTCAGCATCTTCGTGTTCCACTACATGCTGCTGCCCTGTATCTACTGGTTCACGGAGCTCATCTCAGGTCAGTGTGGGGTTCATGGAGCTCATCTCAGGTCAGTGTGGGGTTCACGGAGCTCATCTCAGGTCAGTGTGGGGTTCACGGAGCTCATCTCAGGTCAGTGTGGGGTTCACGGAGCTCGTCTCAGGTCAGTGTGTGGTTCACGGAGCTCATCTCAGGTCAGTGTGGGGTTCACGGAGCTCGTCTCAGGTCAGTGTGTGGTTCACGGAGCTCGTCTCAGGTCAGTGTGTGGTTCATGAAGTTCATCTCAGGTCAGTGTGGGGTTCACGTAGCTCGTCTCAGGTCAATGTGGGGTTCACGGAGCTCAGTGTGGGGTTCACGGAGCTCATCTCAGGTCAGTGTGGGGTTCACAGAGCTCATCTCAGGTCAGTGTGGGGTTCACGGAGCTCATCTCAGGTCAATGTGGGGTTCACGGAGCTCATCTCAGGTCAGTGTGGGGTTCACGGAGCTCATCTCAGGTCAATGTGGGGTTCACGGAGCTCATCTCAGGTCAATGTGGGGTTCACGGAGCTAATCTCAGGTCAATGTGAGGTTCACGGAACTCGTCTCAGGTCAGTGTGGGCAGGCCTCAAAGTTTAATTTTTTAACTAGTAGCCATTTGGCTACAAGTTCTTTTTTCCAGGTAGCCTCTTTTTTCCTAAGATAAGCCAAAATTTTAGGTAGCGAAAACGTTTTAAGTATTATCTATTAAATATCTAGTTTAATATGTATACAAGTCATAGCATAGCACACGGAGCTCATCTCAGGTCATTGGAGCTTTATCTCAGGTCACAGAGCTATTTTGCATATCTATGTCAAATCGCATGGAAACTTATTGTCTTTAAATATTTCAGTATAGGTTCAAAAGAGAAAGCTGGCTGTAGAAAAAATTCGTAGTGGTTACTTTTAGCAGTGAACTTGAAATGCTAATCACAACACATTTTGCAATATTTGAAAGACAGAAATCCTGGGGGTCATCAAACCAGTATGTAATTTATTTTAGCAAGTGTATCGTCTTAATGGATCATGTATCATGTATCATGTATCCTATAGTCACATGAAAACTCAAGGTACACCGATGTATCGTTTCGCCCCTAATCGTTTTCATCATGTTTCATGTAGGCCATTTTACCTGAGTTTGCTCAAAAGAAAATAACTTTACTAGGGATAATGTAGATACATTTACCAATGTATTGTGACAAAGTGTCTCCTATTGCTTTTGGTGTTTTTAACCTCTACCAGAGTGCACAAAATCGCCTGTAACACTGCTGTTGTGATAACTTCCATGCTTCAAGAGAGCCTTGGGCACTGGGATCTTTTCTGCCCAGGTATAATGACCTGCTATTATCTACAAGTTATTTGTCTGACTAAAATGCATGTTTCATGATGGATTTAAGATTTGATTTAATTTTCAGGTGGTTCTCTGACTCATGGTCTTGTTTGGTCATGGTTATCTCCCCTTCTGTCATGGACATTCAGCGCCCTCTGGGTATTGCCGCTGTTCGTTCTGTCAAAAGTAATCAACTGTTTCTGGTTCCAGGTAAGAAATGTCTGTGTGTGTCTTGACATTTGTATGTTTGTAAAGACTCATTTGAAAAATGAATAATTGTTGTTGCGGACATCACCATGTCACCATATTCCAGCTACATGGCACCTCCATGGAAATAATCAAGTCTGGGCCAGACAAACCCATGACTGATAGTGTAAGTAAGTATCCAAGACATCAGTTTGTGATGACATTCAGTCAGGTCATTTCCTGGTCCTCAATCAATCTCATTCAAATAACATCTTAGTGCTTGCTACCTCGACACAAAAAGACTCGAGGACATCTCATTACAGGTCAGAACAGAATGCCCTTTCACAAACTTTGAATGACCAATGAAACGCCTAACAGGAAGTCAATATGAGCCAGTAAGAATGCAGCTTTCTCAAGCATACAGCACTAGTGTCAAGCTGGCAACTTTGCCATTTTAACAATGTCGTTGATTCAAAATTTGCAAAAATTAACATAAGAAAATTCTAAAATGTCTAATAGATGGCCGCAACTGTATGGCAGGACTTACCACAGTCCATGCAAAGTCACTTCCATTTCAAATATTTATCCCTTTGAAGCAAGAGATAGACAATGATTTTAACAGAAACATTCAGTCGTAACTGTCGTTCGGAATGCCTGTTGTGTTATCTCATGAGCAATGCTCTGATTGGTCGGTTGAAAGTTTGTTCTAAAGTGACCTGTAATGGGATGTCCTCAAATCTACATGTAGCGTTATTTAGCACTAAGACTCCAAATGCCCTAAATGTTCCAATTGTATTTATATCCAGCAAACTTCAAGCTTTTCCATTTTCATATTTCAGTTGCTGCCAGTGTTAGTTATCCATGCAATATTGTTTACATATTTTTTGCATAATAATAGTGTGTCTGGTTCAGGAATGTATGTTGTTTAATGCCGCACTCATCAACATTCCGGCTGTAGGGTGGCGGTCTGTATATAATCGAGTCTGGACCAGACAATGCAGTGATTGACATCTTAAGCATCAACCTATGCAATTGGGATACCATGAAATGCAATCCACCAAATCAGTGTTGATCAACATTCATTCACTCTAATGCAAGGAGACACCATTCCGAACCATGTGGCAATGAGCATGGTACCATCATCTGAAAGAATGGCATGTTCCTGAACGGCTTTATACTTGATTTGTGTTACTGACCGGGTGAATACAAAACGAAAAAAAGCTGTTATTCGGAGAAAGTAATGCTGGGCTTTGTAAAGTCAGTGTTAAGGAATGCAAGTCCCTTTAGTAAGCTGGCACTCAGCCTTCGTCTTATCATTGCTTATGTCAAGACATTTATCAAATCATAATCAACTTTACCCAACTGTTGACATCATCACATACATTTTATAAATCACAGTTTGAATATGACCTGTTTTGTGTTGTAGGACATAGCAGATGCTGCATATTTAAAAATGAGAGGGAAGCCAAAGAGTCTGACACTCAGCACCTTCATAGCCGACATGCTCTTCAGTGTCACACTCCAGGCTTTCTTCCTCATACAGGTGGGTGCCATGGGAGGCCTTGGAGGCTTATATTCACTGAGAGGCTCTTGTATGGTGTGAGGCTCTTGTATGTCATAAGGCTCTCGTATGTAGTGAGGCTCTTGTATGCGGTGTGGCTCTTGTATGTAGTGAGGATTTTGTATGTAGTGAGGCTTTTGTATGCTGTGTGGCTCTTGTATGTGATGAGGATTTTGTATGTAGTGAGGCTTTTGTATGCTGTGTGGCTCTTGTATGTGATGAGGATTTTGTATGTAGTGAGGCTCTTGTATGCTGTGTGGCTCTTGTATGTAGTGAGGCTCTTTTATGCTGTGAGGCTCTTGTTTGTGGTGAGGCTCATGCCAAAGCTGGAAATGATTTTGGTGTGGTGGTGATGGGGGTAGATGTCTGCGTGCGGGCTTGTGTGTGCATCACTAATCTTTTTGATAACATTTCCAGTGACATAAATTAATTAAAGTCCAGCGGTGAAGAGAATCTTGGAAATTAATTTATAAGGGCCATATATGTTCAACTTTATAATTGTTCAATATGGAAATTAGAGAACTACATGTGTATCTCAAATATTAATTTTATTCACCATTTGTGACATTTTGTATTACCAGATTCATAAGCCAACTGATTAGGAGAAAAAACAATTTCAGCTGAAAACTGAATAATATTTTTTTGATTTACTGTAACCTTTCTTGCACACCTGCATCTGTTGAACGCCATGTGTTTGTTATTTGCAGGCAACAATGGCTAGTTCTCTGCCGATCTACGGAGTGGGCCAACTAGTCAGCGTGCTACACTTCTGTCTGCTCTACTCCCTGTACACCTTCGAGTACAAGTGGTACAACATGGGTGAGACCCTCCCTATACACCTCCCCAAACATTTGTGTTGCCAGTCCCTCGGCCGACCCTGATCTGGACCCTTGTAGATCTAACTAAGTTACTTCAGGGATAACATCATTGAATATGTCAGCCATCAATATCCAGTGTATTTCGTAAAGTCTTTTTTGTGTTTAAAATTGGAACTGACAAAAATCGGGGGGGGAACTGGTATTTTTTAGAGTTGCCTGTCCACTGTACAGGTATACCAGTCATTGCCTTCAATATGGCTTTTACTTTCATACTGCCGGTTACCATGGTTACTGTTTTACCGATATCGGTCTTAAGAAACTGATTTAGTGACCTACCCTTTTTCCGAATGGGCTGAAATAGGAAACACACATAGGATGTTTTTCACCTTAACATTGAATATATAGTCCAAATGCAGAGTTGTGCCCCCTAGGCCTGTCAGGATCCTATTAATCTCTATTCGAACCCTACATTTGCCTTCATTGTGATTCTGATACAGAAAGTGAATGATCAGAGTGTTGGTGAAGTAAATACTCATCTGAAACAATTTCATTTCAGGTTTAGAGGTGCACACCCGGTTATCATTGATAGAAATCAACTGGCCCTACTTTGTTGGGTTTGGCCTGCCCATGGCGTTGGCGACGTCGCTATCTTCCTCCACTGTGATCAGGTTGGTAACAAGCAGCGGACATTCTGTGAACATAAAAATGGAAAAATCTTCAGGCGTATTTCTCTAATCCTTTGATATCTTGTTATCAACCAGGGCTCGATTTAGCAACATAAAACATGCACCTGTGAAGCCTATTATTGAAAAATGTAACCTAATATTCATGTGTACATGCCAATCTCACTAAAATCAGATCTTAGTTCTCGCTGCTGCTAAACATAGATCTGAGGACATCCTATTACGGATCACGTCAGAACGAACTATCGCCCAACCACTGAAATGACTAACAAGAAGTCGACATCAGCCAATTAGAAAGCAGCTTTCTCAATCTTTACAGCACTTGTTTCAACCTGGCGACTTCCATTTCAGACTCCGCTTATAAGATATGTTGACACAGTTCTCAATTAAAATTTTGAAAGAACAAACAAACATTCTGGAATGTCTAATATATGGTTGAGATTGTATGGCAGTGCTTCCCACGTACTGTGCAACGCCTCTTCCGTTCAAATGTTTTTCCCACGGAAGCGAAAGATAGACGATGATTTTGACGGAATCAGTCGTACAGGCAGTAACTGTCGTTCGGAATACCCTGTGTTAACGTTTTCGAGGTTGCTTGATTAGGAAACACATTCCGACTGTCACTTTCATGATCTGGTAAGCGACGCTTTGATTTGTCGGATGACAGGTCGTTCTGACATGACCCGTTATGGGATGTCCTCAGATCTTTGTTTAGCAATAGCGAGATCTAAGATCTGATTTTAATGAGATTGGTGTTGCATGTAAAAAAATAAAAAGATTGTGTCTGGCTAATTCCTTGTCCCCTCACAAAATCAATTTCTGAACACATTCAATTCATCTAAAGTTTATTTTCCATGCTAGATCACTAGTCCCTGTATTATGTGTTATTTGGTCTTGGGCTTGACGTCATCACACCGTGGGTACTTCAAGATTATGTGCACATGTTCCTATCACGTTTTACAGCAATTTGTTAGTAATTAATGTGACACTAGCAGCAGCCCGGCCTATGTTTCAACTTTGTAATTATATGGGACCATGTGCAACCTGGTTGTGTTGAGTGCAATGTTGTTTTCATGTCAGCATGCACCTGGTGCAAATTAGATCTTGTTCCTTAAATCAAGCCCTGTTGACAATACCAGTTGTTGGAAGGTGGGATAGCCTAGTGGTTAAAGCGTTTGATCGTCAAACCAACGGCCTGGATTTGATTCCCTACGTAAATACAATGTGTGATACCCATCACTGGTGAGCCTGACGTAATAATTGCTATAATTTTGCATAAAGTGGTTTTAAACCCAATTCAATCATGGTTATTGTCCAAACCTACCTAGGTGGTAAGGCTCTGTCACTGGCTGACTGTGTGGAAAGTTGGTCATGCTATCAACAACCGCTTTGCCTTTTCCAGACCTATTGCAAACAGACGTAACTTCAGATGTCTGAGTCTAGATTCGCCTGATGATATTCATTAAAATATGACATCTTACAATGAAAATAATTTTCAATTAGCTGGAAATCAAGTTGAAGGGTTCAGACGAAAGTTTTTATGACACAAAGAGAGGTGTCCACATAAACAGGGTTGCACTGCAGACAGGGTGCTTGAGTAGTGGATTTAACTCGTCATGCTGAAGACACAGCCACTGCACCAACATGTGAAGCTTATTCATTGTGCTTTTGCTGGAGTGTTGCTAAAATAGTTCACCTGTCATGACATAGATGCCCACACTGGTACAGTATGTGAAGGCCATTCCCCCGTCTCCCATCCTCGACTATCTAGGGTATTATATGTCTCCATTCATTTGTGATAAATAGCCTGGACCCAGTCTCTACTATAGCTACATTTTGAGGCAGTTTCAAAGGGAACGATGCTTCAAAAGTTAAGTCAGAGATAGAGGAGATAGTGACATGATTTCCTAAATAAAACTGTGAAGAGTTGTGTCCCTAGCTTATGCCAGGATCAGCCAACTAGTTCATCCTGACTACATGTAGGGGGGCATGGGTGGCCAAGTCGTCCAAGGCGCCGCGATTCGCTGTGCAGAGTTGCGTCCCTTGGGCACGCAAGAAACCTATGATTGTGGGTTCGAATCCCGGTTCGCCCCGATTATGTTTCTAGGTTTGTCAGCACCATACCCATGCTCGTGGGTTTCACCGAAAGTGGTAAACGTCTAAGACCTGCATCGCTTCGGGCTTTCCTTCCACATAAAGCTGACATGCTGTGATATAACTGGAATACTGTTAAAAGCGGCGTTAAACCCAACTCACTCACTGACTACATGTAAGATCCTTTGTTTGTCAGTACTGTTCCAGTACTAATGGCTTTCACTAAAGTGGTAGACCCTTGAAGATCCGGGTGGAGAATAGGTCTTCAGCAACCCATGCTTGCCATAAGATTGATGTTCATGATGTCAATCACTAGATTGTCTGGTCCAGACTTGATTATTTACAGACCACCGTCATATAGCTGGAATATTGCTGAGTGCAGTGTTAAACAACAAACAAGCAAAAAAACACTAAAGTGGTAAATGTCAAATACCTGCATCACTAATCTAGTTGATAATCAGTGCTTGTCCACTGAACTCATAATGTTTAGTTTCATGTGTGCCTCGGGCCCCAGACTTGTGATGTGTTAGTTCATTCGGGATGACGAGAATAGTGATCCCTGTGATCTTGTAATGATCGCAAGTGTCTCTTTCAGTGGCTGCATCTTCTCCATCCTGTTCCCGCTTTTCATCATCAGTGCCAACGATGCTCAGGAGCCCGCTCAGCCATTGTGAGTAGTAGTTGACACTTTAGTTCTCTCACCTATGTTGTGGGGGCATTGGGTAGCCTAGTGGTTAAAGCGTTTGCCTGCTAAGTCGAAGGCCCAGGTTTGTTTCTCCACATGGGTACAATTTGTAAAGTCAGTGTACCCCGCCATGGTATATTTTGCTGGAACATTGTTAAAACCATACTAACTCACTGTCATCTTTTATACACCTGTTGGCCTGGAAAATCAATACATTATAGTGGAAAAACATGACCTGTGCCCCTGCCCGTTGTCCATAGTTACCAACCAGAGTTATCTGTCCTTGATCCCTCACTGAGAAGATTGATAATGTAGTGGGGCAGTGATTTGATGTTGATGGTCAGAATTATGGGTTTCAGAACATTTTCTGCAGAAACTAGTTGACTCTGTTTTAAACATACTATTGAAGTCTATCAAGTGCATATTTGGCTCTGTGAGCTAAGTCTCTGAAATTAACAGACTGAGGGAGCTGAACTTTTTTGTTTATGTTTATCCTTATAACATATTTTCTTCATGTAACCAGATTATTGTGTTAGTTTTTCCTCAGTACTATCGGGGGTGGTGGGGTAGCCTAGTGGTTAAAGCATTCGCTCATCATGCTGAAGATCAAGATTCAATTCCTGACATGGGTACAATGCGTGGGCGGGGCGGGGGTACTCACTCACTCACTCACTCACAATAGCAAAACTATTTGAGTAAATGAACGCTGAGAACTTTTGTTAAATGTGTGTAATTGTTGACATTTTAGACTGTTGACTGCATGTTCAGATGAGCTACTATGAAGTGGCATTATTTTCAACAAGTTGCAATTGTCTGGTTGGCTTCATACAGCATGATGCTTTCTGAGCAACCTATACTTGTCATAAGGGGTTATAAAGTGTATCGGGTGGTCCGACTTGGTGATTTGTTGATTGTGTGTCATTGCAACCCGATTGTGTGTAACAATGCTCATGCTGTCAATCACTGGATTATATACAAACCGCTGTCATATTGCATTACTAAGTGCATTACTAAGTGCAACATTAAACGTTGTTCATTCATTCATTCATTCATTCATTCATTCATTCATTTGTATTCTCCTTGTAGTGAGTTCCCATTAAAGCTGTTCACACCAGTGAGGGTTATCACAAATGCAGTGTTCCACCGATCCATGACCAACAAAACCAGGAACCCATCTGGTAACCAAGCAACACCGAAGAGGACACCAACCCGTGATGCCAAACAATCAAGGTGATCCTTGACCTTGACCTTGACCTTGTGATGTATCTGTAAGAATTCCTGAGAGTGACTTTGATCTTCTTTGATGACGTGGGATAAGACAAAACATGGAATGCCAAGGTCAAAGGGATGATAAAGATCAAGGTCAAAGGGATGATATAGGTCAAGGTCAATTATTGGAACAACGGTCAGTGCCAAATTCAAAGTTCAAATAAACTTCAAGGAAAAGCAATGAAAATATAGAGGACAGCTGAGCTGGAAGGGTAATGTGAAAAATGAGAAAACATACTGTATCTTTCCTTTCCATTTCGTTCAATTATTCAGCCAGGAGTGATATTTTTATTGTCTTGCAACAATGTCCTACATATAATGTGTACTTCTAAACTTGCTTTTGTGTCGCAGAGCAAAACAATATCTATTATTTCACTGAAAATAGATGTACCTGGAGTGAAACCTGTAGTCAGCTCACATTCCAGACAAAGATGTTGGCAGTGTCAGTATACAAACATTCGTCACGATATGGCTGAAATATTGCCGATGTGACGTTAAACTTTAACTCACTCACTCAGTATACAAACAAATGTACAAATAATCACAAGGAATGAGTATCAAATATTGCAGGAGGGAGAGACAATCTGTACTTCCGTGTTGCTGGTATATTTTCCTCCATATATTTCCCCATGGCCTTGTGTTCTGATAAAAGGGGGGATTTCAATCACAAATGGAGACATCAGCTGTCTGTCTGATGCTGGAACGATGTTACAAAAAACCACCTGTGACTTCAAAGATGGCATCTTGGATTATTTGCGAAAACCCATTGCTATGATGACACATTGCTGCGAGCAAAAGTGAAACAGTCGGACATTTGGTGTTGATTGCCAACTAGCATGATACAGATATATATACCCTGTGAGAATTACTGAAAATGTTGCACTGATATCCATGGCATACGTTCATCCTGATCCTACTGTGCACATGTTCGTTACTCTTGTTCAAGTCCCTATGTATGTACAATGTATCGACACTCTTACCTGACTGCACAACCCACGCTTGCCATAAGAGGTAACTATGCTTGTAAGAGGTGACTAACGGGATCAGGCTTGCTGGCTTAAGTGACTTTAAAAGTCCAGTTTCCACCATTGCCAAATTTTGCTGGAATAATGGAATTGCATTTTGGCAAGACTATTAAGTCTGTGCATAGTCCAATCAGGATCCCTGACGAAATCCACATCCTGTTCCTAAACAACATGGCAAGTGCTGTGCCAAATTCATTCGATTGCAAGATTTGCAGAGCGTGTATGACAGATATTTTCCAAGCCTTTTCATAATCTTAATCTAGGTCTTTAAGTGGTTTGATGCACTTTGCGAGGTGAAACCTGTTTTGTTGCAAAACAAATCTATATTATCGATGTGATTGTCTTGACTTGGTGCCACCATTTTTTTTTAAGCAATATGAAGTGATATGAGAGGTGAGTGGTCTGTAGGGGGGACATAGAAGGGACATAACTCATATTAACCACTGCTGGCACTATGATTGAACCACAAAATTCCAGCCAAGTTCAGCAAGCCTGGAAACTGGACTTTTCAGTAAAACTCCCTTGCCTCAGGAAGATGTCCCCCAACCTGGACTCTCAGAATATCCCCATGAGATGTTGAGTTGTGTATTAGGATCATCCTTAGAGGCATGGTTCTCACTTCACAAATGTGGCCCTGTGATTGTATTGCAATGCAGAAATACATTATCCATTTTGACATGATGTTGATGAACAAGAGCTGCCATGAACAGCAGACTCCCACTGGTTGTTCAGTGTCGAACTTCAGCTGCGTTATTGCTGGCTCACAAATATTTTATTTATTTATGTACATTAAGTCTTGCTTTCACATATGTATATACTAGTACATGTATGTAATTTATGGTGTGTGTGTAGCATGGCGTTAAAAGGTCTGTGGTTGAAATCCCATAAGGGAACATTTTATAGCTGCTGCATGTGTTATGAGGACAATGTGGCACTTCTATATCAGTAGGGGCGGTCGGGTTGCCTAGTGGTTAAAGCTTTCACTTGTCACGCCGAAGACCCAGGTTTGATTCCTGACATGGGTACAATGTGTGAAGCCCATTTCTGGTGTCCTCCACCGTGATATTGCTGGAATATTGCTAAAAGCGGCATAAAACCTCTCACTCACTCACTCACTCACTATATCAGTAATACTGAAATGGATGGCAGTAAGTGTCACCTTCTGTTCTGTGATGGAATAACTGTGGTTCTATATCTAAACTCACTCAACAAGAAGTCTTCAGCAAATTTTTATCTTTAAAATGTCCAAATTGCCCATTACAAAACTTCTGTTCAGGTTAGCATAATTGCAAGGGATGTCATGGCTTTGCAAGATGGACTTCTAGCAAACTGATTACAGGGCTAATAAAGAAGAAACTTTGTATTCATTGCATTGGCTGCAATCTAAATTCTAAATTCCAAACACCTAAATTTAAGAAACTATTAACTTTATAAAGTTTTGATTTTGGACTAAATATGTTTTTACTTCAATTTGCCTGGCATGGGGCACATAGTTTGAAATCTTGGATGAATCTGTGGGTTGTCTTTTCTGTCTTTGCAAAGATTAGGATGACACAAATGAAGTGACCCATTATCTGTGACATAGATGAGCTGGGTATCAGATCCAGGTCATGTTGCTCAGAAACTGTCCTGTGAACTTAGACTGGGTCCGCATACTCAGTGTTTTTGCTAAAAAGTGGTGACATCCAAACTATGTGGTACAAATCGGTACCATTTCCGTTGATAGATGCTCATGCGTATCATTCTTAATTATGACTGTAAATGTACATGGAGATATGTCAACACTTTGAAAGTTTGTTTTGTTTGATAAAAATTATTAGTATAATATTACAAATTACTTTGTGTTCATTTTTTTCGGTAACAATATTACTTAACAAAATTTTGCCGTTTGTTTTCACTCAAAACCTGTAGACCGCTGAATGGTAGATTTTGTGTTGTCTGATGACAGCCTACGAGAAATCAGGCACTAGTTTAGATAGATGGGAGCCTTGTCAACAATGACCAGAAACCCTTGGCAAACTGAAGCACAAGGTAAGAAAAAAGTTTGTATGAGGTCAATGATGTGTTAGGAATTAACAGGGTGACCAACCATGAACAGTTTGCATTGTATAAACATTACATTTTGAAAACATGTATTGCGAGGAATATTGTGGCCCAATTTTTGTTATAACTTGATGTTACTTATATGTTAGTTTGTGTGATGATAATTTTTATGAATATGTTTATTCATTGCTGGCCAACAGCGGCCAAGGTATTTTTGTTCATTAATTACCCCTGCTGTAATTGGCATATTGTTTACTTTGATTAATGGGTGACGTCAACAGGTGTCTGTATCTCAGCATGGTAAGTCTGCAATGTGCAACAAAAATGTCTACGGTGACTTTGAACTTTGCAGCTTTTTTTGGTCTAAAATTATGGAAAAAGTAGGTTTATAGAAAAATTTCACAAAAGTTGTATTTGAATCATAATATTGTAAATTCGGAATAAAATTTGTATTATGCTAGCTGGTGAGAGTATACATATTTGTATTCCTAATGTGATATTTATGATACAGAAAGACAGGCGGCTAATAATTTGTTTATCATGATCTCATTCTTTAAAGAATCCAGGTTTAATACATATAGCTATTTTCACTTTAGTAGCTTTATAATCTGCATAGGAATACAGAGCCTGAGTGAACTGCCCCATTTAAAATGTAGTGCCAAATGATTTCCAGGCTTGTTTGTTAACATAAGCACTCACGCACCGGGAAATCACTATCTAATCATGTAGGGAATGTTATGTGATGATCTTTAAGCAAGTAGGCATCCAAACGATGTACAAAGCTGAGTGAAAGTAGTTCCTGCGAGCTGACCTCATTTACAGATTTTTATTGGATTGTGATGCCAAGATAATTGGATTGATTTATCTACCGATAACACTGTCCATTACATGATAATTTTGGTTGTGTTGATTATTGGGTTGGTTTGTATTTTCTGAATTTTAAATAAACCCCACTAGATTCTGTAACAAAACATTGCAGAGACGAGTGAAAAACGAATGATGGACGCGGTTGAAAACATAGGATCCATAGCGACAGAATAACGCTGAAATCTGATTGGGTGAACATTCTCATAGCTCCTCCTCTTTGTGGATGTGCTATGGGTGTTAATCACCAGAAACAAAAATACCCTCGACTGGTGATGGTGAAACAATGATCATAATACTGCCGACATACCTCAGATTGTTTCTGTACATAGATATACATATAGGCATGTGCAAGAATGATTTCATCACTTGCTGTTTCCTTATTAATGGCAAAGCAATAATCAGCCGATTCCAACAGAAAGTTATAACTGTTGGATGTATTAATGTTTACGTAATTTTACGTTACTTGTTGAAAGTCATTATGAAGACACCACCTACTTTTTTTGATAATCTGTTCATTGATTTCTTCATACTGAAACACATATGATTACTCACTGTATACATATGACAGACACTATACATATTATCAGATATATGTATATGGGCACACGTGGCAGTCATCTTAGGTTCGGTGTGCAGAGTTATGTCCCTTAGGCATGCCAGAATCCTCAATTCCCCCTGATCGTGATTCTTGGTATGACAGTATTAGTTGGTCTATGGAGTCACCAATCCTGTAATGACTTAAGATCACTATTGCTTGGGGCTGGTTAAACCCAGTTCATTCCGAGAATTGCTTATGACAACTTAGAAATATCATTCTCAGAAGTCTCTCTTCCTTTTTTGTTTCTAAGACCTGGTGGGGTGGATAGCCCAGTGATTAAAGCGTTCGCTCGTCACGCCGAAGACCCGGGTTCGATTCCCGACATGGGTACAATGTGTGAAGCCCATTTCTGGTGTCCCCCGCCGTGATATTGCTGCAATATTGCTAAAAGCGGCGTAAAACCATACTCACTCTTAAGACCTGGTTGGCGATTCCATATGCCAAGTAAAATATAAGAACCATATGCCTTCGATTGTGAAGAATCTTGTCTCATGAATTTTTGTTGACAAACATTGATTCCAGATTTGAATGATTTTGTCAGTCAGAACATCTACCTATTTTGTAATATTATCAACTGTCAAAAATATCTGTCAAGTGAACACAGAACGCAGTGGATAAAACTAGTCACTGGGAAGTGGAGATGTGGTGGAAGCCTTTTTCATGTCACTGTAGCTTTGAACGATTGTTGCGATTTTTACCTGATTTTGATGGTGCTAACACATGTAGCCATGTATTTAACTATAACATTGTGTGGTGTATAGCAGGCCTACGTGTATATTTTCATTGCTTGTGACAGATTTCATATTTCTGTTTTCACTACTATATCCTGCTATTTAGAGCTATATAAAATGTATTTTATGAACTCATGGTGTTGTTTTCATTTTTGTCTGATGTGAATATGCGTAAATGGATGGCTCAGTGGCCTAAGGTTCTTTGCAGAGTGGTTTCCCTTAGCCACCCCAGGATGTGCTGATTGTGGCTGTTTTAATCCCAGTTTTGCCCTAGTTATGGTCCTTGTGGGTGCCGACCCTCAACCTCTTGGAATTGGAACACTACTTAATTTGTTTTGGCATCCAGTTTAAGAACTTTCGAGTAAATTAGACTGGAATTTTCGTGTAGAATGCATGACCATGCATGCTCATGAGCTTTGGGATAAATATTTTATTGATTTGACACTCAAAATAAGCTTCAAATTTTGAAATCCGCATACAAGATAAACATTTCATGGCATCCTGCTTCGCCGGGCTTGGCATCAGGCGTATGAAAGGGGGTGGCACTCATTCTCTGTGCACCAACGTACTGCTAAACCCACTTCAGAAGAAACAACCTTTAAATGGAACCCGCATATCTGCATAAGCCTTGCCGTCAGTAACAGCAAGTGGAAGATTTGCTACAGTGTGAGTGTGTGTGAGTGAGTTTGGTTTTACGCCGCTTTTAGCAATATTCCAGCAATATCACGGCGGGGGACACCAGAAATGGGCTTCACACATTGTACCCATGTCGGGAATCGAACCCGGGTCTTCGGCGTGACGAGCGAACGCTTTAACCACTAGGCTACCCGACCGCCCCCTTGGAAGATTTGCTACAGTGCATGTGTCAAGTCAACATAGGACTCCATGTGCATCTTGTCACCCTCCACAGTTTGTTTAGCAGTATTAAATATCTACGTGTCACTGTTGGATGAAGCATCCTGATGCAGTTATTCCCAGACAACATCTCTCAACCATTGTGCTGCCTGGTTGAGACTCAAATATTTACCTTTAGTATGAGATAGCTGTCATATTGCTGCCTGACCCATCGCGTAAAACAACACTCCTTTTTATATTTCAAACTACACCAAGTTCAATCTCACTGATTTCATTCTCAAAACAACAGACATCATGTTAGTTTTCCAGCATATTTATTTGGTAATGGTAATATCATAGCCTGTCAACTCCGCCCTCACATGCAAACAAGAAGCATAGGTGGCACATGACTGACAGGTGGGGATGGTGGGTCACAGCCGATCCCCAAACTAGGGGAGGCAACTGTTGCAGCTAATGACCTACAGGTCATCAAAGAGATTACTGATGAAAATCTGAGAAGCCATGTTATCACTTTACAATTCCATTCCAGTGAGCAGAAAATTGACAACTATCAAGGAGGGTTACCACGTCAGGAAGACAAACCAAGGGATACTACTCATGACTAGTACTTTCACAGTCTTTCCATGCTCTGATTTGAATGAGGACAAATTTGTTCTAAAACTGATTCTGCTTAAATCACTCATGATGACACAGGATTATTTGGGGGCAGAAAACTGGAGACCATGGTGAACGGTCCTGACCCTTTCCTGTTCAGGCTCAATCCTTCTGCTAAACGTATCCACAAGCTAGCTAGCTAGCCTACACCAAAGGAAACAAATCATACAAGATTCTTCTACTTTCATATACATAGTGCATGAGTTAAAATACTGCATACAGAACAGGATTAAATCTTCTTGGAACTATACAGTGATACCCACAGAAATAAATATCCGACAGCATTTAATGGAAAAGAAATTGGTATGTGTATAAAAATGTGTGCATCAAATCAAATTATGAACGAAATGAAACGGCCATGCATTTACTTCTTCCGTATAACACTGGGTTAGACTATTGATCATAACTAGCCAATGGATGAACTTGATGTAAACTTGTCTCAACAAAGTGCTTCATGAAATAGATTACAAATGACACATGTCAAACAAATTTCAAGGTGGACTCGCATTATGACATATGTAATCAGCAAACACTCTGACAGCGTCAACACGTCCTGCCAATTCAAAAAATCCTGTGAATTCAGAAAGTCCTGTGAAAAGGTGTTCATTTTTTTATTTCGAGCATCTGTCACCTGAACTAGATATTACCTGATTTAGAAAATGAGTTGCACACATCATGCCAAATTGAAATAAGATTGAAATAGTTTTGACTTCTGTCATCAAATACCTACTCAAGACATTCTATCTTGTTACAGATCACCAGTTCATGTTAAGGGCAGATCAAAGAAATTGTAATAACATTACAAAAAAATTCATAACTAGTTCACACTTGAACATTATATCTCATTTAGAATACAAAGTTCTCTTCTTTAATAAACATTCGTCAACAAACAAACAAAATGTCCAATAATATCAATCTGAAAATTATTTTCAGAGAAACATACCATGTAAACAATGGATTCCCCTCTTAAAGAATCAATAATGGGATGGAATGGTGAGTTCACTGAACAATTCTTCTCAACAACACTCTTGTACTCTGGGGTGAAATTCTGACAAACTCCATGCTCTGTTCTAAACTGTGTGGACATACACTATCACAATACAAGACTTCACAATTTGTGTCATTCACTCAAAGAAAGAGTGGATTTCATTCAAAAGAATACAATTGTTCTTAACAGACATTTGTTTAACGAGACACTGTAACCTTTTACTATGGCTTGTTTTTCAAAATTCATCTCTTTTTAACATTTTCTATTTTGCAAATTTTCATATTAATGCTTTACCTGCAGTAACATATCACTCAACTTTTTATAAGGACATCCAGGTGAATGTGACTGACTGGTTAGATATGTTGTCATGACGACAGTAGTGCCATGGAACTGTCGCATTTAAGTGAGTGAGTGAGTGAATTTTGCTAACCGAAGTATCAGCAATATTGCAGCTATTCACAAAGGACAAATTTCAGCTTCAGAATGGGGAGAGGAAGTGAGATATGTATTCGTCCATAAAATGAAACGTCACAGCATCCTTATCAAACGTTGAGTGGTATGTTTCCACATATCCTACATCGTACTACGAGTCACAGCTGAAATGGGATATGTAATTTGCTGTAGTTTTATTTGGCGATGATGATGTTCAATTTATACATACAAAGCAGTCGTAATCTTGATTCAATCAATACATCCATATTTACAAAATACCCGCTCTATCTACAGCCATTCCGGGAATACAGTCCGTTGTATATTATGGAAACTATGTTACCAAATATTCTCAAATGTTGGATACACACATAGCTACAAAGTAAGGCCAAGTTTGATTAAAGATCGGAAATGGTTAACCAAACTCTCCGTGACTGTGCAGAGACAGGATTGAAAGATATGGAATAACCAGAACTAAATATGACTTGACAATCTGAATGGTTAAGCTGAACATTTGATTCCGTGCCTTTTGGTAAAACATTCACAAAATGACTCACTAGTGTAGTACCTACATGTTGTATTCTAACAGAGAAATATGGTCCACATTAAAAACACAGCCTTCGTATCACAATGTCGGGTGACCTTGACCTTGGTCTAGTCTTCTAGATTCCTGAATGCTGTCTGCATCTCCTCGTTGAGTTCATCAAAGTCCTGCTTGATCTTAGCCTCGCCATCTTTGACTGGGTCCTGGAAATAAGTTTGGGAAATATCAAAACGGTCACAATTGGTGTGGTTTTCGATGGCATTTTCATCACCGCAATAGCATTGGGATAGGTATCAATATAATTGCGATGTTTTTGTAACTTTACAACTTTACAACTTTTGAGTGAGTGAGTGAGCAAGTGAGTGAGTGAGTGAGTGAGTGAGTGAGTGAGTGAGTGAGTGAGTGAGTGAGTGAGTGAGTGAGTGAGTGAGTGAGTGAGTGAGTTGGGTTTAACACTGTTTTGAACATTATTCCAGTTATATCATGGGGAGTCAGCTTAATGTGGGAGGAAAGCCCGAAGTGATGCAGGTCTCTGACATTTAACACTTTGGTTAAACCCACGAGCACGGGTATGGTGCTGATAAACCTAGAAACATAATCAGGGCGAACCTTGTCTTGAACCCACAGTGATTCTGTTGTGCCATCAAACTGCTACAATTTTCAAAATAGCATTGTGATAGTATTATAATATGTAGCCCAGTACAAGATTCAGAAGATTGTGTGGTCATGCGTCTAGGAAGCAGGTGAGGTGAAATGGGGTTTAACATTAAGATTATTGCACGTTTATAGCAACATGGTGGCACTGCTTGTACTAATGATAAAGAGCTAGTCCGGACTGATGCCGATTTATAGTGCTAGCTCACTGAGATACCATGCCGCTGCTTAACATGAATACCCCACTCAGACACAGTGTACTGACTCCAAATGACCAGTCCTTGTTTTAGCCCCTACTGCCGAGCGCCAGGCAAGGCAACATCTTTTAACGTCTCTTGGTATGACACGGAGATCAAACCACCGACATTCTGAATTCCACGCTATCCACTAAACCACGAAGGGGGTCAGTTTAGGAAGTAAGGGAAGTTGACCATTTAGTTCCTTATGTCATCGATGTATTGTCACCAGGCCATGGACACCTGATCTAGCGATACATCTCCATCAAACAGTGTGTCATATGGTGGCTTGAGACCATTATAATGTGCCCTTGTTGTATCGAGATGTCAGCCCTTTCTGCAACTAGGTCTCATAAGTGTGAGTGTTGCAGCAAATTGTACAGCAATATGCTGGCATGTAATAAATTAACATTCTGTTAAATAAACTGATCTGGTGGGCTCTGAAATACATATCAAACACACGAGTATGCATTCACTGTGCAACAATCGTCACACCCTTCAGTGTAGTCTCCTTCTAACCCTGGTCGGCTGTGAGATTGTGGGACTGACCTTGAACTTCATACTGCTGAGTTTGTAGAGGATGTCGTTCATCTGGTCTCGGATGATGGCCCAGGTGATTTTGTTCTCGCTCTGTGCCGTGCTCTCCACGGCGTGCCGGGCCAGGTCGTAGAATGCGATGATGTTCTTCAACATGCCCACCGTCTTGTAGAAGGGGCAGAACCTGGGGAACAGAGCGAGTGAGTGAGTGAGTGAGTATGGGTTTATGCTGCTTTTAGCAACATTCAAGCAATATCACCCCAGGGGCCACCAGAAATGGGCAACACAGCATACCCATGTGAGGCATCGAACTCATGTCTTCAGGGTGACGAGCGAACAATTAGTTGTTGACACATAATTATACAGAAATCAAAGTGGAGAAGGAATTCTCAGGACCTGCTCAGAGGCCTTCATTCTGAAGTCTGAAGCAATTGTCAGTAAAAACTCCCAAATTATGTTATTATAGTAATAACTATAAATGTTATGGCTATACAGAGATGACTTGCATGTCACTGACAACAAGAGTGAGTGAGTGAGTTTAGCAATATTCCAGCAATATCACGGCGGGGGACTCCAGAAATGGGCTTCACTGACAACAAGAGGCTTTAATGTTAAGTTTGACATTTTTGCATTGAACTAGATTGGGTGAATTAAAGAAATAAGGATAATAATTTAAGAAAAGAAAGTCCCAATTTTGAACAAAAGAACGTTATTTTTTCCATTTTGTCTGCCAAGGGCACATAGTTTTGAATCTGATATAAATCCCTCTAAAGCAATAGAACTATTCTGCCTGAGAATTCCGGAGGACATCATTGAGGTTGACCACAAACAACTTAATGTCTGAGGCGTTTAGCCATTCTGCCCCGGAATCCCCACTGAGGATGGGGACACCCACCTGTCGTACGGAGTGTAGCCGTTCTGCTGCAGGTAATCGTCCTTGATGAGTTTGGCAACCTCAAGGAGGATCTTGTCTGGTTCTGCCAGAGAGCCCTGTGTACAAAAAGAGAGAGTGAGTGAGTGAGTGAGTTGGGTTTAACACCGCTTGTAACAGTCTTCCAGTTATATCACGGCTTATGAGCTTAATGTGGGAGGAAAGCCCGAAGTGATGCAGGTCTCAGACATTTACCACTTCAGTCAAATCCATGAGCACGGGTATGGTGCTGACAAACCTAGAAACATAATCAGGGCGAACCGGGATTCGAACCCACAATCATAGGTTTCTGGCGTGCCCAAGGAACGCAACTCTGCACAGCTAATCACAGCGCATTAGACGACTGGGCCACCCGTGCCCCCAAAAGGAGAGAGAGAAAGTGAGATCAACACTTTGAACAGTAGTTCAGTTACATCACAGTGAGTCAGCTTGTGATACAGGTCTTTCCTTGTTGGTGAAACCTATGGGCACAAGTGCTGGCAAACCTCCAAGCACAGAGTGAACAGGGATTTGAACCCATGATCAGTGTTTTCTGACAAAGCTAAGGGATGCAACTCTGCACAGCAAATTGCAACTTCTTTGAGCCACCAGTCAGCAACAGGTCAATCAGCTTGACTTCTGTGACAAGCAATGATAAAGATGCGTCTGTTCAAAAATGTTTGTTTGTTTGTTTGTTGTTTAGAGCCACACTCATCAATATTACAGGTATATGATGGCAGTCTGTATATATATTCAAATCTGGACCAGCCAACATGGCCAATCCAGTGATGGATATCATGAGCATCGATCCACGCAATTGGGATACAATGACAAGCATAACCCAAGTCAGCAAGCCTGACCATCCGATCCCGTTAGTCGCCTCTTACAACAAGCATAATGAGTTTGCATTACGGCAAGCATGGGTTGCTGAAGATCTATTCTACCCCGGATCCTCATGGATAACTTATTTATATTTATTGTTGAAGATCTATTCATGAATGTTCTGGAGAGTGGAACACTTGTCAAATGGATATTCCTTGCTGTGGAATCCTAAAGGGACAGACTGTAGATCTACCTTTCCGACCAACTGTACAATTTCTGAGACATCTTCCTCTTCTTGTAGAATCTCCTTGCACTGTAACAGAGAAGATTGATAATGTTGGTCTAGAGAAGATGGTTGATAAGTAATGGTAATATTTTTCAACATTTCTTTAATGTGTGTGCATAGATTTTAGAAGAAACTTTCAAGTTTAAAATACTTCAAAATTCACTTAACTTCACGAAAATCAAATTTTTAACAAAATCATTCCAAAACTTTTTTCCTAAATAGAAAAAAGGTTTTAAGCTAAGAATCCAAGATGAATGTTTTAGTGAGTATAATTAGCTAATTTACCTTCTTCCTGAGTGGCACAAACTCGGGGAAGTTCTTGTCATAGAACTCATCAAGAGCTCGCATGTACTTGCTGTAACTAATGAGCCAGTTGATGGAGGGGAAGTGTTTACGTTGAGCCAGCTTCTTGTCCAACCCCCAGAACACCTGCACAATACCCAGGGTCGCAGAGGTCACGGGGTCGGAGAAGTCACCACCAGGGGGAGACACGCTACAAGCAGACAGAGAGTACTGATGGTGAGGACATCATAAGCCAAGGGAGGTAATCAGGACAATTCCAAACACAGTTACCTCCCTTCTAACCCTCACAAACCAAGCTCCTTCCAAGCGTGTGACACCTTCGTTACACTCTCGGTAACATCGCTGCCACCTGTGTGGGCGCGGCCATTACAAGAATCTTGAAATTTGCCCTCCAACCCCATATGTAGTAACGTTTATACTTCTTTTTATGTCTTTGGGAATGCCATCATATTTCATTTTGAAAAGGTTTAAGACTGACCATGTTTTCCAGATGAATTTACTTTGTTGTTTTGATAATCAGATTGGTTCGAGATTGCAGACTAACGGAAAATCAACCAACTTCTCCCTTACATTCTTACTATATCAATAATACGATAGTTTTAATGAAACAAAAATTCAAATTGACAAACGAAGAAAGTAATTTAGCAGCGATAAGTGTAATTGGCGTCACGACAGTCGTCACTTGTTTGTAAACATAATGGTCATTCGGTTGCGAGTTCAACTCCAAGCATGGTTGTGGCCACCTTTTCACAGTGGGGAGTTTTGACTGGTGGCAGCGATAGTATAGAGAGCTCCGGGAACGTACTATCGCTGTGAGGAGCTTGCCTCACAAACGAGGAACTGATTATACTATTGACAACACTATCCAATATATAACAAAGATACTTACGCTCCAACAATACTGACGGAGCCCTCTCTGCTGGGGTTTCCGAGACACGTGACACGACCAGCTCTCTCGTAGAAAGAGGCCAAACGAGCGCCCAGGTAGGCTGGGTAGCCGGAGTCAGCAGGCATCTCAGCCAGACGACCAGAGATTTCTCTCAAAGCCTCGGCCCATCTGGACGTGGAATCAGCCATCATGGACACGTTGTAACCCATGTCACGGAAATACTCGGATAGGGTGATACCTGGCGACAAAGATTACAGTGGTTGTTGACAGATTGTGCAATAGTCAGTGATAAGGGTTTTGGAATAGCCTAAACCACTAGACTACCCCACACACTTGTGTGTTGCAAAAGATTTGCTTGTGACAGAGTTAAGTTTAACAGTATGTCAGTTATATCATGTTTGTTTGTTTGTTGTTTAAGGCCGCACTCAGCAATATTCCAGCTACATGATGAATGTCTGTAAATAATTGAGTCTTGACCAGACAATCCAGTGATTGACATCATGTGCATCAATCTACGCAATTGGGATACGATGCATCCACCAAGTCAGACCTCCCGATCCCGTGAGTCAGCTCTTGCGGCAAGCATGGGTTGCTAAAGACCAATTCTAACCTAGATCTCCATGGGTTGGGTAATAGTGCATCAACAGTGACCAACAACACCCCAGGGTCACACTGTGCATGACAGAGCTTTTCCCCAGGGATGAAGGAGTGCACCCTGGGGATGGGAGAATGTATCCTACGGGTGAGAGAGTGTACCCTAGAGGTGTACCCTGGGGGTGAGAGATTGTACCCTGGGGATGAGAGGGTTTCCCCCTGGGTGAGAGAGTGTACCCTAGGGGTGAGAGTGTGTACCCTGGGGGTGAGAGAGTGTCTCCCCCGGGGTGAGAGAGTGTTTCCCCTGGGGTGAGAGATTGTTTCCCCCAGGGTGAGAGAGTGTTTCCCCCGGGGTGAGAGAGAGTTTCCCCCTGGGTGAATGAGTGTCTCCCCTGGGGTGAGAGTGTTTCCCCTGGGGTGAGAGAGTGTTTCCCCTGGGGTGAGAGAGAGTTTCCCACTGGGTGAGAGAGTATCTCCCCCGGGGTGAGAGAGTGTTTCCCCTGGGGTGAGAGATTGTTTCCCCCAGGGTGAGAGAGTGTATCCTAGGGGTGAGAGAGCTGCACCCACCTGTGTAGATGGAGGCCTCTCTGGCAGCTACCGGCATGTTGGAGGTGTTGGCCACCAAGGCTGTCCTCTTCATGATGCTCTCCGGCTTGCCCTCCACCTCCATAGTCAACTGAAACCACGTCACACCCATCACCTCACTGCACACAACATGAACAACCCTCCATCTCACTTCAAACATATAACCGTACTTTCATGAGTATAGTGCACACCCAAGTATAATGCGCACCCCCTCTAGCGGATTCAGTATTTTGGAAAACATTTTTTTAATATTATGCCGGGTAAAAAATTACACTGCACCCCTTCAGTGAACTAGAAAGTGTTTTTACTCGTAAAAACATATGTCTCCCCCCACTCCCCATTCATTTGTTTACTTCACGTTAACCCAATCTCTTCATACCCACCCTCCATTACTAAATAACAGATACAAAATGGAACTCCTAGAAATTTCAAACAACTAATTGGCACCACTTCAGCGTCTAATCAACACCACTAATCCCTCAATCATTTACCCACCTGACAGTGTAGTCATCTAAGTAGCACAGTTTTCTTGTTACTGAAGTATTTGTAGAAAATCCACTTAAAGTTCTAATAGAGTTTGGACACAAATATATTAATATCCCCAACATATCAGAAATGATGTAGCAATGTTATATGGCACAAAGGAAAGTCTCTGTGATGTAATTGCCCGTGTATCTGACTCTGCAGGTCTTCTACACAATGACAAATGTGATGTCATGGAAACTGTAATAGCAAAAGGCACCACTTCAGTGCTGGGTTAATGTGTATACAAAGTTTCGCGAAAAAATATTAAACGGTTTCCGAGTTATGGTCCGGAAACCAAGCTTACCCCCATTCAGAGTCTATGTTCAAGTTATCTCCATGGAAACGAGAAAAAATAAAAATGTCAAAAATCTCTAAATAGCAAAAGGCACCACTTTAGTGCTGGGTTAATGTGTATATAAAGTTTCGCGAAAAAATATTAAACGGTTTCTGAGTTATGGTCAGGAAACAAAGCTTACCCCCATTCAGAGTCTATGTTCAAGTTATCTCCATGGAAACGAGAAAAAATAAAAATGTCAAAAATCTCTAAATAGCAAAAGGCACCACTTCAGTGCTGGGTTAATGTGTATACAAAGTTTCGCGAAAAAATATTAAACGGTTTCTGAGTTATGGTCCGGAAACGGTGGGAACGCCGACGCCGATGCCGACGGGAACCGTGCCAAAAACAATATGTCTCCCTCCATTCTGGGGGAGACATAATTCCAGTAAACGATGATATTACCCACTTTCTATTCCAATACCCACATGATATGTCGGGCAGCATTGCTCACACTTAAAGGGGGCCCTGGATCCATTGAGGTTTTCTCCTATAGTGTTTGAAACTTTTAACATAAGGCTTGTGACAAGACCCATTCACTTTCATGTCGGATTTTGAACAGTGTTATCAGCTGCAACTCATCAAGGTATTACAGCAGCCATTGTAGCCTCATGACCTTGCCTCTTACAATGACCTCACAACCTGGATACTGACCTTGACCTTTGACCTTCAAGCACAGAAATAACAAAATTTATACATCTTAACAGATCATTACCTGTGGGAAGTCTCTGAGTACTTCTGACATCTCGTTTCCTCTCTCCCCGCAGCCGACGTAGACGATGACGTCACTGTTGGAGTACTTGGACAGGGACTGGGAGATGACGGTCTTGCCACACCCAAAGGCCCCTGGGATAGCAGTGGTTCCTCCCTGCACACATCTGGGGAACACACAAACACAGATCACTCACGTGTCATATGTATTACATGCATAGAAAACAGGAACTCTTCCAGAGTCTCAGACTTCAGCCACTTGCCAGCACCCGAGTCCAATAAAACTTAATCTGATTTCATAATCTCTGCTAATAATACTCCATATATTAACACCAAAATCTACTGAAACTATAAAATATGAGAAAACTATGAGACTCAAATGTTTGTGGCACAGACTGAGTTCTTTTTGCTGGGGACTTATTCTTCTTATTAGCAGTGGGGCGGTCGGGTAGTTAAAGCGTTCGCTCATCACGATGAAGACCTGTGTTCGATTCTCGACATGGGTACAAAGTGTGAAGCCCATTTCTGGTGTTCCCCGCCGTGATATTGCTGGGATATTGCTGGAATATTGCTATAAGCGGCATAAACCCATACTCACTCACTCACTCAATCCCTCTTATTAGCAGTTGGATGTGCATGAATGTGAACAGCACCCTATCTTATGCTGAAATATGGGAGTAGTCATGATGTGACTTACGGGAAGAGTGAGTCAAGTACTCTCTGTCCAGTCAGCAGAGGGTAGTTAGCGGCCAACTTGTCAGCGGAGGGTCGCATCTGACGCACGGGCCACACCTGCAACATGGTGTGCTTGGTGCGCTCTCCGTCAAACTCGGTCTCCAGAATCACTTCCTGCAAGTGGGCGATCAGACAGTTATCATTCAGTAGTCTTGAGAAAATTTCATGGAGAGATTTGGGGAAAAAGTTATTATCATCATCACAAAGATCAGTTGAGAAATATTGGGAAATTTTAATTACTATTAATATCAGTGTTTTGATAAAGATTTTAGGTGAAAATATCAGTGGAATATAGTCTTATCATTTTTAAAAGGTCAGCTGTTTTGAGAGTCAGAAATATTGCGCTTTTTTAATTGTTATTATCTCGAGGAACATTTCACATACACCATTTCAGGGATACAACTTAACATGAGAGGAGTGAGGTTAAACATGGATATGCTCTATCCACATGACAACGGATTGCTAAGTTGACGCCAGCAAGTTTAAGGCACTGCCCAAGTATAGGGAGCAGCGAACATGGAAACAAATCAACTCACGTTGACATCGTATGATCCGGGCTCGGCGATGAATGTGACGGTTCCTCTTGCCTTCGGAGGAACCATGATCTTGTGCTTGATGAGGATGTTTTCATACACGACGCCGTAGATGTCGCCACCGGTCACGTGGCTCCCGATCTGATGAAGAACGAAATACGTATGAAATTGTTTCAGGAGCAGGGTTTATGAACCATATAACATCAATCAAACATCAGTTAAACAAAAAATAATTAAAAGCTGTATAAAACTGTTGTGAAAGCATCGGCTAACTTGAACAAATTAAGAACAGATTTGAGACTTATATCACAAATAGGCATATAATCATATTCCAGAAAAAGTAATGTTTCATTTCCAATTAAACCCAAAATTTCTTAAAATTACTAAACTTAAAAAATTACTAAAGCATAAAACAGGATTAATGATTATGTTTAATTGAACACTGATAGAAACGTGTAAGCAAGGGGAGATAATCTTCAACTGAGTAACATGGTTACCTCGCTTGATATACGTCACAATAATATCCCCTGTACTTTTGGAAGTCAAAGAAATGTATTTCTAGGCCAAATTTTAGTTCTAGTTTTAGTATCACATGACAACAAGAATATCATCAAAAGGCCTACATCATAGGTTCAAGATCTCCAAGACAAGGGAGATAATCTTTAAGCAAAAAATGAATAAGAGTAAAAAGAAAAGTATGATCACCTTGATGTTGAGGGGCTCAAAGTCCCACTTCTTGGAGCGGTCGAGGGCTGGCGTGTTGATTCCCTTGGGGATGTAGATACTCTGTGTCAGCTCTGAGATGTCCTCCAACGGACGCTGGATACCTGCACATAGTGGGTGAGTGAGGTTATACGTTACTTTCAGTAATATTCCAGCAATATCACATCAGAGTTTAACACCACTTTGAGTGAGTGAATCAGTGAATGGGAGAAAGTTATTTCATGCCAGTCACATTATTCCAGGAATTTTTCATCACGGAAAGGGTCTTCACAAATTAAACCAATACGGGGAGTCTGTCATACAGACCGCCGTCATATAACTGGAATATTGCTGAATGTGGTGTTAAACAACAAACAACAAAACAAACAAAACTACGTCAAAATTGATGAAAGAGATACATTGACTCCGAACTTACCATCAAAGATGCTACCCATAATTCCTGGCCCCAGCTCGACAGAGAGAGGTTTTCCTGTTCTCAGTACGGGATCGCCCACAGTCACACCAGCTGAGGGAGTCAAGGAGGAAACAAGCAGATGCTGGCATGAAGGACTACCTCGCAGGTGCCCTTCATTGTCAGTACATCACAGGTTGTGTACACACTACATTCCTACATCGTGAATACATACAGACTGCTTGCAGTGCTGGCATGAAGGACTACCTGGCAGGTGCCCTTCATTGTCAGTACATCACAGGTTGTGTACACACTACATTCCTACATCGTGAATACATACAGACTGCTTGCAGTGCTGGCATGAAGGACTACCTCGCAGGTGCCCTTCATTGTCAGTACATCACAGGTTGTGTACACACTACATTCCTACATCGTGAATACATACAGACTGCTTGCAGTGCTGGCATGAAGGACTACCTCGCAGGTGCCCTTCTTTGTCAGTACTTCACAGGTTGTGTACACACTACATTCCTACATCGTGAATACATACAGACTGCTTGCAGTGCTGGCCTCAAAGTTACAACTTATGAGGTCGCCACGGCGATTGAAATTTTTACTTGGCGACCAATATTATTTAAGCACTTGCCACGTGGCTACTTTATAAAATCAAGCAGGTGACCTGATATTACTAATTGCATAGTACAGAAATACAATATGTTATCAAGTACTGATTGACTGAACTGAAGTTTCCTTTAAAAATTCTAAAATTCACAATGGAATGCTAAGGGAAATATTAATTGATAATCTTGTCAAGTATTTACAATGTCATTAACAACAAAGCCCGGTGATGCAAGTTGATTTTTATAACCAACAGTTCCAGACAGCCCTGCTCAAGTTGGGCCAGCAAGTACTCAGGACAATAAGCACCCAGATTACATTAAAAGTCTCACACAGCAGTATCAAGTAATGGTGGAGCTGGCACTGATTTCAGTATTGTTCATTTGACTTAGGCCTCATTTCATTAGTTAGGTGAACATAGACACATGTCATTACAACACCTTAAGCCTGCCTGTATTTCACTTTAGTTCGCAGGTTCTTTTTTCTCAGTGCCTTGCGTCGGTGATCATGGTGATTGTAATGAAAAGTTATTTTCTTTAACACTAACAGAGGCAAAAAAAAAATTTCAATTTCTCTATTTTTCACTGTCATTTTTTTAAAATGTGATAACAATAAAAAACAAATTGATTGCATTTACATGAGAATAAACACAGACACTGCTTGGAGCACCCATGAAGCTATGACTAGTATTCATTGTGGTCACTTCTCGCCCATTGGTTAGTGCACTCCCCCCCCCTGCTCCACATAACTGGGTGGAAGGATACAGGTGTCTTCGTAGACCTGGATGGTGGCCATGTCCCCCTCCAGCCTGATGATCTCCCCCACCAGCTCCGCGTGACCCACACGCACCAGCTCGTACATAGCCGCGCCCGACATCTGCTGGGCCGTCACCACTGAAACACAGGTTACCATGGTTACCAACAAACTCCCAACACTTCAGATTCAAAATCACATAGTGCTCGAAATCAAGCTGGAAAGTCATGGAGTCCTTGTCATAGGAGGTCCTTGAATCAAATATTTATTCAAATAAACAGGAGACGACAGCAAGGACCTCTAGATACCATAATTCCAAATTTCCATGCACATCAAATAATGGGTGTATTACTTAATGATGGCTATTTCATGTCATCAATAACAAAGTTGATCCATTTCAGGACTCGAAAAAATTCTTAAACCCAACTTGTCCTGCAGGGCAAGCAGATAATATTTTGTACTCGTCCTGTAATATTTTCACTTCCCCTGTCAAATTTCTTTAAGGTTTATATTCCCAGTCATTATTTTCAGCAGACAGTGCAAACAGAAGTCCCCGTCACCTACGTTCATCTCAACCCATTCAAACCCGCTCAACCAAGCCTCATGCACAGTTCGTTTTCTTTTTTCAGTCATACTGTTTGGGGGAAATTTTCCTTTTTTCGGCCTGTTTGTTAATTCAATTAAGTTTTTTGTTGTTAACCCACCATCCCCGATCAAAAACTTCTGTATGTCAGCCATTTCCCTCACAAAACGAATCATCAGCTGTTCACTATCGCTTTGAGCATAAGTAACACGACACTTCGAACAAAAATAATCTTTTAAATTATCTCCCTTTAAAACTTAGTTTCGAAACCTGCTGCCCAAGCGCACTTCCTATTTATTTTTGAACGATATGAGCGACATGTATTTCATGTTATTATTTAGATCGTGCAAAGGATGAAAACGTATTTTATGTTCGAAATTATCCTGAATATTTTATTGAAAACATTAAGAGATGAATTGATAGATTGAAATATGTGTACTCGACCAGTAGGACGAGAGTTTCTTCAATTCTTGTTGCCACTCATCAATACGACAGACGAGCAGATTGTTTCAGCCCTTTGTTTCCCCTGCACTTACCAGGGCCGGATACTGCGTACACATATCCAAACATGGACTCCTTCTCAAAGTCCGCAATCTTCGGCATGCGCCGTGCTCTATCCATTCCTCCTGCCTGCAAATACACGATAACCAGCATTTTATCACCACATAAAACAGTAGGAAAAATAGGTAAGAATATTGGTCCCCAGGGACCTATGCTTGTCTAAGAGGGCACTAAACATGCTAAATGGATTGGATGGTCAGGCACAGTGACTTGGCTGATTGCATGTCATCATACCCTCTTTGCTCATTAAGTCAGTCACTGGATTGTCTGGTCCTGACTTAATTATTTACAGACTGTGATAAAAAACAACAACACACTATGAGCTATGATGTCAATGAAACACTTGGAAGTGAAGTGAGTCACGTCACCAGCTGTAGACATCAAGGTCACAGTCGTAAACCTGTGACTACCTTTGAATGCCAGTTGTAGATGGTTACTGGTACATGTACATCAGGCCATTCTTGACGTTACATGCCCTAAGTTTTCTAAAATCACAGAGCATCTTACAGAGCATAATATTGGAGTATCTTTTGATAAAAAAGTCCATAAAAGTTTTAAAATTCTGAGGTGAGATTCTATTCATCATCCGAAAACATTCATTCAACTTTTTCAGTTTATAAACAGTAATAACCAGTGTCTGGAGAGTAAAAAGTACAGCTAACCAGTAGAGAGATTAGTGATGTCATTTAATTGTGACATCACGATGGTCTGCAAAGGATAGTGATGCAATTTCATTGTGATGACATGTCTAGGAGTTACTGAATGCGTTGAAAAATTCATGTCAACATAGATTTTTACATCTAAATAAGGTCAGGTCTTGTCACAAAAATGTCAATTGTTTGCAAAGCAAGTAATACTGTTGTCTTGTTTAATGGACATGTTGCATGTCAAACAACAATACCATCACGACCTAGCTGGAGTGGAATTTTCACTGATAAAGCATCAATAGGGTTTCAAATTCCTTGTATTTGAGTGAGTGAGTGTGATTGTACGCTACTTTTAGAAATATTACAGCAATATCCCCGTGGGTACACTGTAATGGGACTTTTGTACACACATTGTACCCATGTGGGGAATCGAACCCGGGCCTCCAATGTGACGAGCGAACGCTTTAACCACTAGACTGCCCCACCGCCCCTTTGTATTAGAACGCCAATGGCAAAGACATAGTTAAATTAAGTTCCTGATGACTCAAAGGCACACTTACCAGGCTTACAAATCATATTGTTTGTTTAAATACTCTGTTCACTGTTGTTCTCATATATATTATACACAATCAGCAAGAGATATTCTTTAGCAAAATGATGTGAACAAACACTGACACAATTTCTCTGAGATTAAATTTGGCTTCCATTTGCCTCATGTCCTGGTGATTTATCAGCAAATAAAGAAGTTGTTGCACACATTACAAAATGTCATTCTACCTAGATGATCAAAAAAAAAATAATCAAACATACACAGAGAAGGGGTGAAATTTTGACTAGCCAGACAGCCATCTACTTTACGTTTCAGCAAGCCCTTTGTCATTTTAACTGGCCATGGGCCAATGGGCCAGCAGTTAAATCGACTCCTGCTTGAACTTTAGCTCATATAATTCTGTCACAATACAATCTTTCAAGGACTTTCTGCAGCCAGTCTGCGGATTCATTATTCCAGCATGAATGTTAATGAGATACAATGTATATGGGAAGAATGGGCAATCTGTTTGCTACTAAAATGGGGGCTGTATCTAGGACATCTCCAGTTTATAGCTGAACAAATGTTGCTGTAACAGTAATGTGTTTATTCAACATGTCGGGAAGTGTTCATGTACACAGACTGTGAGTTGTAGCAGGTTATACAACTGAAAGGTTGTCGGACTGGTTGCCTGCGAGGGGATGACTAGGCGCGTTGTGTTTACAGCATATCACCCCACGGGAATGGAGTAGACACACCAAGAATCATCATCAGGGCAAATTTTGGATCTGAACTGGAACTAACGTCATCGGATTCTGGCACATCAAAGGGATACAACTCTGCCTAGCGAATTATGCTCCATACCAGAAGCATGAGTATTAATAGCTGTAAACCAAACACACCCTGGTTGCACAAATGTATAAAAAATAACGACCTTGGGTTTAAATTTAAATTTTATTTGACAAAGTTGTAAAGAATATCAAATCTCCTTAATATTTGTAGAAACGCCACAAGCCTGACTAAAATTCCAATTCATCCTGTCGCAATCTCATTAAAATCAGATCTTAGTTCTTGCTATCGCTAAACAAAGATCTGAGGGTATCCCATTGTGGGTCACGTCAGAACAACCTTTCATCCAACCAATCAGAGCGTCGCTTACCAGATCCTGAAAGTGACAGTCTGAATGTGTTTTCTAATCAGGCAACCACGATATATTTAACAAGGGGTATTCCGAACGACAGTTACAGGTTTTATTATTATATCCATACAATCTAGGCCATCTATAAGCCATTTCAGCATGTTCATCTTATCAGTTTTAAATTTTTTAATCGAGAATACGTCAAAATATGTTTCGAAGCGTAATCACCAGTTTGAAACTAGTGTTCGAAAAACTCGAGAAAGCTGCCATCTGATTGGCCAATGTCGATTTCTTGACAGTCATTTCAACGGTTGGTCAAAATTCGCGAAAGGTTGTTCAAATGTGACCCGTAATGGGATATCCTCAGATCTTTGTTTAGCAGTAGTGAAAACTGAGATCTGATTTTAATGAGATTGATTCTGTCACAAAGAGATTTTCTCCCATACCGACTATTTTCCAGGGAACACTCTGTAATAGAACGGGGACAGTGACCTATGTTTGTATCCCTCAAATCCCAGCCAGATAACCATGTCTCTATCAATGTTTATTTTTCAACTACAACATCTACAGTATCTACACTCGTGAGAGTTTTCTTGTCAAAGTCACCTTCTGGAGTTGAAGACTAGTGATCTCCTGCGCTGCTAGGCAGATAAAGTATGTATTTACATAGAGCTGGCTAAGTACATCCAGACATGGTTGGCCAGTAGCGTGCTGTGCTTAAACCACGGCCTGTGAGTCCAGCTTACACTGTCCTTCTTAAGGAGTACATATATATTTGAGCAAAATTCCTTGCAGGATTCAGCTTAAACACACATATTTCCTGTTTGATGAAGATGCACTTTGCTTGAAAAACAGTTGAACAGTCTTTGATATCATCTTTTGACTTAACCATAACAGTTAGGATTCTTACCTCAATTATTTTGTACTTGGAGTGAATATTTTGAAATAATATTCATCAGTTCTTTTATTTTCTGTATTAGATGAAATGACGTTTTTTTAATCCACTCTCCTTCAGTATGAATTTTTTCAACATTTTATATAATTGTTCAATTGTCCGCTAATGTTTGAATAAGTTTTAATAAAATTAACAGTGACAGATAGGGACACCAAGAATGTTTCACACATTGTCATTGTCTAGTGGGGATTAAAACCTGGGTATTCAGTATGACAAACACTAAAACCACTCGGCTACCCAACCCTACCCTTAAAATGAAGAGAAAGAAATTCAAAGAAATAGCATTTAGAACTTTGTTGCCATTATGAATTTGAAAATGTCGACTTATCAATATCATGTACAGGGAAAACAACGTAGTTAACAACATTTTGTTGATAGATGAAGTACCAAGTTAAACAAGCGACTTGCATCAAGTCTACGTTACTAGCTTTAACAAGTATCGGAAGCAAGGCGCTCCATACTTTGGGGGTTGCAGATTCGACTATCCAGACCAAAAGCCATAATCAGAAAATGAAATACATTATATGAAAACATATTTCTTGTGAAATCCCAGTGAGTAGATGTCATTGATACGCGATATTTCACTTGAGCTTCTAGAGAATTTTTCACTTTTCCAAAGATATAGGCAAACATTTACTTGTCCAATTAAGGGGCTGCTGGGAGGGTCACGTCTAACATTTCCGCATCCCTGGTTACATCACGTAAATGATTAAATGAGCTGTACCAAATGTAACTTATTGAGTGAGTAGTATTTCACAAACAGTGACAGCCTGTATTTACTGACTGCGGCTTAAAAATCCCACATGACAATGGCTACAGTATTCACACATTGTATCCAGGGATTATGGTTGGTGTGTGAACCCTTACAGACCAGCTCTTTGTACAACTTGTTCCTATAGAACATGTAGAAAGAATAGCATGTTCCTATAGAACATGTAGACAGAATAGCATGTTCAGCTTTAGGGGCAGGCTCAAACTCTTGCTGAGTTAGAAATCAAGAAGTCATTTCTATGGGACCCCCATTTGTAGGTTTGGACCAACATTTTTTAACCTGAATTACAGTTAGACATAAGGGATTTATCTAGGATTTCAACGAAGTGCCATTGGCTGACAAACTGAGGAAAAACACCTCCTCAAATTCAGGGGTATTTTAACCATGTTAATATTTCATTCAAATGTAACACTACACATTAAATCCTCTTCATGTTTATTGGTCGTATCAGTGAAATACAAGTCACCTCTGCAGATAACATGACTCTTTTTATTTAAATTCTATATAAAAGATTTAATTCCAAATTGGGAATTTTTACAGACATTAGCTTCAGACATTGGGCCAAATACTAGCCTCTGATCAGGTCTGGTCGTCCTGAGCCATGACTGTGGAATATATATAACACTAAAAGCCCAGGGAAGTCTAGATCAAACTGAACCAAGCTTCATTTGATAAAAAAAAAAAAATTATTTCAAAGAAATGTTTTCATTGACTAAGTGTTTGTCTACAGGTCTGGACAAATCCCTACATATACCTCAATAAGGGCTAGGGAGGGGCGTAGGTATGTACCGAGTCCTCAAGGATGTGAGCAGCTGTTTGAATGCACCTATGTCACCTTCAGTAAGACAGGATCCAGGACACAGATCTCCTGTCACTCAACATCAATGATCATCAAATAACTTAATCCAAGCCATCTGAGCTTCTATATTTAATCTGGTATTTCAGTGTTTTTGTTTCATTTGTTTCAATATATCTGTTATAAATAGTTACATACCGAGCCCATAAATCTCTATCATTTGGATGAGTTTGTGTTGTTTCCTGAGGTTTCCAGATTAACAAGGTTTTGTTGAATGACTTTCTATAGTTTCCTTTATGGCAACATGTGGATAATATTAATACACATTAATATATTCTGTAATTATTTTGTTTAATAATATAACTAGTTGAATTATATATATTAACATGACAGAGCATGTCCACATTGCATGAGTGTAAATTAACAAGAACTTCTCAATCATCAATCATGATGTGTATTAAACTATGGAATCAAATAATGTTTATAATACTCAAAATATGAAACATCTTTAACTATATAAACAATAGTGAAAATGGTGGGCAATGTTAATATCTTAAACAAACAACCTTAATGAGAAAATTCAACCTCATTCAAATTTGAAATGAACTCTACCATTTTTCATTTGTGAACATATTAAATACTTCATTAAATTAATTTTCAAAAACATCCATTCTAATTTGTAAGTATGACCTTCACAAAAGTCCTCATCCTCAATAGCTTGTCATTGCAATGTGACCGTCAGCCCACGAATACGTATTTATTTGCCCTGCATATGTCGTTGAGCTGAATATTTTAAAGCTGGTAACAGCTGCGGCGTGGATAAACGGCTCGACTTTAAGCTTAAACTTCCTAAAACCATCACTGACGTGGTATAATTAATGATCGCTTTAGAATAATCCAATCAACGGTCAATCAATCAATCAATATCAGAAATAGGAGGAAGTCTGATTTCGGCGATGCGGTGTGAAGTATTCCCTAGATTTTCTCTCAAATGCGATTATGTTAAAGTATTTGACATGAAAAGCAAACAGGACACTATGATAAGAAATGCGGCAATATTTCAACGATTTAAAGCAGTAGATTCACAAAATAAAACCGGCACTCGTGATAATCCAACTCACCATGTTGATGTTCCTAAATCATGTGATCTTGCACCTCGTAATATTCCGGGAAATGACGCGAGAGAGGCTCGATTTGACATATTATATATGCCGTACAACATATTACATGTGTCAATAGCACATACGGTATTCTGTTTGACGTTGATACGCTCTTTTAACTTAGAATAACAATGTTTCCCGTGGTATTCACTTAAGATACATACTGGGGTTTATTCGGTGTAGAACTAGGTTACCTGCAGATTCGAAGTGACTAAATCGAATTTGGAACAGAACGCGAACTCTTTAGGGAATATAATGAGTGATGCTGCATGTGTCGAGTTCAGTGTTTTGAGTAGGTTGTCGTTTTAAATTTCCGATAATAGCTCTTAAACATATCATGTCACTGTATACACTGAAATATTGTATGACAGCCAAGTATGTACAACATATGCCTCGTTAGCAAACATTAAACAAACATGAAGCAAACGTAGTTAGGTTTACTTCCAAAACACATATCTCGTCATAGACGTTAAAAGATGGTGTTTGTTGTTACCCTGCCTGGTGCTCGGCATTAAGGGGCTAAAACAAAGCCTTGTTGGCTTGGAGTCAGTATACTGTGTCTAGGTGTGGTATCCGTGTTAAACTGAAGCATGGTATCTAGGTGGGCTATGTAAGTGCAATAATCTTGAACTCGACGTTAAACACATATAATTCCACAGGTCTGCACGTTTTCCATCGACAAAATCAAGCTGTCAAGGGTTTACAGTTCAAGTAATAAAATAAATAAACAAACCTTTTATCGTCATAAATGTTCTATGAAAACGAACAGCATCTATCACAGGATGAAAATGGTGGTGTGTTTGCAAACTTAAGGGACCTTTTTTTCACCCGACAATGAATTGAACTGCTCCCTTTAACTGTGGTTCTTGTGTAAAGATGAGGCGAACAGATGAAGGAGGTCATTTCAGATTGTTTGGTAAAATGACAAAAAGACTAAATTCAAGGTGTGAAACCTCAAGCGCGTGGGGATTATTTTAATCAATGATATATATACCGTATACTCCGTTCACAGAGGACTGGCTCCGTGACTCGTGGTTAGAGCATCTGCCTCGAGGACGGAAGGTTAGTGGTTCGATCCCCGGCCGCGGCTTGGAATATTGCCGAGTGCTGTGTAAAACAACAAACAAACAAATCATGCCGAAAGACGTATTTATTATTACCCTGCCTGCATGGCTCTCATGCTGTATTAGGAGAGACGTTGACTGGTCGCCTCGGCCAAGTTTAGCACTGCGTCTGAGTGGGGTATGGTGTCTCAGTGGGCTAGAACTAGAAAACTGGCATATTCTGGACTAGTACAAGCAGACACACACACACACACACACACACACACACACACACACACACACACACACGCGCGCGCGCGTGTTTTCGTATATACATAAATGCAATAATCTTGAACGCCACGTTAAACCCCATTTCACATCGTATGTTGATAAAAAAAAGCCCGAATCTTCGCTCATAGACATCTGATGCTTACTAACTCCATTTGAAGTGAAATGTTCAGTCCATTGTGTGTTCGGACTCAAACGACAACAGACTCGGAATCCCGGCGTCACACACTGTGCCAACATAACCAGCTGTTGGACATCACAGACACTCAATGGTTAATGGAGTTCGACTTGACTCGGTTCAGTTGACGGACAGGTAGCTGTTGGACATCACAGACACCCAATGGTTAATGGAGTTCGACTTGACTCGGTTCAGTTGACGGACGGTAGTGCCAGGATCCGCTGATGGAGGTTTGAATCCCAGAATAACCTGATTATGAAACTTGGTCTGTCAGCACCAGTCTGATAGTTTCTGTAAATTAGTAACATACGACCTGTGACACTTTGCGCTGTCCTTCCACATTAGCTGACACGACCTGGTATCACGAACATATTGTTCAAATTGGCCTACATTAATTAACTTTTCATTCAGTAAGATTTTGATAAGTGTGTGTTGCTTGGTTGCACTCGACAATGAAATGTAAGGATGCAAGACAGATTCATTGATCAGCATTTTCACTGAAGTGAAAGCGTTATCTGTAATAAATTAATCTAGAAAAAATCAGATTTTTCATAATGCACCTAATACAGCCTAGCAATTGATAATTAGTTTCAACGTGGGTAAAATATGCAAAAACACAGCGAGGCACTTAGTGAAATAGTAAGTGTTCACGTGAGGTTCGTTAGCGATTTGTATAAATATCTGGTTGTCGTACAAATAGTATTTCCGGAAGCGCATGCGGATAGTCTACATCTGAACTTCCGGTAGTGCGGCGGGAAGGAGCACGAGTATTGGCGATCACTTCAAAGAAATCTGGCCTCCTGTCCAAGCATGACGAGGTTGTAATTTAAAATCTGGAGATTGATACAGTAAAACTTAAAATGTGTTAAGAAAGGCAGTTTTTCTAACCCTTCATTCAGCAAATAGCATCGTTCCTCAATAATGAATGACGTGATGTCGGAAAATCTAGACTTGATCAGTCATGTTTGGGTGAAGAGTCGTGTTGAGGATTTCATTTTGATATGTGCGCCTCTGTTGATATCGAGCCTGATCTCGTAAAAATGATGATTATATTAAAGTCAATGGGGTAGTAGGGCGATAGTGGTATTACCACGGCTGCGAAATAAGGCAGTTCAGCTCACACGGTTCCTCCATACATTGACTGGCCAAACCAGGAAAACATCTCAGAAGCAGGAGAGCGAGTGAAATTTAACGTCACATCGGCAATATTTCAGCGACGAAACAGTCATATTAATTATAATTTCATTTAATAAGAATCTGTCAACGATGGACAGTTAGATAACTATCACAGTTTCGAATTTAAAACTAGTTGAGAACAGTTAAAAGAATACATTTTCAATCAACAATACATTATAAAAATGTGCTATAGATCACCAGAAACCAAACTTAGGGCACATTACTGGGGACCGTGGGGACTTACATTACGGATTTACACCGTGATTCAACACGAACACAGTAAACAATCTACTTGAGATGAGTGACGACTATCAGCGTGTGATTGTTTGGTTGCAAGAGTATATTGCCATCCTTGAATTACCAACATTTAACAAAATCACCGCATAATTTAACGTGGGGGGACATTTGTTTGGGAGGCTTATACATACAACTTCATGCACAAACCTTGCATAGATCTATGCGATAAATAAATCTAAATAAAATTTTATTTCACTCTCCTTAGGTGATGTTATAGTTGGACACAGTCCCATTAGGTGCGAACTTCATTGTATTAAGATGAGACTTTACATGCTCACCTGATGGAGTATGTCAGTGTTCTGACCCTGATGTTATACACGAACATTAGAAGAGGACATAACTGTGTGCTGAAGGACAGAATCAGAAAGAATAATATGTACAATAATCACGTTGACTGATAATGTGGGTGGGTGGGAAGTTGTTCTAGGCCTGGGTACCCATGCTTCATTTTGATATACCCCATGAAGATCTGGGTTAGAATTGGTTCTTCAGCAACCCATGCTTGTCATAAGAGGCGACTACTGGGATCGGGGGGGCGGTCGGGTAGCCTAGTGGGTAAAGCGTTCGCTCGTCACGCCGAAGACCCGGGTTCGATTCCCGACATGGGTACAATGTGTGAAGCCCATTTCTGGTGTCCCCCGCCGTGATATTGCTGGAATATTGCTAAAAGCGGCGTAAAACAATACTCACTCACTGGGATCGGGTGGTGAGGCTTGCTGACTTAGTTAATGTATGTCGTCGATGCTCATGACATCAATCACTGGAATGTCTGGTCCAGATTATTTACAAATTGCCCTCATAAAGCTGGAATATTGCTGAGTGCAGCATTCAACAACAAACAAACAGAAAACGTTTCAATATATCCACACATGCCCAGCTATCATGGCTATGTACAGGCATGTGTGGACCTCTGCTTCCAAGATCTGTGTATCCCTTAAATCTTTAACGTTTTACATTTGGGTCAGATCAAGAACTAGTATTGCCCATGTTATCCTCCTTATGAGATGATGATCGACATCAACAGGGGCACATATCAAAATGAGATCCCCAAAACTCCTCCTCCCTCTGGGTCGGTACTTGGCTGGATCTGTGGCGATCCGTGTAGAAAATAGGTCTTCAGCAACCTTTGCTTGCCGTCAGATGCAACTAACGGCATCGGATGGTCAGGCTTGCTGACTTGGTTGAGACCCGTGAAGATCCGGGTTAGAATAGGTCTTCAGCAACCAATGCTTGCTGTCAAAGGTGACTATGCTTGTCGTAAAAGGCGACTAACGGGATCGGGTGGTCAGGCTCGCTGACTTGGTTGATGCATGTCATCGTTTCCTTATTGTGTTGGTCGATGCTCATGATAACAATCACTGGATTGTTTGGTCCAAACTTGATTATTTACAGACCGCTGTCATATAGCTGGAATATTGCTGAGTGCAGCGCTTAACAACAAACCAACCGACTTACCGGTAGTTGAAGAATGTCATTGTATCTCAATTGCGTAGATTGTTGCTCAAGGCAAACGCTGGATTGTCTGGTCCAGACTCCATTATTTACAGTCCGCCATCATATCATGCATATAGCTGGAATATTGCTGAGTGCAGCGTTAAGCAAACAATATTAGGCTCGGCATACTCTGGGACATCTTCCCGGGGCAATAGAGTTAACTGACAATAAAAGTCCAATTTCCACCCTTGCCGAACTAGGCTGGTGTTATGGAGTTATATTTTGGCTGGACTAACGAGTCTATGCATAGTCCAATCAAAAATGCGCACCGAAATAGAAATCCGGTTTGTTAACTGTCGTGCAGATTTCGGTCAATTGTAGGATTTGCAAAGCATGTGCACCGTCAACTCGTTGTCAGCAGATATTTTCCAAATCTTTTCATGTTTTTAATCAAGATGCTCACGTGATTTAATGCATTTCGCGATGTAAGACACGTTTTATCACAATATGTATCTTGATTATCTATCAGATCGTCCTGACCGGGCGCCACCATTTTGTGTGAAGCAAACGCAAGTGATACGAGAGGTGGAATCTGATTGGTCCATAGGCGATGCTTAGACAGGACATAACTGGTAATAGCCACTGGTGGCGCTACGATCAACCCGGTAATTCCAGCCTAGTTCGGCAAGGGTGGAAACTGGACTTTTAAAGTCAGTTAACTCTCTTGCCTCGGGACGATGAATCTTGGAAGGAGAGCGATTGGCTTTATACAACCGAGACATTAATATTGTAATCTAGGCGTTGACAAACACTAACCCGCCAACTTTAAATTTTTAGGGGGCTTATAAATTTTGTGTGAAGCAAACGCAAGTGATACGAGAGGTGGAATCTGATTGGTCCATAGGCGATGCTTAGACAGGACATAACTGGTAATAGCCACTGGTGGCGCTACGATCAACCCGGTAATTCCAGCCTAGTTCGGCAAGGGTGGAAACTGGACTTTTAAAGTCAGTTAACTCTCTTGCCTCGGGACGATGAATCTTGGAAGGAGAGCGATTGGCTTTATACAACCGAGACATTAATATTGTAATCTAGGCGTTGACAAACACTAACCCGCCAACTTTAAATTTTTAGGGGGCTTATAAATTATAAAAACGATATTAACCCATGCATGTATTTGTTGCAGAGGTCGCATAGAACTAGGGGACATAACCCCGCACAACATCAAGCAGCTCAAGCGATTGAACCAGGTGGTGTTCCCAGTCACCTACAATGACAAGTTCTACAAGGACGTCCTAGAAGTGGGAGAACTTGCAAAACTTGGTAAAAGCCTTTGTTTTCTTGCATGGTCAGATTTGGTCATGGCTTGTCTATGTTGGTTATGCAGCAAGCCTAACCCAACAGTTGGTGGCCAAAAATGGTCCAAAATGATATGTCCAGTTATAGAAGGCTTCAAGTGGGTAGTAATGCCACGTAGAATGCCCACATGGGTACAATGTGTGAAGCCCACTTCTGGTGTCCCCCTGCTGTGATATTGCTGGAATATTGCTCAAAGCAGCGTAAAACCATACTCACTCATTTGATCACTCCTTCAGAAACAGTCTTCGCATAGTCCAGTCTTTTGTTTCTTTCGATACCAAGGACTGATGAATATTAGTGTTCAGTCTCGACTCATCTCATATTTTGAACAAATTGTAGAACATGGTAGAAGTAGAAGCAAATGGAGAAATATAAGTTTTTCAAGAGTTGGATTTGTTTTGAAGTACATGGTTAATCAATCCTGGCAGTGTTTAGTTCTAAGCTGCTCACCTGTGATGTGACTCACTCAGCTGATTGGAACACGTCTTAGTAGGCTTGAAAAAAATTCAAGATCTCCCTAAAACTTGAAATATACTCTAGGTCAATTTGTGTTTTGTTTTCTGCTCAAGATGTATAGCCAAACATACTTTGAATATTGGAGGACCTTCATTTTGTACGTTGAAAATAACATGATATTTCAAAATGCAAACCAACAGTGATTGGAAGAGTACCTTTCTTGAAACATATTCTCCCACAGCAATACAGTCATCAAATCAGTTGTTTTAAACACTGCTGGTTATTGTGATTTGAAACCTCTGCTAGACCAATCAGAATCTGGTATATTCTGAATTCATCATGATTCATGGTAAAATAATTAATTCATTTTTTGTTGATCATTTGTTACTTCATTTAAGTTTGTTATATCCTAGATAAATACTTGTTTAGATATACCAAAAGTCTGCAGGTGTATAGGTCAGTAAGTGTGTCGTCACTCACTGTTCGGGTCGCCCAGTCGTCTAAGGCATTGCAATTCACTGTGCAGAGTTGCCAGTGTTTCCGTTGACTTTTGAAACTACCAGTTCACCCCTAAATTTTGTCTGTCTCAACTTTTAGCAAATAAAAAAAAGTATGAAAATTACCTGGTTTTAATTCTTTTTACATTATGTTCCATACAATGACGTCATCTCTCAGGTAACTTTGTTAAATTTGCATGTCATTTACATAAAATTCAGTCACATTTTTCTCTTTTTTCGTTGTTTGCTACAAATAGATAGTTAACCTCGAAGCAAAGCGAAATGTGATTTGCTTGCACTAAAGATAGACAAGGGGAAACCGTGATGGTAACAGACAGGCTGAATTCATTCAAAGCATATACTTATCATGCTTATGTGAATATAGCCATTGATTTGTTCAAAAACAGATTTATAAGGCTAAAAAAGAATTCTTGGTTGTCAGGCACCACCACATCATCGTAAAGTCCGCCGCACGTTTCGTTTTTATTTCCATTTTCCAAAAAATAATATCCTTAAATGTTTCGCGTCGCGACCACACGACCTAAACTGTGAAATGCTGCAATACTTAAAAACAATGCGATCCAATATAACATGCAGTTACTTCCCTTCTCATGCGCACTGCTTTACTGCGCATCTCGTGTGTTATAGTCATGGCGGCAATGGGAGTTTGTGTGCTTGCTTTGCTGTTTGCAAATTTGGTCAATAAAAACATTCAGTTTGCGATACAACATCACTAGACATGATGATGGTATTCAAATACAAAGTCAATGTTATTTGTGTACTGTATGAGGGACAATGTTTCATACGCAGAGGTTATTTGTCTCGTAAAATAAGCGGGAAATCAATACTAATTTATATACTCTGGCGAATCAGAATAAAGCACATCACTAGTGCATACAAAATCTCTACATTTGCAATAAAAATGTGTGTGTCTTCCGCAAAGTTACATCGTAGCCCTTCAGCGAATTCAGGGAAACTGAACAGATTATATCAAATAAACTTGGTCAATACAAATTTGAAATTTGAGATAAAACATCACTAAACATAATGATTAGCCGACTAAATTGTTTCCTGTTCTGATTGGCATTGTTTTATATGCAGAGATTAACATTACCGTGTGTCTTGTCTCGTAAACTAAGCCGGAAGTAGCATTCAGCTGTACAAACGTTTCTCGGAATCTATCAGTGATTCGGCCAATAATATAACTTTAAAGAATTTTAATACAATGAGCGGAAGAATTGCATCTGAAACTATTATTTTATCAGGAATAATTTATTCCAATATCATGTGTAGTTGCATATTTACTTTATACATGTGAAATAAATTAATAACCATAAGCGTAGCACTTTGGTTCAGCTGAAATGTTTTCGAATGGAAGAATTAGACCAATCACCGTCCATGCGCCAACGATTGCGAAAACTTAATGTTGACATATAATTGTCAAACTACAACAAGTATGACTTTCAGCGATTAAATGTATGGCATTTATGATATATATATCCATTCTCTAGCATCAAAAGCGATAATATGAGCGTGGTTGCTGTAAATAACGGTGACAATATTGAATGAATTGTTGAATACAATTAATAATATAGATTACCAACATAAGTGCAGATATATTATGAACTCGTTCTACAACCAGACAGTGTAATTACATGATGAATTTGAGTATTTCAGTACAGATTTGTGCTCATGGCTTTCCTCCCACATTAAGCTGACACACCGTGATATAATTGAAAACTGTTCCAAAATACTGTTAATAACAACTCACTCACTCACTCTGTGTTCCAGCCTACTACAATGACATAGTTATAGGAGCAGTGTGCTGTAGTTCCATAATACTGTTAATAACAACTCACTCACTCACTCTGTGTTCCAGCCTACTACAATGACATAGTTATAGGAGCAGTGTGCTGTAGTTCCATAATACTGTTAATAACAACTCACTCACTCACTCTGTGTTTCAGCCTACTACAATGACATAGTTATAGGAGCAGTGTGCTGTAGTTCCATAATACTGTTAATAACAACTCACTCACTCACTCTGTGTTCCAGCCTACTACAATGACATAGTTATAGGAGCAGTGTGCTGTAGTTCCATAATACTGTTAATAACAACTCACTCACTCACTCTGTGTTTCAGCCTACTACAATGACATAGTTATAGGAGCAGTGTGCTGTAGTTCCATAATACTGTTAATAACAACTCACTCACTCACTCTGTGTTTCAGCCTACTACAATGACATAGTTATAGGAGCAGTGTGCTGTAGTTCCATAATACTGTTAATAACAACTCACTCACTCACTCTGTGTTTCAGCCTACTACAATGACATAGTTATAGGAGCAGTGTGCTGTAGTTCCATAATACTGTTAATAACAACTCACTCACTCACTCTGTGTTTCAGCCTACTACAATGACATAGTTATAGGAGCAGTGTGCTGTAGTTCCATAATACTGTTAATAACAACTCACTCACTCACTCTGTGTTTCAGCCTACTACAATGACATAGTTATAGGAGCAGTGTGCTGTAGTTCCATAATACTGTTAATAACAACTCACTCACTCACTCTGTGTTTCAGCCTACTACAATGACATAGTTATAGGAGCAGTGTGCTGTAGTTCCATAATACTGTTAATAACAACTCACTCACTCACTCTGTGTTTCAGCCTACTACAATGACATAGTTATAGGAGCAGTGTGCTGTAGTTCCATAATACTGTTAATAACAACTCACTCACTCACTCTGTGTTTCAGCCTACTACAATGACATAGTTATAGGAGCAGTATGCTGTAGGATCGACACGTCCGAGAACCAGAGAAGACTTTACATTATGACTCTGGGCTGTCTGGCGCCGTACAGGAGACTGGGCATAGGTAAGTCTCCCCCTCGGGGGCACACCGCCTACGTGGTCTAGGGGATAGGGCACCTGTGCAGAGAGCAGGCCGTGTTGTTACCCTTTCTAGTTCAGCATTAAGGGGCTAAAACAAAGCCTGGTCGGCTTGGAGTCTGTGCACTGTCTGAATGGGGTATGCATGTTGAACCGTGGCATGGTATCTCAGTATGCTGGCACTTTATGATCAGCATTAGTCCAGCCTAGTACAACCAGATAGATGCTCATGATGTCAATCACTGGATTTTCTGGTCCAGACTTGATTATGAATAGACTGCCGTCATATTCCTGGAATATTGCTGAGTGCGGCGTTAAACAATGAACAAGATATGAATCACTATTATCTCGTCCAGTCTTGAATATTTACAGGCCACCATTACACAGCTGGAATATTGCTGTGTGTGGAGTTCAACAACAAACAAACAATAATTGGATTCTAAACAGGGTTTGAAATTAGGGACGTCCATATGCTATGATACGTCAAGGACCTTACGTCCGGGTTAGAATAGGTCTTCAGCAACCCATGCTTGCCGTAAAAGGCGACTGTGCTTGTCGTAAGAGGCGACTAACGGGATCGGGTGGTCAGACTCGCTGACTTGGTTGATACATGTCACCGATCCCAAATGCGTGGGTCGATGCTCATGATATCAATCACTGGATTGTCTGATCCAGACTCGATTATTTACAGTCTCGACCGCTGTCATATAGCTGGAATATTGCTGAGTGCGGCATTAAATAACAAATAAACAAAATCAAGGACCTTACTTCTAACCCTGGTTGTAGTTAGCGTTGACAAATTGTCACCTCCATTATTTGTTTCCTTCAGTATGTGTGTATACAGGGGCTGACATTGTCTGAATATGTTCCAGGAACAGTGATGCTACAACATGTCCTCAGGATATGTGACAAGGACGGAAACTTTGATAATGTATTTCTGTAAGTACTGCGCTCTGAGGAGAGTTGTTTTTTTCACCATTCTATTTAATCATCACGTTGTTGGGCGGTGGGGTAGCCTTGTGGTTAAAGTGTTTGTTTGTCACTCCGAAGACCCAGGGTTGATTTCCACATGGGTACAATGTGTGAAGCCCATTTCTGGTGTCCCCAGCCGTGATATTGCTGGAATATTGTTAAAAGGGGTGTATAACTCACACACTAAATCACTCTCTCAATTCGCTGTGCAGAGTTGTGTCCCTCAAGCATGCCAGACACCTATGATCGTGGGTTCGAATCCCAGTTTGCCATCATTATGTTTCTACGGTTCTACCATACGCGTGCTTGTGGGTTTCACCGAAGTGGTTAAACTTCTGAGACCTGCATCACTTCAGGCTTTCCTGGCACATTAAGCTGACATGCTGTGATACAACTGGAATACTGTTCAATGTGGTGTTAATCCCAACTCACTCACTCCCTCTTGTGTTTTCAGCCATGTACAAATAAACAACGATGGTGCAATTAGGTTCTATGAAAAGTTTGGGTTCGAAATTGTGGAAGAAAAACAGAACTATTACAAGCGAATAGAGCCAGCGGACGCCTATGTGTTACAGAAGTCCTTCCGCTTGACAAACAACAACCAACCAGCTAGCGAAGAGACGACGTCCGACAACACAGAGATAATCGAATCCTGAATATATTCACGACAGATGACTCGATTGATTTCCTGATGTTACAAAGACATTTTTTTGAATGCAAGAATTTAGATTTGAAGTGCTTTAAACTTACTAGTTCTTCAACAGAACAAACCTGTTGGTAATGTTGTCCTCTGGTACAAAGTTTTCAAGAATGTGGGACTTTCTCCTGGAATCAGAACAATACAGGTTCTTTCATTGTGTTTGAGACAGAACTGAAATTGAAGCTTTCCATTGACATGAGTCGTTCCATGTTCCATCCCCAGTCAGTTGACGTTGTCATGTTGGTTCCTTATAGACTACTGTAAGCCTGGCAAGTTTTGCGAGCAGAAAAGTTCTTCAGACTGCGAACAGCACACTCGCAATAGATTCATGACACAGTTATTTTTGCAGACCAACAAGGAACTAAAGACGTAAGGAGGCATCTTTCGTTTATTCACTTCCACACAGGGTCAAATCAGCCAGAAATGATTAAGTAAATAATCCTCACATCCTGTTTCCTCATGACCCATTGGGGGTCACGGGTGGCCCAGTCGTCTAAGGTGCAGCGATTCGCTGACCAGAGTTGAGTCCCTTGGGCACGCCAGGAACCTATGATTGTGGGTTCGAATCCCAGTTCGCCCCGATTATGTTTCTAGGTTTGTCAGCACCATACCCGTGCTCGTTGGTTTCACCGAAATGGTAGGTGTCTGAGACCTGCATCACTTTGGGCTTTCCTCCCACATTAAGCTGACACGTCACGCTATAACTGGAATACTAAACCAAACTCACTCACTCACTCAATCCTACTCAAAAGTAATAACACGTGCAAAAGCAACTTTCATCTTTGGTATCTCATCGCCATGGTGTTGAAAAACTTTCCACACCCTGTTGAGGATATTGTTACCAACTCACAATAATTTAGTGGTGCAAAACTTTCCAGATTGACAGTAATCCAGGAGCTAGTTGAATAGAGCGATCTTCAATGGGACTGTCAGTGTTAAAGTTGGTCATAGGTCGGCCCAGTTGTCTAAGACACTGCATGATTCGCTGTACAGTGTTGTGTACCAAGACCTGCCAGAAATCTATGATCGAGGGATCAATTATGTTTCTTGGTTTGTCAGCACCCTACCAATGCTCTTGGTTTTCATCGAAGTGGTTTTTCTCCTTCATCAAACTTACAGCCTGTGATGTCGCTTAAATACTTTTCATCCAAACTCTTTCGCTGTTTATTTGTCAGAGTTATGATCATCGCAACACTGGGAATGCTCTGTGGAGGGACGATGGGATAGCCTGGTGGTTAATGCATCTGCTCGTCATGCTGAATACCCGGGTTCGATTCCCCATATGGCTACAATGTGTGAAGCCTATTTCTGGTGTCCCCCGCTGTGATATTGCTGGAATATTGCTAAAAGCAGCGTCAAACCATACTCACTCACTCTGTGGAACAGGGCCAAGGGTCTCTTGTATTGGAGGAATAGAGATGTTGTGGATTTGAACATTGGCCACATACCTTGTAAGTCCGAACATAGTAACATAAACCTCTTTTATATGACCTCATTACTAGAGTTTCAACCCCTAATTTGATTCATTTGGATTCTTTCCTGTCAGCACATCTCCATCAAGGGTTTCACTATAGCCATAAATATTTGTCAAATAAGTGGAAAAAACCAGTTGGTTCTCACAGTATTTCTCTGTAACCACTGGGATTGAATAACTGAAAACAGGTGACTGTTCTACCAACTTCCTTTTCTTCATTAAAACATTGCCAATGATGACATAGACAGGTGGCCATGATTTTGTTTTCTGGACTAATGCCATGGAGTTATCTCCCTTTGCAAGGGAGTTAAGCTGTGTGCAAGGTGAAAGATGTTCTTAAGGTATTTGCAGTTTTTGTATCACTGACAGTTATGGTAAGGAGAAAGTTGTAGATTGAACTTGAAAACTGTTGTATAATTTTAATGAAGAGATGTCAGATATGCTGACCCGTCAGCCGAATCGGAAAGAAAGTTGACCACAAATGAAGCCACTATGATTGTTTGAAAAATTACAAAAATTACAAAAAAAGTAATAAAATTTAAATATAATAAATCCTTACTTTTTATCATTGTTCAAACATTTGGCAAACATGCTTCCTGTCAAAATTAGTGACACATTCTTCAAAGCAAGGAAAGGCCAGCATCTCTTGAAAGAAGGTTGGCACCAATCACAAATTGTTGTTATTTTTAATGAGATTTCCCCGTAGCCAATGGTGAGCTGGATTACTATTTACTACTAATAGTTGGGTAAAATTGCTAATGCTAATGACATTTTATTAGGAATTTACAAGTTGTGCCAAACTAGTGATGGCATCTCTGAAATGAGTCTACTTTGGTTAAATGACTGTTAGATGTATTTTGCTGATATGATAAAAGGTAAGGATGTGTTTGATCTTTTTGAATAGAAGAGTTTGTTGTCCATGGAGCGTGCACAAAATATAGAAATGTACATAGATCTGTCAATTGCTCTGTCATTGTGTCTTAATCTACATTGTATATAAACCATTTACAGGAAAACCTCTTTCTGTGTTGTTTTTTCAGATCAGCTTAATATGTCCAGAGTGTACCCAGGGTTTTAAGGGATGCAAAATACTGCGTCCTATAGGCAAGCACATTGTGAATTGACACAAGTGACCTACTTTCTGATTCCTTGGGTCACAAACTTTCGGTGGTTTGAATCAGTGACTCATCAAAATTGTAGATGACAATTTAAGTGGGACATATAATAATAGTATATATCCATTTATTATATGCCATATTCCATTCCAAAGTGAATGCCTATGGCTTCTGAGTGTGATATTTGTTTGTTGTTTAACGCCGCGCACTCAGCAATATTTCAGCTATATGACGGTGGTCTTTAAAAAATCAAATCTGGACCAGACAATCCAGTGATTGATATCATGAGCATCGATCTGCGCAGGTGCAAGGCAGAGAAGCAACAGTTAAGTCCCAGGGGTATAACATATCAGAGCTCAGATTTCAAACAGCACTATCTTGGAGACTGAAGACATTCACTATTGTCACCTGAGTCAAAACAAAGAACTCGGTCCTCACTGTGACATGAAAAATTCTTAAGCTATAATAGACTCACCAAAGAGAGCCATGCCTTCAATTCGCTTAGTGTTCAATTATTAGCTCACCTGGTCCGGGGCCGTGGCGTCCGTCGTCAGTACGGAATTAAGGAAAGATATCGATCATATTTGGTTGGAAGCATTCTCCGAGGGTGAAGGTTCAAAATTGTACAAATGGTGGGGCTGACCCCTAGTGGGCTGAGGGGCGTGGCCAAATAGGGGTAATTTGGCTAGATTGCTTGAACGACTTCTTCTCTGGAACTAAGGATAGATATCGATCATATATCGATTTAAAATGGTGGGGCTGAGGGCACAGTTAAGAACCCCGCGTAAAATCATATGTACAATTGCTGAATAATCAGTCGCAGACGTAACGTAACTTAACGTTTTCCACGATTCAGAATATCGCAAAGCGGGTGGCCGTCTCTCGTGCGCGTAACGACTTTGCGATGCGGGGAACGCAATCCTGGTCATGGCAATCATGTCGCTAGCTATCTGGCTGTTGTTAACAAATTTGATATTCACCATCTTTTGTTCAAGAAAATATTAATAGACGAAAAACTTGATGCTGCATAAATACCCCAATTACAAGAAGATAATGTGCCGTTGAATATATGGCCAGAGTAATAATATTTCAGTACAAACTAAATGAAATCTGAGGCGCGTCGTTTGGAATTCAGCAGAAGTCTTTGTCGTGTTTTCCAACAATTTTACTTCCACCTAATAATATATTACCCATTGCAAAATTGTTTTCCTTATACGTGATCAAAATACATTTCCTCCTTGTTCTAACCACGAAACTACGCGCTAAATAAATATCGTGCATATTATACGCACCATTCAGATACATTTAGTGTAACAAGACGGATGTTCCGATTGAACATTTTAGTCAGGCATCGGTTACCTCCCTTTATCGGCTTGTCGACCAGTCACTTGTCGAAGAAAGTAAACATGTTTCAACGCGATGGCGATGGTGTGCGTGAAATAATTCATATATTTTGTGACTCTACGATGAATAAGCTTTTATAAAATGTTAGTTTCTGAAAAATATGTACATAGGAGAAAATCGCTGTCAAAAACAGAACATTTTGCTCAATTTTTGCATATTTTTACCCCAATTTGCCCATTTTTTTTCCTAGTATTATGATCAATGACTCTACGTAATTTTGTTTTATTATTTTCACAAATAACGCTTGTAGAGACATTTTTGTGCAACATGCAGAAATCCATGGTCCACTGACAGACCGTCACGCATACGAGTGTCCCCTCTCAGGTGGTCACTTGTACGAGAGACGGGAGAGCCGTCTCGCCTACACGTTACGTCCTCTACTGATAATGAGAGGAATGCACATATGCTACCAGGATGGCCCGGGGGTCATGCTCCACCCCTGGAGAAATAAACCCTGGATCATAACATGGAAACGGTTCAGATCTTTAATCTACATTTGTATCTATATAGAAGTACACGTTCATGCTGTCAGATTTGCCATCCACCCCTTTTAAATGCCGACAGAGTCAAAATTTCGAAATATTTACAGTATTATATACATGTACAATGCAATTGTATCTTTGTCATGATTGCGTAAATATCCGGGTGAGCGATACAGGCCTTATGGGCCTCTTGTATACATTACTCCGTGATAAGAGGTTGTTATGTTTCAACAGACAGCGATCAGATATCTCTCTACGTTTACAGATAGGGAACAACTTGATACCACTGAACACCGGACCCATACTGTGCGGTGTACATGCAACCTGTCACGTCACTGTTGTACAGATAGTCAATTGATTATATGAAATAATTCAACATAACCACCGCGCACACGAACATGTATCCTCCGACGTTTTGCATTCACATGTAATTTACAACTCCCCCTGAGGCCGACTTCAGTTAAACAACTGATAGCATTTCAAAGCAGTGAGTCGAAGTCTGGGTTACCAAATACACAGGAAAGGTCAACGGTCTATGGTCATGATGGTAGGTGAGTGAGTGAGTGACTATGGTTTTACGCCGCTTTTAGCAATATTCCAGCAATATCACGGCGGGGGACACCAGAAATGGGCTTCACGCATTGTACCCATGTCGGGAATCGAACCCGGGTCTTCGGCGTGACGAGCGAGTCTGTGGTCGGTAGTAGTCAGGAGCTGTCAGGAACACGGTGAAATTCAATTTGTATGCATGCCTCAAAATTGATTTTGCACGAAGAGGAAAAACTAGCTCCATACTATGCATTAATGATAAGGTTACACAAGGAGATAAAATGCATGTTATTTCCTACTCCACCTACTTGTTTTTCCTCATTTATAAACATACTTTCCGACAGACAGTCTGGTATTTCAGTAATTATACAAGGTAAGGCAATTTTCATTCTGACTTCAAACTACGACGTGGATAACTACCCACGTGGTAATACGCAAACATGTGTCCATTGTACAATTTCGACTATATCATGAGTGATGTAGGTATTCCTATTAAATAGTGACCATACAAGGTGTTTGCGAAAAGTTGAACCAATCCTTACGGGTGGCACCCGTCTCAAACGGGTAGCCTAGTGGTTAAAGCGTTCGCTCGTCACGCCGAAGACCCGGGTTCGGTTCCCGACATGGGTACAATGTGTGAAGCCCATTTCTAGTGTCCACCGCCGTGATTTTGCTGGAATATTGCTAAAAGCGGCGTAAACCCATACTCACTCACTCACTCACTCAAACACAAATTCAATTTGTTCACCTGAAAAAAACCCCACTGGTTCTTTGTTTGTTTGTTGTTTAACGCTGCACTCAGCTATCCCAGCTATATTACGGCGGTCTGTAAATTTTCGAGTCTATAACACACAATCCATTGATTGAGATCATGATCATTGAACTACGCAATTAGAATCAATGATATGCATCAACCAAGTCAGCAGCCCTGAGCACCCGATCCTGTTAGTCGCCTCTTACGACGCTGCACCTATGGTGCAAATCGAAATAATGATTTGCATCAGACATAATTTGTATAACTGATGCGTTAAATATGGAATTGTATCTACCATAAAACCCTTTGAAAGAGTTCAGTGGCCTCAAACATTGTGACACTTGACAAAGAGTCGTATGACACTCTATAGAAATTTTCTTGGAAGGGGCATGTTCGATTGTGCCTCAAAAGTTGTGAAATGTTAGACACCAAAGGCTGGAGTTATAGGAATATTGCTAGATATATAGGGAAAGTTGAAATGGTCCCTCCTTTCATGCAGTCTTGTGAATGAATTGGCCTAATTATGAAAGAAATGAGGTGGTTTCATTGGTCTCTCTTTATTTCTAGCTCAGGTGGGTATATCTGTGGAAGGGAATTAGCCACTTGATCATTTGGGACCTAATTTGATATTCTGCAAAACCAGATAAGTTTTTGATTGAAGGTATGAGCCTAAATATTTAAAGAATAAAAAACATCTAACAATGTAGGTGTCTGACAAATATTTTCAACAGCCTGAAGCGTAATTTACCTCGCCAATTTATATTTTAATCAGTAATATTCCAGACCTGACTCGAATATCAAATAGCTGGTCCCTTAGCATATCACCGATAAACCTGAAGATTGCATTAAATTCTCTTTGGCCAAATTCTCTTGTTTTCGTAACAAAAACAGTGTTTCATGACATTCATATATTTATATTATTGAAATTATCCTATCTCACACTATCCATTTCTCACTCTTCTTTCGATCCGAAGTGGAAGAGTGTACTTTCTCACAGTTGGCCGCGATCCCTTCTTGCTTCTCTTGCTTCTACGAAGCATACTGTAGACCGTACCTTGTCTTCATCCCTTGTCTTCTGCCGCTGATAATGTGAACGGTTTTCCGTCCAAGGGCATCCTTAGACTGTGGCTTTGATTGAACCCTATAACTCTTCTCTGGAACAGGACTTGCGCGTGTCTCGTTCCCGTGAGCACTTGACGATCGCTGATAAGGATCACCTTCCGAGGTCTCGGCATTTGGCGTTTAAACTATCCTCCACAGTTTAATAACAGAACTCGAATCGACGATCGTCTCAGGATTGATGAACTTAAGATCGGGACCCTCTGATCACAGGATCAGCGAACTTCTCAGACTTGCCATACCTCAAAGGATCGGTACTCCAACCCGGGTTTGACGTCCTTTCAAGGTTCGGAAGATGAACTTCATACAAATTTTATTGGACACTCGTCGCACTTAGCTCATTCATCTTCTTCTAGTCATCAATTACACTCCCCAACGTGATCGTTCTCGGTCTTATTATTATCATCAACGACAAGCCATTCCTTGGAATCCTGCTTCGTATAATGCATAAGCAAACCCGGTGCATGATTGGGAACACTGCCGACAGTATATTGACTCATTCCCCCCCATGGGGATGGTACTCTTTTGACACTGCTTACCTGGATTATCGTCCTCGGTGTCACTTGCTTGAAAATATCTGTGGTCACATTCAGCATCAGCCATCATGTTAATAAACAAGACAGCCCTAATATATAGAAACAACATTGTCAGTTTTAATTACTGGATGGAAGTACATTACCAAAAATTTGAAATCTTACCCAAATTATCCAATCACAGCTGCCAGACGATTCAAAATGGCTCTCAATGAAATCTGCTTGTTGAAAGACTGATTCTGATCTGGTGTTGTAGGACCTGCAGAGAAATTAGAAAACATTTGACTTATGTTTTGTGTGTCTCAGAAAAAAATAAATATTGGATGTAACTTATCCAGCATGTCTATATGGCACCAGAATACAAAGTTTTGATGTACCGAAAGAGCTGTAAGAGTTAAATGATATATATTTCATTAATGTTTTACAAAATGTTTTTCTGTATTAATAAGAAGTTGCTACAATCAGACACAGACCATGGAAGTTTATTCACGTTTCACAATCATGGGCTCATGGATCAGTTCCATTCATGGTTGAGGCTGACCAGATCATTTCACCCTAAAAAATATTTTCAACTATAAAAAATAAACACATCTTTAAACCTCAACACCAATAAAAATACATATTTCATATGCATGGTCAGTTGTTTGCCTCCCTGTGCTGATATCATCAGATAATAGCAGAGTCTTCAACATTCATGGTATATGGCTTTGACAGTCATGACATGATATGATTGAGATTGTTCGAGATTCCTCGAGTTTACATCCCTGCTCAAGTATAAGCACCTCTGATATAAGCTGGAGACATAAGTACACATGGAAAGGAATCAGAATAAAACATCTCAAAGTTGGACAGAGAGCATGGAATTTAGGCCAACAATTGGCAAGGGACACATTAAGCGGCTTTAAAGTAATCATATATGTAAGGCTGGATAATGAACTTTACCAGAAATAGGAAGTGAAGGGGTTGATTGTTGCCAGCAATCTCAACACTGACCAGTGAAGCCGAGAAATGGAAATGCCCCCGAAAGTAGGAGAAAGCTCTTTGAAACCACAACATGAAAGGAAAATACACTTAACTCTATTGATGTATTTAGTTAAGACTTTAAAATACTCCAAGGAAATCAAAAATACTTACTGTTTATTGTTTCAAGTTGGCTAACTTGCTAATTTCAGTTTAAAGGAAACAAAGTCAAAATTCCATATAATTTAGAAAATGAGGCAAACGGGTACCACCGCTGATCGCCCTCGGCCAGGTCGACCACGTGTGACGTCACATGCAGAGGATCGTCAGATTGTCTTACGTCACCTCCGTAACCGATTTTTGACAGCTACATCAACCAGAAATGAACTGTTTAGGGGTAGACTGAGTGCGCAAACTGTTCGAAACCGTCTGAGAACTGCTCACCTTCAAGCACGACGGCCATACTGCGGGCCGATTCTGACTCAATTACACAGACGTCAACGTCAATTGTGGGCACAGCGACACTTACGATGGACTCAGAGGAATTGGAATCAAGTCGTCTTCACTGATGAATCCCGATTTAATCTTCGATTTGCTGATGGTAGGGCGAGGGTGTTGAGGCGCCGCCATGAACGTTACGCCCAGTGTTGTGTACAGGAAGATGACAGATTTCGAGGCGGAAGTGTCATGGTGTGGGGTGCTTTCTGTGGCAATGCACGTTCCAGGCTTCTTGTCATCCGTGGCAATCTCAACGCTGCTGCTTACCACGACCAGGTACGGGCACCAGAACTTCTGCCTTTTATGGCAGCACATGGACCCGTTTTGATCTTCCAACACGACAATGGCAGACTCCACACAGCAATTTTGACAAGGAATTTCCTTCAGAATGCGGGAGTCAACGTCATGGACTGGCCGTCAAGGTCTCCCGACCTCAATCCCATAGAACACGTCTTGGATGCTCTTGGCAGAAGTCTGCGCACTCTCCAGAGCCACCCACAGAATTTGCAGATCTTGGCACCATTTTGCAGCAACAATGGCGTCGACTTCCCAATCATGCTTCGACATATATTTCCAATAAAACATTTTCCTCGTCAAACAATTTTCCACGATAAACTCTGTTCTCTCTTCGAATTAAGGGTGAGTATTGTAAACATGAAAATGTCCTATAGATTGCTTCGATCACTTTCCCAACAAACCTAGCTTCGTGCCGTCACACTGATACATGTACTTATAAGTTTTCTATCTACATGTATTTTCAAAATAGCACGTTCTGAAGTAAAACTGTGCACATCATGTTACACGGTTAAAACTCAAACCGTAGGGCTTATTTGTCATCGCGTTAAAAGGAAACGCTAGCATTGAAACATAAACTATGCAAGTCGGGACAGGGCTGAATAATTCTTTACAAATGGTTCACAATAGTACGCAGCGCGGTGATTCGAAATCCGGCTGCATTCAGCGTTATAGTCAATGCAGGGTGACATGACTACATCGTTGTTGCGCGTTAAACGACACTGCTAGCTTACTGATTGTGTAGTCTTATCTATTTTGTCTATATTTTGTTCTATACAGGTCGTCTAACGTTCATGGTGTACAACTTGTAGACCGTACAAGATGAATTTGATCCAGCTAGATGTACATTTCCCCCCCCCCCCCCCCTTATCCGGCGTATAACATGTTGACACAATCCATCTCTATTGTGGAATGATGTACTTTCAACACACAGCCTGTATTCATCAAACCAGGTCGCACGCTCTAGCGAGCGCGGGTTATTTTGAATATAGGTCCACGTGAGTTGTCAAGCGCAATCAATTCAAACTGGGCTGACGGGTACGGTCTGTCTATTTAGGGCAGCACGCCATACACATAGCTCTATTCATAACCCTTTACTTTTGTTTTCTTATGAATTCTTTTCTGCCTTATAAACACACACCTTTCATTCCCCCCCCCCCCCCCCTTTCCCGACGCGCTGTTGATGCATGAGTCATCCTATCTGATCACGTGACT